AAAAACCACATTAGTTCACCATTTTACTGTTTTATTTTTTACCATTTTTGCATTAAATTTTATAGAAAATGAGCAGGAAAACAATGTTTCTTGTACCTTTCTATATCATTCCTTAAAAAATTTAACACTAAATATTTTTTTCACTTAAGAGAAAGTTTGAGATTTCTAAAAAAAAAATGTCTTTTTTTCTACATGGCCATATTACCATATTAATTATGAAATTTAATAAGATTTTTGTTGTAATAAATTTATTATTTTTAAATTAAGCCAATTTAATAACGTGATTTTTAAAAGTTTGATTGTTAGTTTTAATCAGAGACACATTTATCGAAAAGAAGTTTATAAAAAAAAGATAGTAAAATGAAAAGTCGGTGTATAGCATGTTGAGGTTCCTTACTCTTCTTTCACGCCAGCACACGGGCAAAGTTAATCAACTAAAATGGATAATTGACTACTTGCGAATGCTCCTGGACAAGTCTATTTCGCATTAACAACCTTCAGAAACATAATAAGGTCCATCTAGGCATATCAACGTTTAAATAATTACAAATTTTGAAAGTCGCAGTTAAGAATGGCCTAATTTACTTTAATGCTTGTACATCGCGAAAAAATACGTTTCATTTATATCTCTATATAGCGCAATAGAGATTCTAAATTTAAATATGAACGAATTTTAAAATTGAAATTCTCACTATAAAATGAATCATATTTTTTTTCTTTTGTTCGCAGGTAATAAACTTTTGCGGTTTCTTTTTTTTGTAAATTTCAGATACCTGATATTTTACATTTTTTATGTATCAGAGAAAATTGTTTGTAAATTTATAAAAGTCATATAATAAAATCATTATTAATAGTAAAATTAATATCAACTCAAGTTGGTTCGTTGGTTAACACTTCAGATTCGTGTACAAAAGGTTCAGAGTTCGATATATACCCACTAGTAAAATTAAATATCAATATAATATTAATTAAAATTTATAAATTAATTCGTTTAATTAATATTTGCTAAAACAATTAAAATTGCTAAAAAAAAATCTTGTAAATTTTTAGGGAAATGTAATACGTTTTAAATAATTTAATTAAATAAAAAACAATTTCTCTAAAAGAAACTGTTAGTTAAGATTTAGCGAAAGAGATTTAGTGAAACACTTGTTAAAGAGAATTCACTATATTTAAGAATCTCAGGAAAACGCTATTTAAAATTGCACTTGTGCAAGGTCTGACCAGCAGAAGAGTTGTGTTATGCAATAACTTTTGTAATGGACCAGCTCACCATATACCTGCTGCATAAAAATTAATTACGGGTCTCGTAATTCTCAATTCGCGTAACCAAATTCAATTCTAAACACATTAACACATCATTATAAAGTCATTTAAAAAAAAAAAAAAAATATTAATAAACTTGTTTGTTTAAGACAAACTATTAATAATTTAAAAATCAACTACTAACAAATCTTTAATTCAAGTCAACTAATTATATGTATCTTAATTTTACAAGATAGTTAATTCTGTTTTTAAAAAACAATAGTATTTTTAAAAATAAGGCAATTAATTTTATAAGTTGTTTGTTATTATAATTTATGTTACTGTTCAAAAATTTAGGTTAAAAACAAATTAAAATTTTGAAAGTAAAACAAAAAATAGCAAAATATATAAAAAATTGAAAGTAGTAAACGATATCTGTGTTAGTTTAGTAAATGGTCATAATGAGACAAACGATAATGATCGAATCAGTTATGATAATGGCAAAATATGTTAATTTATACTCTTTATTATAAAGTGAATCACACAAGATTCATTAGGATTAAATTTAACGGTAGATCTATATGCATTTTAATAGTAATAATGTAAGTGAAAATATTATATATAATTATTTTTAATTTAATTAAATAATTGAAAAAATTTTAATTACATTTTATCAAAATTTCTTGAATTGTGAAATTATTTTATTAAAAATTCAAAATAAAATTTTACTTAAAGTACCGCAAGCTTGGAGAAAAATATGAGATACCGGAAGTTTTTTGCATATATATATGTATATACTTATATGCTTGATGAAGAACAATGAATTATTAAGGACATTGACATAGAGAATTTGTAATTCAAGAGTGTGACGTGAAGACAATATCGAATTTCTAAATAGTTTAATGTTGAGAACTTGTCTCTCTTTTTGTTGCATTTGACACGCTGAAAAAGTGAACGCCAATGAACCTGTCATCGGTAAATACATCAAGGACTAATACACGTTACGTGAATACACGGACTTTCAAAATTACTTCCTCTGAGAATATACAATGAACATACACGATTTGGTAAAAAAAAAATGACGAGGCAAGCTGTAAATTTAAAATGTATTTATTTAAAAAAAAATTTAAGTTTTCTTCATTGAAAAAATTTATTTTTGCTTCTCAAATAATCAGGAGTATTTAAGTATTTAATCCGCTAAACAGAAACAGTTATGTTGAGCGTTATTCATATTCAAAATAAATGAATTTTATAATTTAATTAATAAATTATTAATTTATTTTAATAAATAAATTGTTCATTTTATTTTTTGTAATAAAATACTTTTTCTATGAGTAAACAAGTAATTGTTAAAAATAGTAGAATTATATATATATATATATATATATATATATATATATATATATATATATATATATATATATATATATATATATATATATATATATAATTTCCTTAGGTATTTGTTACTTAAAAAGGAAATATAATTAAAAAAATAATAATATACACATAAAGAAAAAACGTAGCTAGTAAAAAATAAAATAAAGTCGAAATATTCTAAATGAATATTTTATATTTACTACTGGTCATTTAGAAAATTATGTAGTTTGTGTATAATTATTATTTGTGAGATTTTTTATTCGAAACAAATATTTATTTATTTGAATGAAATAAAATTTATTTGAAACAAATAAATATTTATTGATATCTTAGAGAAATATATTTTTTCACTATAGGTGTTCTTTTTATAAATATATTTTATTCGTATGTTTAAATAAATAAATTTGTTTTGTACATTTAAAATATACTTTTGCAATAATATATAGATAAATTATTATTTCCTTTCATAGTTGTAAAATGATTCCCAGATTTACACAACTATCTTAATAAAAGATAGAATTTCAATCAGGTTGATAATAATTATTAAAAATACGAATAAATCTGTAATAAATATACGCACTTTAACATTATTTTGCTTTCGATTCTTATTTCTCGATTAATAATGTTTCATTTATAAGATAAATAAGTAAATTTTATTCAAAATAAAAAAAACAATTGATATTATTAACTCGACGAATATTACATTGTAAAATGGAAAATATTGTCAATTTTTAAACAAATCGTGACTTTAATGCCAAATTAAAATAAACAACAAATAATTTAAAAAATATATATTTGCAAAAATATTGAAAAAAAATGAAGATACACGTGTTGAATAAGATAAATTTTTCACGCGATTACCATGAAAATAATACATTACTAATGTACGTATAAAATAATTAACAAATAATAAGCAACGTGAAAATAAATGAATTAAACAATTTTTTACAATTTAATTTATAAAACTTTTCACACATAAATAACCTGTAGATGGTCACTTTTTCTACAAAATAATTTTTACTAATCCATATTTTCTATAAAAAAAAAAGAATTTTCTAATAAAATTCGTTTTCTAAATAAAAATTTTATAAAAAATTTTTGACTTCTAAAGTTAGAAAAAAATTTGGAAAATTTCAATTTTTCTCAAAAAATAAAAATTTCTAAATTTAAAAATTCTAAATATCATATTTCTTTAATTTTTCATAATGAAATATGATTTTATCTTCTACAGAATCGAAAAAGTTTTGAATCTCTAAACAAGTTAAATTTTCATTATTAATTGAAATTTTACTGATAATCCTTTTCTAATTTTATACTTTTGCCACAATTTTTATTATTCTTTATCGGTAAATTTTTTGTTTTATATTTTTATTTTTAGAATTTTGAATAATAAAAATTATTTGGATATAAAAAAAATTTTATATTCTCAAAAAATAAAAATTTGAAAATGGTCAAAAATAATATAAAATGTCTCTAGATTCTAAATAATCCCATAAAACAATTTAATTGACTATTATTAACAACGTAAATTTTGATGAGTTAAAATTTTACCGATTCTTCTCACTTAATTTCGAAAAAAATGTAACTTTAACTAAAAAAAAAAAATTTTAAACTTAAGTTAATTGTTAGAAAATAAAAATTTAAAGAAAAAAGAATAAGAAAATATTTTATTAGGAAAATTTTTAGGTATTAATATATTATTATTATTGACATTAATGAAATTAAAAGATAAATTTACAAAATGTAATAAAATTAATTACAAAAACTGACAATAAAAATGTTGTTTTATAATCTTTTTAAAACTATGTATTTTTAAAACTAACGTACCTATATAGGTATATTCAAGGCTTAAATCAAATATCTGATTATACTTGTACCGTTTCAGACTGTAATTAAACCGTTTATTTCATTTGCATTCATATGTTCACTTATACAAAAATATCACTTAATAGCAGATTCAGTTTAATATTTTATATGTACATTTCCATTTTTCATAGCATCACAAAAACAAAAGGATTATTGCATTAATAAAAAATTTTTACAATTTGACGATATAATATTTACAGTAAAATAAAAAATAAACATACTACGGAAATAGTCACAGTGTATAATTTAAGTTTTCTACTTTTGCTAATTTTTCTACTTGTTTAACATTCTCATTTAATTTTATTACTACACTCATTGCGAGATAAATGAAAAAAAAATATAAATATAATTAGAAAAAGAAATTTAAAAAAAAGAGAAAAAAAAGAAGCTGATGAGATTGAGAATAAAGACGATGAAGAAAAAGATGATAAGAGCAAAGAAAATGATGAAAATTAATTATTCTTTAAATAATTAAGTAAATGTTTATAAAAATAATTTTTTTATCTCACCTGCGTTAGGAAATTATTTCTGTTTATTTAAAAATATACTTTAAAAATAATTGCAGTTAATTAACACTTTTTTTCACGCTTCATGAATCACTTGCACTTGAAATTTAACAATATTATAAATTTCACTCAATTATATTATATGTGCATGAATATTTTCAAATAATCAACATTAAATAATTGACATATATACGAGATGATAAATTAGAGAATTTCTCTAATTATTAAATTTATCAAATTTTTTTACACTATATTTCGCGTACTTTATTTTTAAATATTATGTTACTTATGTTACAAATTTTTGTATTTCAAATTATTATAAATATATTTTATTTTTAAAAATTATATTTCTAATCAAAATTTACGATATAGAAAAGTAATTTTGTAGGTTTCTTTTGTTTTTTCTTTTTTTAATTCAAAAATTATTAGAAAAATTAAAGCCAGTATAAATTTTTGTTTCACGTGTTTTAAATTATTATTTTTTTTTTTTAATTCCTTTTTTTTTGTCTATTTTGGAACTCTGGCCAAAAATTGGCACCAATATCCGTATAGAGCGATGTCAAACGCGCTACTGCTTTGTACCGATTGTAACAAGTTGGTCGGTATGAAAACTCATTTTCTAATAAGCCAATGAAATTTAAGCGCAGTCATCTTCGCCGATTTGCTTGTTCTGGAACAGATACCCACGCGTAACAAATCGGCACGAATAATGTAAGAGAATCGCTTGCTTTTTAAAAAAAAAAATAATAAAATCTCTCTCTCTCTCTCTTTAGAACCATATGCAACGGAAGTGCTGGGAACACAATTATACATCATTTTATTGCAAAAATTACTGTATTGTTACTTCACAAGTTTCGTAAAAATGTCAATTAACTTTTCAAAATGTGTCGCTCATTCGACAAACTATATATTTTCAAAAAAAAAAAAAAAATAAAAAAATAAAAATTCTCAATAAAAATAATTGTCTATTTGACTGTTAAAAAATTAAAATAAATATTTTAATTTTAATTGTACCTTTTTTATATAATTTTCAATTTCATTATTTATTTAGAGGAATCATTAAAAATATTTTAATTCCTTTTCTTATTTATTTTTGCGAGTAATTATTTTTTTAACAATATTGAAATCTAATTTTTAATGAATTATTGTAGAAAATAAATTCTTTTTAAATTACGCAGGAATTAACAAAAATTTAATAAAACAAATACAAACAGAATTAATTTCTTTTTTTTTTTTTGAAAGTGCTAAAAATATTAAAAGAGAGAAAAAAAATTAATTATTAATAATTATTTAATATTAAAAAATTCATCTAATATTCATTTTCATTTCATTTTATGTATTTTCACAAAAAATTTGAAACAATGAAAAAATAAAGTGCATTTTAAAAAAAAAACAGATCCTTCATGAAAAGGAAATTACTTCTGTTTATTTCTTATAATTGCAATCGATAAAAATTGCAATAGACAATAAGAAAAATGTAGGCCTACAATATGTTTTTATTAAAAGGCATCAGAATTATTACGCCTTAAGCGTAAAATACGCCATAAAATTCTTACACAATGTGAAAATAAAAAATTTGTAATTTTTTTCAAATATTTCCCGTACACTTTCTTGTTTAAGTTCTTTAGATCACAAACAATGAATGAAATTTCCATCGTGACACTTTTTAAAAGTTTTTATAGATAACTAATAAAAATACATTTTTTTTTACAAAAAAAAATTTTTTTTAAACAATTTTACAAAATATTGTTTTAAAATCTAATTTATATATATATAAAAAATCTTCTTTCCATATTTTTTAAATGTAATCGTACTTTGTATATTATGATTATTAAAATAATTTATTCTTAATATTATGCAACTTGCCTGATTTTTAGCTAAGGATCTTGAAAAAATACTGCACCTTAAAATAATTAGCAAAAAATAAATTATTAATTGAAAGATTTAATTTTAAATTTAATTTATAATGATAAATTTACGTTAATTAATAAATTTTAAAATTATTTCCCACAAACAATAATAAAAGTTAATTTTTTTTCTCACCTCTAATATTCCATCTTCTGGCAAATCTGAGCAATGAACGGCATTTTGAACTTTTGTTTTTCCATATTTGGCACGTAACGTGTCGGGTCTGACATGTTTAGCAATTTCCTGAAATAAAAGTGAAGCAAATTTCGTTACGTAATCATTTGCATGATGCGAAAGATAAAAAAAATCTTCTCCATAAAAATTTTTATGGAGAGTATTTAAACATTATTTTTCAATAATAAAATTATAAATAACGCACAAAAGATATGTGTACAAAATGAAAAAAACTATAAACATTTTTTTTTTTTTTGAAATTCACAAAAAACTTGCTTTTAATATTATTTAAATTCCACTCACTGGATCCATGGGACCGCAGAATTTTCTGAATTCCACTGGAACATTAACACTCTCGTCTTTATGTTTTATCTCCATTGCAATGCAAGGTCCTGATTGTAATTCCGCAACCATGGCCTGCCAATAAGAAATAATATGTATACGATTAAAATATAAGATAAAAGAAGATAAAAGAAAAAATAAGATTTATTAGAGAGAAAAATTAAACGAGTCGCTGTTGTAATTTTATTTTTATACCCCATAATCAGGAAGAACTCCTTTATAAACTTCAAGAAACTCTTCAACATTTACTGGATCCACGTGAAATAGTTGCATTGCAGTGATAAGATAGCCATTTTTTATTATTTCGTCAATTATATCGCCTGATTTTTAATAAACAGAAAAAATTGTGAGAAAAAAAAACATTTAATTAATTATAATTAATTAAAATTAAATTTAAATAAAATTTAAAATGTATTTGAATTTGAATCTCAAATGAATGTAAATGCAAATTTCTAATTAATTTTCTTGCATTATTAAAATTAAATATTTTTTTACCTTCAAGCCTGGACTGCACAGCATGAGGTTTAATAATGCAACAAGTACAATCTTTGATTGTTGATGTATTTGGTAATTCTCTTTTTTCGCTCTTTGGATCAGGAAAGAAAAATTTTATATCCTAAAATGAAATTGTTTAAAAAAAAAAAATTATTTTTTTAAAATCGTTTGCATATATTTTATAAACTTTAAATAACATTTTTTTCTCAATTTAATATTGAAGTATAAGAATTATTTTTTATTAAATTATACCTGATCAGCTGTTTCACTAATAGAACCGTAAAATGTATTTTCGCCAGCATATTTTTCATAAAAAGCACTTAATGATGGAGAATCTGTTTCTCGAATCTCAGAAATATCATTAGAACCTATTAGTTCCAGCCAACGGGAAATACAATCTTGTCCCAAAAGTTCAAGGGCAATAATTGGTCCGGAAGTTATACGACTTAACATCAATCTGTGACATAAATGTTTAAAAAATTTTAATAATTGAAATTAATTTTTAAATTTTGTTCAACAGGTAACAGTTTTTGTAACAATTAATTAATTCCTACGTTGAGTTATCTCCCTTTTCTCTGAAAAAATCCATCGCATCTTCTCTTGATAAATGTACCATTTTTAAATTTCCAATTTTAAAATTTTCAGCTAATATTCGTTTTAATATTTCTCCAATTTTATCATGAAGCTCTGGCATTATAATTCCAAGTGTCCTGAAAACAAATCAATGACAATTATATATTTATTAAAAATAAAATAATTTTTTAATACTGGGAAATAATAATTTCAAAGTATATACTCAAATTTCTTAGTTAGAGAAAAAAAAACTCACTTTTGAATTTTGTGTAACACTCTTGTTTTAGTAGAAAAATCAGCGAAACTAATAAGTTTCATACTTCGTGCAAAAATTGTAACTACTGCTCCAACATAAAAATTTGATTCATCAACTCCTTCGCATTTTGTTTTTCTTAAAAAGGTTTTTCTTGTTTTTAAATCGTACTAAAATTTTAATTACAATTAATTACTCAATAACTATTAACTATATTAACGAAAAAAAAAATCAACATTTATTAAGTAAGAATTAATACTTTTTAATAAATTCATGTTTAAAAAAATTATTATTAATAAAACAAAAATAAATTATTATTATTATTATTTTACGAACCAGTTCTACGGAATTATCGGAGAGATAATAATATAATAAAAAATTTCTAGTAATGCAAGCCACTTTATCGTGCCATTCCGCTTCAAAAACATATCTTTCAGAATCTGTTGACATTTTTATTACCAAGGAAATGAATTGCTGGAAAATAAATAGACCTGATGATTACAGTACTTTACACTTTCTAGGTGCGCAAAATTTACATATAAAATTAATGTTAATGTTTCAATTGTACATTTAAACTAATTTTTAAAAAAACTTGAGGCTTCTTGTTAAATAGCATGCGATTTATTTAGACAATTTATTAAAATATATCTAAATACGATTATTTCATTTACTTTTATATTATAATTATATAATTAATCTTATAAAAATACCATAAATTATTGTAAATTATAAAGAAAATAGAAAAAAATTTCATCAAATTATATTGTAATAAAAAAAATATTTCATAAATATAACCTATATAATAACGATTTGAACAACAAAAATGGAACTTACCTGCAATTTATGTTTTTAAAAAATAAAGTTTAAAAGTGTTTCTATTTAACTATAAAATAATTATTAAAAAACGAAAAATAAAGAAACAATCAAAACATTTCGGTTAGTAACTTATTTTATTTTGTTTCTATGGTTACGACAACGCTAGTCAATGACAAATGTCATTATCAGCTGATCAGGGATAATTTCTTTAATTTACCACAAGAGGCAGCACTTTTGAAAATTTTTGAATTTTAAACATGTTTTTAAATAATAAATTAATTTAAAGCATATAATTACAATTTCTTTAAAGAAAATATAAAATTTAAATATAAATTTATTTTCTTTTGTAATTAATATTTTTTAAACGAAGTTTAAAAATGATTTCACTTTTTATGCCTCTATATAAACGCCCGCGCATTTTTAAAATATTTATTTGAAAAGAGAAAAACAATGTTAATTATAAGTACCATTTTCTTTTTGTTATTCGAGTAAAAGAATGTATTATTTCTATATGTTTCTTGAATATTTGAAATGTTATATATGTAAAATAAAATTTATAACTTTCTTTTTATAAAATATTGTTTATGTATATAGATCGTATACGTGTTTGTGTCCTTGTCCACATGTGACTTTAAAGCAGACGAAATTTCCTAACCTCAAAAACCGTTTTAACACAGAAATCAAAGTTAAATAATAAATAGTGTAAATAGTTTTCAATTATTAATAGAAAAATACAAATTATTGAATAATTAATATACACATATTATACAAAAATGTCTGTTCAACTAACTGGTAATGTAGGATCTGAAGAAATAAAAACGGTACGTTGTTTATTCATTTTTCTGAACTCGTGCTTATATACAATATAAAATATTAAAAATAACACAATTATCACATAAATACTTTATATTTATTTATAATTTACTATTTAATTAAAATTTTTATGTTGATCTGTTTAAATTAACAAAATAAAACAAGAGAATTATATATTTTTTCAATTATTGGAAATGCGTTTTTATTTTTCATGTTTATAAAACAATTATTTTAATATAAATCGAAAATATTTTTATATATAATTGTTGTTTTTCAGTTTCGAGAATTTCTGATGAATTACAATAAACTGTCAGAAATTTGTTTCACTGATTGCGTGAGTGATTTTACAAGTCGTGATATTAAAAAGAAAGAAGAAAAATGTGCTCTAAATTGTATGGAAAAATTCTTAAAAATGAATCAAAGAATTTCTCAAAGATTTCAAGAATTTCAAATGCTTGCTAATGAAAATATATTGGCAGCCGAAAAAAAATTGTCTCAAAATAAATAAAATTCTCATATATTTTAAGTTAATTGCAGGTAATATGTAAAGGCTGATGTAAAAATGTATATTAAAAACTTTGATTTTATATTTTCTTCCACTTTTCATTGTTTTAATTTCATAGATTTGCCTATTAATTTTTCAAATATTTTATGAACTTGAAAATTTTTAAGTTACATTAATTATTATCTTATTTACAAAAAATCATTTAAAACTTTATCGTATTTGAAAAAAATAATGATACAGTTTTCCTAATTTTTGAAAAATAATAACTACAATTTTAAAGATTATATCTATTACTATTGTGAGATGATAATAAAACTGTTAGAATTGTCAGAAACTAAACTATTTTATTGAAATAATATAATAAAAGTATTATGCTAATTTACAGGCCTATTTTATATAACTTAGTAGATTTTTTTTTCGTCTGGAACTATCCTATATATATATATATTATAGTTATAATTAAATTTCTCCCAGTCTTTAGAAATTATGTAATAATATATTATTATATTGATACTTAACATTAAATTGAACGTAACATTACAATTAAATATCTTACAATTTAGCAAACATTTTTTTACAAATTCGAAAATACAATTTCAAAATACATCCTCTAAATGTAACAATAACTTCATTTAAAAAAAGAAATCTATTTGCGAATTTCGTAAGTGCTAATAATAAAATCAATCACAATTTTTATTTAAATAATTAAACAATATAAATAATTCTGACACTTAATATTAATAATATAATTATAATAGTTAAATAAACTTTATTACATTTAAAGTTAATTTAAATACCAACATGAAATTTAATTAAAAGTTAATAATTTTTCGTTATAAAATAAATTTAAATGCTAGTAACATTCGTTGTTATTTAACACGAAACTATTCATTATTTAATCGCAAATATTTTTTACAATTAAAAATTCAACACCGAAAAATATGTTGTTTTTTTTTTTTTGACTAATTATAGCCAAAATATTTTTCTTGTATAATTATTCAAATTTCCGAAAACTATTTTTCGTTAAATATTTTTTTTTTAGAAAACATAGAATATGTTTTTTTTATGAAAATACAAGTTAAACATTATTTATAGAATATTATTTTTCTATATTGGAAAATAACTGTACCGTTTATTTGTTCCGGTTTTTCTAATTGGATTTCGAATGTCCAAAATTGTGAAATCTTAATTTTGTTTGACTATCGAGCCCTGAATTATGTGTATTCCATTCGAATTGTGGTAGTTTACTTAAATTTTGCATTGAACCAATATTTTGCGATATCATTGATGATGAATTATTGAAACTTGTGCCTGATATTTGAATTTCTTGATTTTGCATTACTGAATCGGGAATTGGTGAGTTTGGTGGTGTTTTTCTTAGTCTTTTATTATCTGAAAATCGATTTAGAGACACTTGATCAACACAAATTGCCTGCGTTGTCTGTCGTGTCTTATATAAAATTGGACAACTTAAATCGCCCTTTAAACTTAAACTATAAAGATTTGCGAGTCTTCTTAATTTTTCACGTTCAGGCTGATGCATTGGATGTAATTTCAATTCACTTTGATTTGGATCTTGTAAAAATCTTGAGACTTTTTCATTTGCCGATGTAATTATTGAATATCCCGGTTTATTATCGACGTGTCGACGACCAGCGCGAATTTCACGTCCATTTATTCCATCGCGAATCCATTGAATTCTTTGACGATAACATTTTCTTGCCTCGTCAGTAAGATGCTCTGAACTACCGTGTAAAATTGCTTGAAGAGCTGAATCTGCTGCAACTTTATCTTCGCTTATGATACTTTCGGTGTCGTCCCACCAACTTGATTCTCCAATCCAATCGGATTGTTCATCGTCACCTGTAAATTTTTATTATTATTATTATTATTATATATTCAAATTTTAATTGTTAACTAAAAATTTAATTTAATTTTCTTCATATTCAATTTTTAATTTTAATTTTTAATGCAAAGAAAGATCAAAATTAAAAAATGTTCACTCAAAAACTAAATTTGAATAATTTTATTGTCTTATTTTTTTACCTTCACGATCTTCATCATTTGTTACTATTCCTGTCTCGGAATCGCTCGACGAGATACTTGAACTTGAAACTTGAGAACAATCCATTGCATCTTCACTTTGAATTTTTCCTCTATTTTTTGATTTTGAAACACGAGTTGGTTTTGGCGAACGCATTTCACAATCTATTGATCGCTCGCGACATGATCTTTTTCTCTTTCCACACCTGTGATGTTAATGATGATGTTAGATAAATTTTCAACTATAAATTAAATTTATTTACTGAATGAAAATTCTATTTTTCTTTAATGTAATTAAAAAAAAAAATGATTGTTGCGTAGTATTATTTATATTACCAAATTGCTCCGTATCGATTTTCGCAATCGTTTCTAAAAATTCTCTTCTTTTTTCCAACTGAAGTGGAAATAATAGCAACTGCCTGTGATGTTGATGGATTTGAATCAGAATCAATGGCCATTCTTTTGAATTTTCTTTTACGTCTTGTATTAATTCTTGGCACGAAATTTTCATTAACAGAATCACTTTCAAAATTACTGGCATTATTTAAATTTGAAAAACGAGCAAATCTTTTTGTGCGATTTGTATCATCACTATCGGATTGATATTTCGATGAGGAAGCAGTTTTTGATACTATTCTTATGTCACAAATTGACGATGAACTGTCATCTGAATGTTTATTGGCACTTAATGATGCTAAACAATAAATTATTATTATATAATTATAAATTTAATTAAACTTATCGTTATTTTATGATAATAAAATTATTTAATTTTTGTGTAAAATAATATATATATATTAGATTAAAAATATATTACAATAGAAATATGAAAATTGAAAAAAAAAAAATTAAAATAAAAAAATTTTTCACCATGACAATGACTTTATAGACTTACGAATATTTCCTGTTGAACGAGCACGTCTTCGAATTCCCCATCTTCGTCTGACATTTGCACTATTGCTGCTTTCCTCAAGTGCCAATGTTAAATCATGAACAAGCGCTTCCATTTTTTCTCTTAAATCCACTGGCACTGCTTTTAAAACACGCTCCATTTGAGGGATGGTTTATTCTAAAAATATATATATATATACATGAATATAAAATAAAAATATAAAAAAATATAATATCTATTAAATACAATACTTTTAATTAAATTATCCATATTGTCAATAATTGAACAAACGATTAATATGTCGAGACGTGAAGTACGTACGTGTCAATCATTTGTATCCCATGACACTTTTACTTAACCCTTTTAAAAGTAGGGTTAGGACATTATATTTTTTCTTTAATATTTTATTTTTGTAAATAGTATTAAAATATTTATTAAACGTATACTTTATTTTATTATTTTCATTAGAATCAGTAGCTGTCAATTAAATTTTATTAAAAAAGAAAAAAAATTATATACCCGTTTTAAGAATGGGTGGTAACAAGTTGCTATAAATATAAAATATAGTCGTAGACTAACAAAGAATAAAAATTTTACAACTATTTTGCATATTTTAATTTATTTATAATTTTTTTTTTTTGCTATTATTAAAATCTTATACTATATTTGGCATTAAATGTAAGGTACTGTACCATGAAATTTTTGTTATACTAATTTTTATGTATATATACTAACTCATAATTAATAAAATATTATCGTCAATTGTTTATTGAAAACAAAAAATTAGTAAAATTTATTTTAATAAATACGCAATTTTGCGTTCTATAGAGTTGACCCTTGGGCATATTAAAAATAGAAGAAAATCCTGACAGTTCGAATGTCTTCTACTTACAGTGATGACAGTGATTAAAGATTAAAAAATATAACAAACTGTAAACATTTACTAACCTGTCGTACACTATACTATTCGCAATGCGAGTTTTCCTTCATAAAATCATGACTGAAACATATGGTTTATTGAAATTTAAAAAAAAAACAATACTTAGTTTCTAAATATTTGACAAAAGTAGGCGATCACTGACTTCTTGGGATAAATACATGTAATTATTTTTTTTTTTTTGCTTCTTTCTCCTATACATATGCAGTGACACAACAACATATACAGACAAACGTCATTTTCCTGTTTAGTAAATATTATACTTCTCCCGGGTTATTTAAATTTTAAAAATAAAAATAAATATTTTAAAAGAAATATATCAAAGAAAAATAAAAAAAAATGACAATTTTTTTTATAATTTTTGAGTATTAGTAATATTTTAGAAAAAAATATATTTATTGATTGCATTAATTATCCGTTTTGTAAAAAAGAGTTAGGGATATTAAGGTTAGAAGCAGCACTAAAAGTAAACTATGCGCAATGATTACTGCACATCCAACCTCAAATTATTTCATGATTAAAATTAAGTTTCTAATAGTAAAATCTTGATGAATTATTTTATTGTTTATAAAAAAATATCTCAATTAACTTTTCCAAATTACAAATGTGTAAAAATATTGTTAAAAACTCTTTATTTTTAAAGAAAAAATTTTTCAGCACTGATGGGATTTGATATTTTGTGTTGGCAACATTTGCTATGAACATTTATGTCATTTCCGGTTTAAACCTGAGAAGAGACGCTTGCGCCTTATGCGTCAAAATTTACTTTTTTGCAGTAGTTGCTTGTTCGTGTGTGTTGTGTGCAGTGTTTTGTGCTTTGCATATGTAATAACAGACAAATGAACTCGACGACATTACAGCTTGAATGTGGAAAAGTAACAGTTGTTTGTGAAATTCGGACTGCTAATTTGCAATACTCAGCGAATTGGGAAACGTGAGATTAATCGACGAATTTGGTGTTTCAAGTGCAAGTCCTTATAAAAGAGGCCGAGCTGTGTGGCCCGGCGGAATTACACGATGGAAACTGCCGATCTTAATGGCGGGAACGCCGAGGTGGCGTGCGAAGGTTCTAACCTAGAAACTGTTGAACAGCAATCAACATCAGCAGAGAAACAATCGAACGAAAAATCTGAAGAAACTAAGGAAATTGAACAAGAAATAAATGGGGATTCAACAGATTTGTCAAAAACTGTCATGTCACCGACGCGAAGAACTTTGCGTAAAACCAAGGCCAATTCGACAAGCACCGTCGAAGCCGTCGAGAATGACGCAAAACCCAAAATGAAGGGATGTAAACGGAAACTTTCAGATCCTGATATAAATTCCGAGGAATCACTTGATTTCACCGGCTTTGATAGTCGCTATTTTGATAATTCTGAGTCGGGAAATTTAGTTCTTCAAAAATTAATTGGTAATTATTCATTTGAAAAATTCTCGTTTCTTCATGAATCAGAATAAATTATAATGGCAGTCACTTTTTTTTTTTTTTTTTATTACAAAAAAAGTATATATTTAAATGTTTAAAAGAGTTTTCAACTATTTTAACTTTTAATGCATTTGTTATCGATTGAAAAATAATTATAATTCCTTTTTTAATATTCTGAAGTTTTTAATTGTTAACTATAACCTAAAAAATGTTAAATAAATATTAAAATATGGCGTTTAGAATATGAACTGCTTTTGTTTGATGTTATCAATTTCGAATTTTTAATTATAACAAAAGACGAATTTATCAATTTTTGTTTATTTACTTACAATTAATTAAATTATAATAATTTACATTAAGTTATTTACTACTTGTGAATTTTAATATTAATTATTTTAAAAAAAAAAATAGAAAAAGGGCTTTATTAATAAAAAAAATAAAAAAATATTTGTTTATAGCTGAAGTAGAATTAACGGTTGGCACAAAAGCAAAACGTGGTCGTCCTTCACGAAAAAGTTTATTGAGTGACAATAAACCAGATGATATTTTAAATGACGTACGTGAAATTATGTCCGCCAAAGAGCCCGAACCAATGGATGTTGTGAATAATTTTAAAGCTGAACTAACACATCAAAAATCTGAAGAATCAGTTAGTAAATCGCCCGTTGTTTCATCTGTAAATAATAGTACGCCTAATATTTCGGCAAAATCAAAAACAAATCGTTCATTGCAACAAACAACCAGTCCTTCGACTCCAGTTGGAAAGCCAAAAACTGACATGTCAAATCCTGCTTTTCTTGAGCCATTTAAAAATGGTTGGAAACGAGAATTAGTTTATCGTGGTGCTGGAAGTGAAGCTAATCTCAAAAAAATGGCTGATATTTATTATATCACACCTCAAGGAAAAAAAATTAGAAGTTACAAGGAAGTCTCTTTCCATTGTAAGTAATAGTTATTTTTAGATTTAAAAAAAAAAATGTATTAAAATTCTAATTCATTTTTAGTAATTTTATTTTACTATTTAATTGAATCGTGAATTTTAAAAGGGGCTCAACTCCAAAAAGTGTTGAGGCCTTTTTAAAATTCACGATTCAATTAATTGTAAAAAAAAATAAAATAGTTACTAAAATATCTATACAAATAGATAAATTTGTAACTTTTTAAAATAATGTACTCAATGAAACTTATCAGCTTTCATGTTAATAAAAAATTATATGTAAAATTATTTCTATAGTAACAGCGAAAGACAATATGACAATGGACAATTTTACTTTCCATAAAGAACCTCTTGGCTTGAATGATCCCGAAAAGGAAATAATCCGCGTAGCCAGAAGACAAGGAAAGGTATGTCTATTTTTGACTTAAAAAATAAAATGAGATTTCAATTTTTATCCAGACTTTTTTTTAAATTCGACTTGTAAATATGTTTAAAATTGAATGAAGATAATTCCAGCCATCTGAATCAATATTTGCATATAGTTTTAATTATTTTATTAATTATATAATTGAAGATAATTTCAATTTTTTTAAATTAAATTTTTGGTGATAATTTTAATTATGATTGAGTAAAAAAAATTTTTGAAAAAAAGTTATATTTTTATTAGGGGGTTATTCACTAAGATCTGAGAGATATAAAAAATATAAATAAAATTATATTAAAATTTATATTATTAAAATACAATTTGTAATGGTTATGTAACTTAAATTTTATTTACATTAAATTTTTCAATTTTTAAGGTTATTTAGAATTAGATATTTTGATAAAGAATTGAGAAAATATGTCATAAATTGTAAAATTATTAGTTCAATTTTGAAAAACAGGATTTCAAAAAATGTTTTTAAAAAATACTTTGCACATATAACGATAAAGTTTTAAGGTGTGAATATTTATAATTTTTTTTTGTAGGATAACACTCCAGCAGCAAAAACTCCAGTAGTTAAAAAAGTAGCTGCTGCTGCTACTACTACTGCTGCTGTCACTGTCGCCAAAAAAACGCCAGCGAAAAAAACAGAAAATCTTCCATCACAAGTATCTACACCAGCAGTTGCTAAATCCACTCCCTCTAAACCGGTTGGAAGACCACCAAAAAATACACCAGCTTCACAGAAAGTTAAACCTGCGAAAAAAACTCCATTAAAAAGTAGATTGTTTTTTTTATAAATTTTATAGATATAATTATTTAATTTTTTTTGCAATTTCATTTTTACAAATTACTGATTTTATAATAATAATAATTTTAGAAGAGGCGAAACAAAAGCAATTGGAACAAAGACAACCATCACCGCCTGCAGTTACTGAAGCTAAGGAAAATGATTTGTCACCGGCAAGATCTTCCCCAGCCACTAGACGCAGTCAACAGGCAATTGAAAAAACTGTTTCGCCGAAAGCAAAACGACCGTTAAAGTAAGTTATTCTTTAATTACATACTATAAATCAATTTCGAGTATTATGCTTTTTTTTTATTTGAAAAATTATTTTATAAAAAAATTCTATTTTGTATATACTCTATTTAATTTTACTTTACTATTTGCATATAATTTTAATAATCTATATTGAGTATTTAAGCAAATCCCATTTGGTTAGGAAAATTGTTAATTAACTTTTTGAGAATCTAAATTTTTTTTAAGTAGCTTTTTCTCTGTTGTTCATTATAATTGAACAATATTCGATATTCGTTTTTCATTCAACTGAAAAGTGGGAAATTTTCATAATTTTGCAAAATTTGAATAAACGATTTTTAAATTCGAAATTTGGGAGGGGAAAAATGTGATTATGTTAATTAATTGCAAAAATTTCAAGATTCATTTCCTCTTGCTGTTTTCGTCTTGTGTTTCACAAAATCATCATTCCAAAAGCCATCACTAATTCACTTTCGACACACTCAGTTTTTGAATACAAACAACCTATTGTCCCTTTTCCCTATCAACGCACATCTTACAGGGCCAAAGTTCTGGAACCGTGTAGTCTACGATGTTCAACCAGTATGGGACAGATACCCAGTTTACAATGTTCAGTCTGCCTTTGTCTTTATCATCCCGAATGCGTTCACGTTTTGGAATATGCAGGCTGCGATTATGTCTGTGAGGTACGAATTTTACACAAATTTTAAATAACTCAAAAAAGTGCATGAACGAATGAATTTAAGAATTCTTATTAAAGAATTAGCGAAATTAATATATTACCTAAGAATTAAAAATATCGACTTCTTTCATCTTAAAGTCGATCAAAAGTCTGATAAATAAAATTATAAATCAAATATTGTTAAATTTTCTTTATCAAACGAAATTTAATTAAAATTATATTTCTTCTACGACATTTTTATTCAACCGAATTTTCATTGAAAGTAATAAAATGTTTGAACAAATAAAAATTTTATTTTATAAAAATTCATATAAGCAAAAGTTCTCTTTAATAGAAATTCGGATAAATACAAATTTTGTTAAATAATAATTAAATGAAAATTCGGAAAAATAGAAATTTGATTAAATAAAACTGATTTTTTAAATGAAAATTCTCTTAAATATAAATTATGTTGTATAAAAATTCTGAAAAATAAAAAAAATTAATATACTTATAGAAAATCAGGAATTAACTTTAATAGTAGACACTTTAAAAAAGTAATTCATTTAAACTTATTTCAAAATTTGTAAATATAAATAAACAAGTAAAAATTTCAATGGCATTTTGTCCGAAATTTGTTTGAAAAATTCGATTTTGTATAAATATGAATTCAAAAAAAAAATAAATAAATAAAAGGCATTCTATCTGAAACCGTTCCACCTTCAAAAGACGATCGCTAGCAGAGCATTTTTTTAAGTTAACTTTTTTTAAATAAAAAAAAAAATAATTTATATAATGTTACATATTATTTCGAAAGAGAATTTAACGACCTTTCGATTTGTTTTAACATTTTTCTTAATTTTTAATTAATTTTTCTAAAAGTAATAATAATTTATTTTTGAAATGTTTCTAAAAATATTATAATTTGCAGTCACATAATTTGTTACATAATTTTGCAGAATCATTATATCGAGACACAATAGTATCCAATTTTTTTTATTTTCAATAAGATCACCCCTTTGCTTGACATTGAAAATTATATAAATAATCATTTATATTTAAAAAGTTTTCTTTTCCTATTTGCAATCAGTTGTACGACTATTTTGTTAATTTGAAATTATTTAAAATTGAAATGACAATAAATATTGACACCACGAATTTTGAATTTATAATAAACAACTACTAACAATTTCTGTTAGCAAATTTTAGTATAATTGGAATTTTGTTAGAAAAAAAAAACATATTAGAAATTAAAATTTATTAGAAAAAAATTTTTAGAAATTCAACAATTAAGAAAAATGTTAAGACCAATTGAAAGATCATTAAATTCTCTTTCGAAATAGTATGTAACATTATATAAATTATTTCTTTTTTTATATAGGAAAATTAACTTAAAAAACGCTCTGCTAGCGATTGTCTTTTGAAGGTGGAACGATTTGAGATAGAATGCCTCATAAATAAAGTTTTGGTTTATTTATTTAAAAATTTTTCTTTTTTTTTTTATAGAATTGTCGACAGGATTCAGAGGAAACAGTGTCACAACTTCAACCGCAAAATTCGACTCTTACGCCACCTCCATTAATACCAATTAGTATGATAGGTACATCAAATATTAAATCAAAACATCCAGGTAATATAGCACCTCCAAAATTACAACGTATACCAAAATCCGATGGTACGGATAAAAATTTACGAATTGTTTCGAAATATTTAAAATCAGGTCCCTGTCCACCACCACCAACACAAGTAGCATTGCCACCACCGCCTACTCCTCCTCCTCCACCAACACCTCAGTCTCATTCAGTATCACAATCTGAGAAAAAGGAAGCAGCTTTGTTTAATAAGAATGACAATAATGAATATCGTCACAGTTATGATGGATCAGTACCAAAACCTGCACAGAATATTGCCACAATGGCAGGCAAACGTTATATAATTATACCAAAAAATAATTCCATGGCAGTGCAACCTGCTATTACTGTAAAACAAGATAAAATTGTTGAGAAAACTCCAGCTCTACCAATTAATTCTTCCACTGATAATACTAGTAGTATTGTTGACGAGGAAATTTCGACTCCTCCAATTGTTGAACAAATTGAAAAATCAAATGATAATATCAATGATGGTGATAATAGTGAAATTTCCATGATAATTTCAAGTGAACAAAATCAAAAAGAAAATTTAAAAGATGATCATGTTGACGATTCGAAAAGTATTTCAAACGATGATTCTACAGAGACTAAAGAAATTGTAGAAGATGGAAAAGAATTATCCACTTCAATGGAAATTGATTTAAATGATATTTCTGAACAGAATTTATTAGTGGAATCAAGTGAGGCTAGTAAATCGTTGGAAATTGTGAATTTGGGAAAGAAAAAATTGAAAAAATCAGTGGGAAAAAATCGAAGAGGTGTGAGAAATAAATTTTTATCGAATGGTACTTTACAGAAGGGTTCTCCATTAATACAAAAATCAAATAATTTAGATGATTTTCCATCAACGGCAATTCAGAATATTGCAAAAGCGGGACTAAAGTGAGTAGTTTTTTTTTTATTATTATTATTTTGTTTAATTTACCCCTTTTCCTAGTGATTTTTTTTTGTCAATTTTAATTAACTCCTTTTTTTTGAGGTTTTGGCAGTTGCTTTGTACATATTGTGTTTTATCAGTTGTTTCTTATGACTGCAAAACGCAGTTTTTACTTCAATAGAAAGCACTTTTTTATGGTTTAATTTTAATCCTCACTCACTTATGACGAGTTGGTTTTGTTTTTTCTTTTTCTATTGAATCATCGCTTTTTTCTATATTTATTTTCAATATTTAAATTTAAAGCAATTTTTGAAAGTGATTTTAGATGATCATGATGTTGAATCTGCGTTTAATTTAAAATAAATCATTTTTTAATTATATTAATTTTCAATATTTTTAGTAAAATTTAATTTTAAATAATATTATTTAAATATAAATTATTTGATTGCTAAATATGTATTTGAAAACTTTCCTTATTCTTCACAAGTAATGTTCCTCTAATTTGAAAATTTCCAATTTTAATTCTTGAATGTAAGTTTAAAAATTTTTATTTTTAACTATTATTTTTAGTTAAATTTTTGTTATTAATCATGTAATCAAGTTTTGTTTACTTACAGTTAATTTAATTTTTAATGCTCTTGGTATTAAAAAACTTCAAATTTTCTAAATCTCTTTTTTTTTCATTTTCTTATATTTTGTTATACTGTTTTTTATTATTTTAATTTTAGATTTTCAATCATTTTATTTTTGCTAATTATTGATTGATTTTTATTATATTTTTTATAATGGTTATTTATAAATGATTAACAAATCAATTAGTCATTGGGAAATGTTTTTGTAATGAATGAAAAATTTAGAATTCTCTTCAGAATCAACATCTCGATTATTAATCATAACGGTTTTTTTTTCTTTTTTTTTTTTTTTTGTAGTATAGACTTAATTTATTTAAAGTGAAATTTACAGATATTTTATATGTGCAAATATAAAAATTTTTTTGAAAAAAAAAATGAATTTGATTTTGATTTAAAATCGAAGCACACTGCCTTAGCTTTGAAATTTTGCCAAAATTTCTAAATGGTAAAGGAATAAATTAATTTTAATGTAAAAATTGTCTTATTGTAGTGTCAATGTAACTTTATTTATTTTAATTATATTTAGTTAATAAAATAATTGATTTTCAATTATAATTTGAAATTATTGTTAATAATGTTAATTAATATTAAATAAAATTATTGCATTAATACTACAATTATAAAGAGTGAATGATAAATGCTTCACTGGAAAAAAAATCTAATTCATTTTTACTTTTTATATTTACAGATATAAAGACATGTGCGAGCTGAAAAAAAAACATTATTTTGTGCGTCTTCCCATCAATTTTCCACAATTCCTCATCCATTGTTTCTTAATCCACACGCTTTCTATTTTCATATTCTCTATAACATTATTGACAAAGCTTTTTATTGATTTTGCAATTTTAAATATAGAGTTTTAGTCTATGAAAATTAAGAAAGAAAATATTTTGCGATAACTTGGAAAAAATTGTGAAATTATTGACATATTTTTTATAATACATATAAATTTTTTTTTTTTTTTTATTACAGAAGGAAACAAATTCAAGTTGAAACAGATCAAAGACAACATTTTATGGTATCAGTTTGTGCTGGTTATCATGCATTATCGAAAGTCTTTCAATACTTAAAAGTTCAAGAATTGTTGAGAGTTGGTCGTGTTTGTAAAATGTGGCGTGATCTCGCTGCACATCCATCATTATGGAAAACTGTACGAATGAAAAATAGTCAAGTGACCGATTGGGATGGTTTTGCTGAAACTTTAAAGAAACGTGGTACACAATATTTGGATTTGAGAAAAATGATATTTTCTGGTGAATCTGATGCAATGTGGAGAAATTTTGCAGCTGTTATACCGCACGTGAATAGTCTTGTGAAATTGGAATTTTGTCGATGTTCCGAAATTGGTGTTGAAGAAGTCATTAAAAATTGTTCACAATTGGAAATTTTAATAGCACGGATGATTAAATGTGACACATTGAATTTGGATGCCTTGGGAAATCTTAAACGATGCCGTGAATTAAGACTGAAATCGTTGGAAGGAATGTATTTACAAGATGATTTATCGTCTATAAAAGAATGCACTCATTTGACATTTTTGGTAAAGAGAAGTTTTCAATTTAAAGAAACTATTTTTTACATTTTTTTTTTTTTTTATTTTTATGAAATTTATATTTTTTTCTTACAGAGTCTCACGACGATTAAAGATCTCGGTCAGAAGAAACTCGAGGCATTACAATTTCTAGTTAATTTAGAGACACTTGAACTCGGTGAATGTACTGATTTCCCGGAAAACTTTGGCAAAGAAGCACTAGTGAAATTAAATAAATTAGAACGATTAAGACTGGAAAAAGGACAAGGTACATGTTCGACTTTTGATATTTTGGAAGGCGCTTCAAAAATAGAAAATTTAAGTCAATTGGAACTTGTTAATTTTGATGTGAAAAATGGTTTTGACAAATATTTGGCAAAATGTACAAACATCAAAAGATTATTAATTATACCAACGTACATATCGCAATCGGCAACAACAAATAATATGGTATTGGCTGGTGTTATTGAACTTTCACATAATTTGATACATTTTGTTTGGGGTGTCACATTAGAATTGTTGCGAGTCACTGAATTATTTGTCGATCAATGTAATCAAATGAATAAAACAGTTAGTGGTGACTCGATACCAGTGTTGAAGCCAGTACCGTGCTTAAAATTGATTCAAGATAACGTCGATGATGCGGAAAGTAAAAAAGGTAACATTATTTTTATAGAAAATTAAAATGTTAATTATTTTTTTTTTTTTATAGGTGAAAATAAGTTTTGTAAATATATATTTTTTTTTTTTATTTCAAGAAGACGATGATAAGCAAGCGAGTGGATCAAATCCCCAGGTGGATATTTTACCCATGTCCCAATTGCAAAAACTTTTACTCACCGCATTACCGAAAACAAGAGTGAAGATTTTGAAAATTCCTTTTAACGCTACATGGAGGCAGAATATTTCTGATACAATTTCACAATAGAAAAAAAGAATGAAATTAATTTAAAAATATTATTCAATATTGATCTTTGAGAGATTTGTTTCTTTTTTTTCTTTTCTTTTGATAAGAAAAAAAAATTCACAAGAAGATCTTGATAATTGTTGTGAACATTTTACAACAAGTATTATTAATTGTGCAACTTTTATTCGATACTTTGCCCAATCATTTATTGAAAGTGAGTGAGTGTGAAAAATAAAATCAATTATGTGCGGACAAAGACGGATCAAACAAAACCCTCATTAAATACAGAGGTACTGCTTAGTTTCAGGTAAATTTTAACATTAAAAACAACAACAAGAAATTGTTTGCTGTCATTAAAGAACACGTCCAATCGAATTGACAGTGAGTTTATTGCTTTGTTTAAAATGGAACAATAAATATGATAAATATTTATCAAAAAGAAAAAAAAAATTTTTGCAGTAAGATTATATTTAGACGTTAGATTGTATAATATTATGAAATATTATATATATAATAGTTCTAATTACTGTTTGGGTTTTAACGCTGCAAAGAAGTTTTTGGGAGAAATTATATTGGTAACTTGATAAATTTTGTAAAAAAGAAAAAAAAATACATCATCTTTCCTGATCTTGGGGATCATTAAAATGAGGGATATCTAAGAAAGCCCGGCGATGTGATAGGAGACTTTAAAAAAAAGGTGAAAAAAAATTATATTTATACATATATTATATAATTATATATATCTCATTGTTATCCTAGAATGACTGAGAGGCTTTGTAGAATATTAGAGGCATTTCTTAAGAATTAGATTTAGATTTCTTTGTAATTTTCAAATATGTTCTCTTTCTTTTTAATAATTTTTAATTCTGTCAAAAAAAAATATATGAAAATATAAAATATATATATATATTTCTTTACTAAATTGAAGATTCCTTTACAACGCGGAAATTCTTAGATTCCCCCCCTCACTTTTTTTTTTTTTTTTTTTTTGTTTAAACAATTTTTTATTTTTAACATTCAGGAAATTCTAGGGAACATAAACAGAAAAAATGAAGCGACATGAATAGAATAAATTATTAATATTTTATCAAATTATCTTGATAATGTTAAATTATTACTTTTTATTTATAGATGAAATTCTTACATATTCTTGTCTCATTGAACACTTTTGATTTATGAGATGTTTTAAACAATTAAAATAATAATGAGCATGACTTTTTTTTAAAGAATTATGCTCTTCACAAAAATATATTAAAGTGTTACTAATGTTGGTAATTATTTGTTTTTCATCATTAAGTTGATTTCTTATTAAACGTTATTTTTTTTCACGATATAATTATAAACTAAAAATTAGAGCTGTGGAAAAGTTCGAATTTTGTATGGGCTCGGATCGAATATTCGATTCGAGCCCATGCTAATTCTTATGGAGCGGTTCGAATTTTAAAAACTAGCACAGCTCTACTAAAAATATTTTAAATACAAATTATTTTAGTATAATTGTCAGCATAATCTTTATTTTAGAGATCTTCATCTTTATTTTATCTCTTTATTTTAATTCTCTATTTTCATAATCTAACATATATATATATATATATATATATTTCTAAAATAAATTGATGCGAAATATTTAAAATGTAAAAAAGTTACATTATAATAATTAAATTTAAAGAACAAAAATGAACAGTTATAAACTGTTTTTTTTAAATCTCTTTAAAAAAAAAGGACACTAATTATTTATTGTAATAAGTTTTTAAAAATACTTTGTTTTTGTAGGCATCAAAAATATGAAAATACGTCTTTAAAAGATTGGTTTTTACAGAGATAATAAATTTTCATTTATGTACCCTGATAAACATTAAATATTGTTATTTTTGTTTTGTTAATTAATATTATGAGATGACATTCTCTAGAATTTCTTAAATGCTATCTATACGGTGAAGGGCAATATTGAAAAAAAGGATTCTCCTTGTAATTTAAATTTTTCAAAAATTATTGTCAACAAAACGAAAACTAATTGTAATGAATTTCTTGAAAATATTTTTCAAACATAATTTTCCCTTTTTTCAATCATATGGAAAAAAAATGAAAATTTTTGAAAAATGTTCGATATTTTTGTTTTTGACATTATTTTTTTTTTGTTTTAATTTAAATTATTTCGGTAATACTAAATTAACAATTTTGTATGCTCTTCTATTAACATTATGTATAATATTTATGCACATTTATTGATGATGTACAATGTTTCAATAATTTGTTTATAATAAATGATGCAGTTGTCTCTAAAAGGTACAAGACAGTTATTATTAATTTAATAAAAATTTACGTTTTTTTGAAGACTCATAACAAAACTTTTCAATTGTGCCATAGATCGTTATTCGGTAGAGTTCTTCAATTGTATAAAATTATAAATACTTAGTTTAGATTATAAATTATTATTTAACGAAATTTAGATTATTTAATTACATATTTTACATTATACAAATAATTATTTTTGAAAAGAAAGTAAAATTCAAAATTTTTAACTTTAAAAAGAAATTTATATTTCCAATGTATTTTGATTGACTATTTTAATATAATTTACTTCACAATCAAATATTACACATTTTTTTAAATATCTGATAAATTAAAAGAATAAGGTACTTCCTATGTAATATTTTTTTTTTTTCAAATGTTACAGTTTTTGGACGTTCATTGGCTATTTTAAATTTTTGCTGATACAAGCAACCACTAATAAGGCAAACTTATGAAAATAGGTTTAATTTCCTCCCGCGTAATTTTGAAATGACCAATGGGCAAGATCGTTATAACGTCAAAAAAATTCGTCTTATTGTAGTGGTGCCATCTATGACAAAATAACGGAGAAACTATGGAACTACAGCTTATAGCACATTGGTTTGGTATATTGTTCATTTAATTTGTAGAAATGTGCGGCGTAATTTTAATAATATTACCAATATTACATTAACAGAATAAAAAGTAAATGAAATATTTATTAACAGTGATAGATTTTGGTATTATTAAATATGTTTTATCATTGTGGGAAGTGTTGGAAAAAGTATGCTAATTAAAAATTTGTGTTTCTAACCTTCAAAAGTACAAAAACTATTAATTATAGTAAGTATATTTGTAATATTTATCAGAAGAAGATTGACAAAATGAATAATTATAAAATTTTCATTTTTATTTCTTTCATTAACAATACTGAAAAAATATGAGATAACAATCTGTTATTGTTGTATGCAAAAATATTTATAACATGTCCATAATATTTACTTGCCATTGAAGGAATACAATTATATATTTTTTTTGTTTTGATGATGTTAAAATTGTCATAGATTTTAATTTTTAAATTCGTTATTTTATTTTAAAAACATATAATAAATATGTGTATATTTCTTTTTGTTTACAGAAAATGGATTGTCAATTACGTTTAATTATTCACAATAAGAGTTCTGTTTACGACAATCTCATTTTAATGCCTCACTGTTTAATTTCAAATAATACAAAAGAAAATTCCAAAAGTGAAAGCTATTTCTGTGATGATAGTTTATCTAAATATAATCCAATTCCTGTGAATCGAAAGGGACTTTGTTCATTTTTGGTATCTGCTTATGTTTCAAACTTGCAGAGATCTGATATTTTTAGAAAATCTGCATTTAAAATCTTAAATTTATTCATAAAGGAAAATTCATCTCTGCAAGATAATAAGATTGTCTTAATAAAATTGAGAAATCCGAGAAAATATTTTATAGATTACGCATGGTTAGTAACATTTTAATATTAAAAAAAAAAATTTTTTTTTTCATATTTAAACATTTTCAATAAATAAATAAAAAGTCTTCTCCCAATTTTCAGGAATGAAAGAATAACACAAATGACGGCAGAAAAAAGAGAAATTGAACATGCAATGTCTTGGTTATCCACTTTAGGAGGAGCCTTTTCTGCCTTGGGGGAAGAAATTCCTTATTGTGTAAGATTTAATTTTTGTTTTATATAAAAATTAATTTCATTCAAGTTTCTTTTTAATTAGAATTTTTAATATAAATAAGGAGTCATCAACTAAAAATTTGAATTATTTTATATTCATAAATGAAATTTTTGTGAATCAAAAATATTTGATTTCACTGAATTTTTGAACATTGTCATTTTTGATTTATCGAAATTTATGTTGTAATTAAAATTTTGTATCATTCGTTGAAATTATTATTTAGATTTATGAAAAATTGATACTTTAAAATATAATAATAATTTCGATGAAAATAGTAAGAAAAAAAAAAATCTAACAAACCGGAGACTTTTATTGACTTTATTCTTTAAATACAGGCGGAAGTAGCTGGAAAAATATCATTAAAACAATTTAAGTTGGCTTACCGTTTAGGCGATCCGCTTTTGGTTGCTCGATGTAAACTATATGCAGCATTGAGTTTAATTCAAAGAGGAAATCTTAAGCAACCAAAACAAATGTTAAAAGCTATCTTTCAATTTGCCGTCAATCAAAAAGATGTGCGTCTTCAAAATATGTGTAATGGAGTGTGGGCAAAATTAAAATATTACCACGACAGAAGGAAACAATTAAAGCCTTATTAGCTGTAAAATTTTTTATAGGTAGTCAAAAATGAAAAATTATTGAACAAAGTTCTTTGTACATTTATAAATGATAGAAATAATTCGAAATTGATACTAATTTTTAGTTAGAAATATTTTGATTTTGATTATTATATTGAAACATGGAAAAATATTATTTTTTAATGTTTTTGAAATAAAATATCATATTAAAGAAAATTCTTTTATTTATAATCAAAGATTTTTCATAAAAGTACATTATTTATGGCATTGGATTCTCTTGAACTATTCGCAGTTTTACTTGATTATAATTTATAATCATCATTCAACAGGGTTGTCACAGTATTTCTATTTTTTAATTTTTTCCCCCCATTTTGTGTAGGTACTTTTTGAATTTCCCTGATCATTCAGTTTTTGTTTCTTTTATATCTGTGTCAATCCTATTCAAATAAATGCAATTGTCCAGTGGTTTTTAATTGACAATCAAACATTAATGTTAATTAATTATAACTTAAATCAAATTATGATATAATTATTAATTATTAACATTAATTATTGATTTGCGATTAGGTATAATGATTAATTAATTTTCATGCAAATGATGGCACGATATTTTAATTGATATCTCGTTGAGTTTATGTTATTTTTGCTTATTTAATAAAAATTTGTTGTATATATATATATTCCTAATGATAAAAATTTGTTGAGTCGATATGAACGGAATATATTGAAATTTATTAAAATCTTATGACTACTTGATAATATTTTTTTTGCAAGCTATAAATAGTGTTTACACAATAAAGAAATAATTGTATATTAATATCAAAATTGACCATGTATACTTTTTGTGTTTCAGAATTAAAAAAAAAACATGTGTGCAAATTATTTAATTTTTCAAGTGAAAAATGTAATTTGTCATTTTCTTTTGAATAGAGATGGATATTGAGGATAGCTTGCTTTTTTCCATGTCATGTGATAATCAATATGACACGTTCAGAAATACTTGTTACTTTTTTTTTTTTTTTACTGAGCGAGAGTTCCCATTGGATCCCAGGCTGGCAGTACAACGGGATCTTGTTTGAAAACTTCGAGAACATTTTCAGGTACGAATTTTTTATCTACAACAACTTCAAATACAAATTCTTTGAACCAATCAACTGTACAAAGTTGATAGCCTTTGTCTCCGTAATCTTTACCCCAGGAATTTTCAATTCGGAATTTCGTTGCTTTTTCATCCTTCTGAAAAAAGAAAAATTTATTTTCATTATATTTATTTTTTTTTAAATTATTATTCAAAACTCTTTTAAAAGTCAATTACAAATTTTATTTATTGCATAATTTTTTTGCTAATTTTACAAAAAAGTTTCAAACTAACACAATATTAAGTAAATTTTTTCACAATTATATTTAAAAAATTATTTTTCCCATTTTTTGAAGACATATAAAAGATGAATTAATATAAAAACAAAAACCTCGATTCTGTTGGGAATAAACATAAAATTGAATATAATAATTCTTTTAATTTTGACGATGCAGAAATTTTTTTTTTAAAAAAAATTTTAATTCTTAATCCTGTAAATAAAGGATAAACGGTTTTAATTTTCTAGTAAATATAAATTAATATAATTAACTAAATAAATCAAATGCTAATTTTATACTCTTAATAAAATATTTTTTTATCATTCATTTATAAAAGGGTTCTTCGTCTCCAATGGAGTTGATATATTCTCACGTTGTAATTTCTAAGAAAATCAATTTGCATCATAAGAAAAAAAAAGGCAGTAAAAGCAAAAAAAGAACTTACGTCTATGCTAACGCCGGTAAACACCATAGCATGAGTCATTGACGAATCCCCATAAAGCAGTCTATCGGCTTTTGAAAGTGTTATTTGAAAATCAGTTCCAAGAAGTGCCTCATAGTTATGAGCTTTAAGATCGTTAAGTCCCTGTTTTGAGGCATAACGTTTTGAAACTTCACATCCAAACCATACGGGCTCATTGTTTTTTATACTATCAACACATAATTTGATAAGTAACTCGGGAGCTTGATTATTATATAAAACAGGACCGCCTCCCCAAACATTACCCAAACAATCGAGTGTATAAAGTTTTTCAAATGGATTTGTTGGCCTTGGATCGGTAACTAAGCAAATTTTTTCATCAACATCAAAACATGATTTCACATATTTTTGATAAAATTCAACAGGTGTTATTGGTCCAACACTATTGTATACTTTTGAGCTTGTATAATAATCCCATGTAATTGTTTTCGATGGAATGCCAACGCAAATACCAACTAATTTATAAATAATTGCCATTTGTTCACGAATTTTTGTTTGAACCTCATCCTTTGATGCCTTATCGGACATCATTGTTCGCAATACTTTAGCAAATTCGCGAAGTTTTGTTTTTAACAATCCATTGAGTCGTAAACTCGCTTCACTTGTAGTTGATTCTGGAAAACATGTCTTTGGTACAACACCATATTTTTTAACTAAATTCACTATCATATGCCATTGACCACCGTCAGTCACCAAATCGCTTTTCAATAGAAAAGACACTAATCTTCCCTCTACTTCTTCGCCCCGTGCGGCAGTTTCCACAATATTTTGCAAAAAATAATTGCATCGCTCAATCTGTGAATAGAGAGAATTACAAAATTAATAAATTTTAAATAATTAATTAATAAATATAAATAAACTGTCTACAAACCTTGTCCCAAAAGAAAAGATAAGACTGACTAAATTCAAATTCCTCCAAACTGTATTTTTTCATGAATGGCGATCTCATTACATTTAAAAATGCAAAAAGCCAACAACGTCCAGAATTCTTTTGTTCAGTGATTGGCTTTCCTTCGGGATCAATTTTATAAGTAAAAACATGATTACTATTTTGAACAACTTGTCTCGATATACAAGCATCGGTTGGATTTACTTTTGTGCAAACATTTTGAGCGGCAAGATTTCGTGGATCATTATGAAAATCTATATGAAGTTTATTTAAATAGTCTTCGGACAAAGCGCCGCCTGCAAAAAAAAAAAAAAAAGAAAATAGATAAATCTTATATATATATATGTAAATGGAAAACTAGCATAAAAATATATTTCATTAAGAAAAAAAATATGAAAACAAACAAATATTTGTGTAGAAAAAAGTGTTCAAGGTTTTTAGATTAGATTAAATTTTTTCTAACTATGTACATACATTAAACATAGTTTTCTATTTTTCCTAGTTCAGAAATTTAAAGTTTTCAGTAGAATATGGTTCAAATTCTGGATTCTGAAAGGTTTTAAATTACATTCAACCTTCGGATACCTGAATTCTTTTCACAAATATCCACCGAACTCCTTAGGGATAATCCGGTTACTGTGACAAGTCAATAAGCGAAAAACGAAAAAGTTTCGGTAGATTATTTCTTCTTTTGTAAAACATTTTTTTTTCTCAGTATTTTGAATTTCTTAAATTTCAGTACCTATTTTTAAAAATCGTTTTTCTTTTTTCATTTTTTTTTTTTTTTTTGTAACAAGCCAATTATGAAAAATGTGTCAATAATTCTTTAAAGAATTTATAATGTATTTATTTAATTAAATATGAAATTATATAAAATTTTGGATTTTTCAAATATTTAACCCTCTGCCTGCTCTGGGTTGTCCTTATTCCAGCACTATAGAATGTATTTTCCATAGTTCCCACCAGACAATCGAATTGTAGCTTTTTGTCGATAACGGTCAACTGGCCAAGCAGAGGGTTAAATATTAAAATAATAAACTATCAAAATTGGAAATATTAAAAATCTTGAGCATTCCAAAAAATAAGATATTTGATTTAAAAAAAAAAAAAAGAAAAAAAATGAAAATATAAATCACAACTGAGCGCAATTAGAGACTGTTTTTTCTAAAATGCAAGTACATCTGAAATCTTGGTTATGAATGTATCTATTTATAGAAGTATTAACACATGCCTTATCAATTTACCGGAATTAAATTACACTATAAAAAACATACAAGTAATCGGTTAATACAGTGCAATAAAAAAAACTGCAATTATCTCTTTTGATGCACAATGGAATTTTTTAATCACACCTTGATTATACATATAGGTTTTTAATTATTATCGAAATTAAAAAAGAAAAATAAATGCAGTTATTTTCATTTTTTTTTTTTTCAATAAATTCTTATAATTTTTCCAAAAAAGACAAATTTACCATTATGTTATTCAGAAATTTTTTTTTAAATGTCAAAAGTTTTGTAATTTTAATCACTTTTTTTGCACACAAAATTATTTTTAATGTGACAAATAAATTATCCATTAGAAAAAAAGGCGATAATTTAACGTACTTTTCCCATAAAAAATATTAAAATAAATATTGAGATATGTCAATAACACTATAGAGATGATAAAAGAGATTATGCACAAGAAGAAAAATTGTGATTAACTCATAAAATCATATAAGAAAAAGAAAAAAAAATTCCATAAGATTAAAAAATTTTTTTTTTTTTTTTAAAGTAAATAATACTTGTGAAAAAAAATAGTAAATAATAATGCACTTTTACTCACTGCAATTCATTTTGTTAAATCGAGGAAAATGGTGGTGAAGTGAGCGTATGTGAACGACTCCAAAACCCAAGTGAAAGCCGTGCTCCAAATGACTCCAACGAATGACCTGAACACAACTGCGCATGTGTTGCAATAACATGAGGAGAATAATATGTGGAATTCTTGAAGATTTTAAAACTGCAAAAATGCACTTTAAACAAAGAAAACAAATAAATTAAATAGTTTTAATTTATACTTTAAATTTCGTTTGTTATAAGCGTCTCCGTCATTCTTTTTTTTCTATCTCGAATAGATTCATTTCACCTTAAAAAAAATAAGCAATCTATACTTTAAACAATGTTTCAAAACGACACTGACTTCATGTGAAATTTACACAACAATAATTTTCTTGCATTTATATAACTTTTTTTTTTTTATTTAATCCCGCGAAATTCGTTTAATTTTAACTGAATTTATAAAATTTATTGATAACTTATAATTTCATTAAAATTCAAATTTTTAACTTTTCTTTTTTAGTTAATAAATTTTAAAATTCTTCAAAAAATCATCTCCAAATGAATGAATTAAATTCAATTTTACATAAAACAAATATTATATTATATTTATAAAAGGAATAATTTCGTTCATTGTTGGATATAAAAATATTGAACAACATTATTTTTATAGAATGAATATTACAGAATATTTTTTATTTCCTATTCACAATGGTACACATGACCGAGTTTTTTTTTTTTTTTTTTTACTTAAATCTAAAAAATAAATTATGTACAAAGTAAATTACGAAAGCTTGTAATTATTTATTTCTGGGAGGAGTTCAAGTATCACTTTTTTTTTTTTTTTTTTTTTTTTTTTGTGTTTAAATCTGTTTCTTTTCTTTTTAAAAACAGATATTTAAAACATTTTCACGAATTTGTATTTGAGTTGGACGTTTCATCCATTTTGGATTCTAAAGAAAAAGGTGGAATTCTACAGTCGAATGCATATCCATCTTCACGTTCCATTCTAAAAGTTCCCCTGGAACAAAATTATATATATTTAATTAAATATTATTCGGCTATTATATAAAAGAGTGTAAAAAATATAATTTAAAAATTGATTTAGTTTTCGTCATTTTATATATTATTAAACTTGAAAAAACCTCACGTGCTCTAACATGAATTTTTGATATCAAGAAAAGAGGTTCAACTTAAATATTAATAAACAAAAATGGAGTTTCGTGATTTTTCTGGTGAAAAGTTATTAGTTATTAAAATTGTCAAAATTTCTCAAAACTTTAACATTAAAGGTTCAAGTTTCAACTTAAAAAATTCATTCAAACATTCAACTTAAATATTAATAAACAAAAATGGATTTTTGTGAATTTTGACTTTTCACAGCTAAGTTTAAAAATCAATTTTTAAATAATATTTTCAACTTCTTTTATATATATATATATATATACAATAATATAATTGATTTTTACTCGTAGCTGGAATTGTAAATTTAATTTTATACAATAGAAAACTAATTTATTTTTATCTAAACTATTGCATTATCTTTTATTTATTTATTTAATTACAATGTACGGGCTTACAAGTAAAAAGTTAAAAATGCCCTTTAGTGCAAAAGCACTTAATATTATAAAAATATATAATGAATATAATCACAGAATGACGAAATCATGTAGGTGACTTATCGACTAATACAAAATTAATTTTCGTAAGTCGTTTGTGAATTTTCCTAAAGATATACCAAAAAAGTCTAACGCGTGACAGTACTCGTTACCTCTAGTACAAATTCTGTTAATAACACTATTGTCTAAATAGTTAGATTTATTAAATTTAACTCTGAACAGTTTTTGATTTCTTAAACCTTTTGAAGGAATAATAAAATTTATTTTTGACAATATTGATGGACAATCGATTAATCCGTTAATAATTTTGAACAATAATAGTAGGTCCAAAAAAATAATTCTTTTTTATGCTTATATTTAAAAAAATCTAAATTTAATTCTTATTTAAAAGTTAAAACAAAATAATTTTTATTTTATTACTAAATTAATAAAATTATTTTTCCATTAAAAATTTTTAAAAAGATATTTAATAATCTGAAGTGAAAATAAATTTTCTTTTTAATTTTATCTAGATACTTACCACATATGACCACTTGGTGCTTGCAAACTGACATGACTGCTGTATTGAAAAGCAGGCAAAGTTTTTGAAAGTACAGGTTCCTGACCCACAACTCCTCGTCCTCGAACTGTTTCCAATGTACCAGACAAACTAAATATCCTCCAATGTCTTTCACGTAACTGAACACTTAAATCTCCAAGATTTTCAAGTCGAATACAATATCGCCACTAAAATTTTATTTATATAACAATTTCAGTGAAATATTTTTTTATGATTTAAAAATTTTTTACAAACGTCATGCCTTGGATCAATTGTTAAATATAATTATGACGTAAATTTTATTTTTGCAAATAAAATTAATAATTAAAAGTAGCATGTTCAGAATGTTATTTTGTACTTTTTAAAAAACTTCGACATAATTCAGCTATTAAAATTTCACGAAAGTGTTTTGCGCGTATTGTTAAAGTATCACTTTTAATAAATTAATGTTTCTTTTCTGTAATTTAAAAATACTAGACACTTGAAAATAAAACTAACAATAAATATAAAAAATAAGAAATTTATACTTTTGAAAGATCTAAATATTTAAACACTCTAAATAATGTTTTTTTAAAAAGTACAAGATTACAAAATTCTTTTATTTATTAATTTTCATTTTAAAATATAAAAATTACGTCACAATATTGTGATTAATGAATTAATAATTAATTATAATTGTTATGCAACAATAAGATACTTTATAGAAAATTACTCTATTCCAATTATTTATTTAGAAAAAATACTACTTGAATTTAAAAAAGAAATTCAAAAACTAACCCAATAAACGGAGGTAGTTTGACTCTCTCTACATCCCATATAAAAGGGAATTACAGTGACACGAATATTTTCAGTTGTTTCCTTGTGAACATCTGAAAGTTCAAGCCAGGGATGATTTTTCTTTTGCCAAGCTCGCAATGTATCTTGAGCAATAAAAGGTGGATCCTTATTAGGATCATAAACTAAAAATTTGTCAATTAATTCATGTTGAAGTGCGGGTTTTTCATTTGTTGTGTATGGCAAGATATCTTCATGTGCAACATAATCCAAACCAGGTATTGCGTATAAACTACGACTACCTTCTTGATTACCCAAAAATGTTACCGCCTCAGTTTGTGCTCGCTATTAGGAGAAATAGAGAAAAATAAAACTATTTAAACTATTTTACTTTCAATTTCAAATATTGATATAGCGGTTTTTTTTTTGTATACTTACAATGTGTGGACAATCTCGTTGATCTATCAAAACTTGATAAAATGTGTGAGTTCTGCCTTTAACTTCCTTACCAACACTATTGAAATTCCCTCCCTCGTTTCTAAGACAAATTTTATTAAATTTTTTTAATCAAGAAAAACTAGAAGTTTACTGTATGATAAATATTAAGAGATTTTGTTTATTCAAAAAGAAAAATATATTTATATACCCTTCTTTTCTGCTTGGTATATCTCTGTCATAAACTCTTGCCAGCCATGGGAAAAGAATAACTCCACGATAACCAAAAACCCTGTGTAAAATTAGCTGTCCTGTTTCATATTTTCCTTGTAGTTTTGGCGTTTCCAATTTACCAACTTCTGTCAGTCTAAATTGAAAATATTATTAATCTCAATATTTTCTTTTGTTTACATCTATATAGGTGTAAACTCACGAATCTACGCACTTTTCTTTGTCATACATGCATATACATATGTGTAATTTATTGACAATGAAAGTTTAAAACTTAGAAATAAGATAAATAATTTGAATAAATAAATTTATTTTCAACTTGTATTGGTTAAATAAATTTTTTTTTTTTTTGGAGCCGCTCTTGTCAAAAACCGCATTGATGTTTGATTATTAAGGTTATATTTTCGGCATTTACGTAATAAACATTCTGATATTACCTGACATAAGTTGCATTTTGTACGTAGAAAATTTGTTTTGACACATCCAAAAGAGAACTGCAAATTTTTCTACCGAGAAAGCCACGTACAAGTTGCATATTTTTGTTCCAAAGTACTAACGTTATTATTTTTTTAAGTAAAAAAGACTAATGTTTATTAAGAACTACATCACATGGTATACTACAGTATTTTTTTGCTCTAACCCTCTAACAGTAATCGACACTCTCGAAATTAAATATCGAAGATTGCTCTCGATTTTGTATTGGCAATACTGCACAGAGCGGTAAAATTTAAATTGCATACAAAGCACAAAGTAATATTCCGTGAAAAAAACACCTACTTAAATAATAATTAATTAGTTAACATTTTTTCTTTATTTATTATATTTAGAAGATTATTTTTTCAATTTACTTTTCAATTTTTAATTCTTTTTTTGTGTTCTCAGCATATATGAAAAAATTGGCCTAGAATGTTCAATCCTTTGAAATGAACATATTTTACTCACTAGAGTCCCCTGATTTTTCTTTCAAAAAAGAAGTTATCATTGTAAATTTACTGGTAAAAAAGCAATGAAAAAAAGAAAAAAAAAATCTATCTACTGTAAAGAAAAAAATCACCGATTTATAGTAAAACCGGAAAATGAAAATCTACAGAAATCTACATTACCGACTAATGATAAAACAAGAAAAATAAATAATTGAATTTATCACTCGATCGTCTTAGTTAAAATATGAAAAATGAATTGAACGATCACTCTGAGTTAGGTTTTTTTAAAGAAAAATAAATGTTTAAAAATTACCGACCTTAAGAAATCTACATTATCGACTGATGGTAAAACAGGAAAAAGAAAATATAAAAAAATACCGACACACATAAATTTACATTACTGACTGATGGTAAAATAAGAAAATAAAAATATAAAAATTACATATGTGACGCTCCACGGTGAAAGGGTGCTTAACTGCTTTAAATTGTAGATTATGTTCATGGTAGTTTTTGTTTTATTAAAGATTTATTTTTGATTATTTAACATCAAAAGCATTTTTTACTGAAAATATTGCATCTAATAAATAATTAAATAATAATAATTTGTTCCGAAAACTAGTTGCTTTTATTTATTTTTACTGCAAAGTTTAGTTTCTGTCAAAAACAGCTAAGTAACCTTTTACAGTGGAGCGTCACATATAAAGAAATCTACCTTACCAACTGATGGTAAAACAGAGGACAAAATATTAAATTATCGGTTTCCATAAATCTACATTACCGACTGATGACAAAAAAGGAGAAAAGAAAAATTATATGGATATCAGAGGGATTATAGGTGACGGATTAGAAAAAAATGTATAAACCAAAATAATTATTATTTAAAAAATTTATTATAATTTAATTCATAAATCGGATGAATGATGAACAGTTTAGATTTTCAAATAATAATTATTTTTAAAAAAAAATTCTAATACCTTCAGCAATTATTACAGCAAATTTTTAAATTGAAAAAATTATAAAATATAAAATAAAAATAGATAAAAAATTTACAAATATTTAACGTACAATTTAAATTAAAAAAAAAATATATTATATACCTACAATTCAATGAAAAACAAAAAATTGTATATTGGTTTATTTATATAGTGAATAAAAAAGAAAAGATGTGATGACGATCGCCAAATTTTATCAGCGATGGTGGTCGATTGCGTTAAGAGGCCGGAAAGCGGGCGTCGGTTTGACGTATCATCCGGTTGTGGCAGCTCGCCTTAGATGGGGTGGGGTGGTAGTCGTGGGGGCCTTATAAATGTGGGGGGGAAGAGGACAGCAAAGAGTGACTTTCTTACTCGTTATATACGCGACGATACCTGCTCCAAGAGTTGCAAGTGGGCGTACAGGCCGTGAAGAGAACGTCGTCCTGTGTTCCATACATGGCTATGCTATGTGGAAACTGAAAGACAGAGAGACAGTCCCCACTGTGGACTTGGCGGAGGCGAGTCCCCCTTACGACTTTACCCATGCACAACGATCGGCACACGGCCCATTCTCAGTTTTCCTGATCTCCTGTAATCACCTGCGTATCTTATCTAATCGTACAAAAAAAAAATTAAAAAATTACTCATACTTAATTTATAAAAAAAAATATATATATTTCCCTCCCTTCACTAACTCTCCCCCCCCCCCTAAAAAAAAAGTTGAAAAATATTATCATCGATATTAAAAATTATTCACAATTGTCAAGTGTTGAAAAAAAAAAAAAAAAATTGTTTTTAGTGAAAAAAAAAATAAAAATTATGAGCGCAATGCGTGGGAGTCGTTCTCTTATGTGAAACTGAAATCAAAAAATCAAGGGTGCCGCGCGCTGCTTGATGCGTCTGCGTGCGAGTGAATTCAAAGTTGACACGTGTTGGTGCGCGTGCGCGCACGCGAGTGGGCGCAAGCTATCAGTGAGCGTGTTTGTGTGATCCACGTGCGCGCAAGTATTTGAATGTATGTGCGCAAGGAAACCCCGCGCTTACCTTACGAGCAAAGAAGAATAGAAGGAAACATCACTGAAGAATAATATCATTGTATGGAGAGAAGGAGAATTTGCGACAAGGGTGTAGGTAGGTGGTATATTAAATGGCTATGGGAACATTTACACGTATATGTATGTGTGGGTTTCATTCTTATATGTGTTTGTACAAGTGAATAAATTAAGGAACGACCCACCCGCTCACGTTTATATTGCCTGTGCTTTTAACTAACTCAATATATATATATATATATATACAAGAGAGAGAAAATTTAATTCATTACTTTGTGGCATTATTCTATTTGTCCAATTTATCATATATAATGATTGTTTTCCAATATCATTTTTATTAATACATATATGTACAATTATTTTTATTCAACTTTTTTTACTACGCATTTGTATATTATTATTTTTTTTTTTATTAATTTAAGAAATTAATTTCTTTTATTAAATAAATGTATCAATTACTGTGGATTAAAATCTAAAAACCAATTTTGAAATGTAAAAGAATTTATAAAAAGAAAATGTCCAATTCTTGTATTACTGTGGATTTAAATCATTTATTGCGGTGCCAAAAACGGTAAATTAAATGTTAGATTGTCCGCAGTAATAGAAACATGAGAAAAATAATTCTATACTGCAATTAAAAATAATAGAAACTTGAATAATTTAATAAAAAAAATCGAAATGTGTTTGATCCGAGATAAACGAATCCAATGTTAGTTTTTCAGAATTCAAAATGGCGAATCCAATATGGCTGAAGATTTTTTAAAAATTGATTTAATTCGTTTTAAATAGCTTATTATTTGGGGGTTTTCAGGCTCATTGATCAATTTTGAGAAAATATTTTCACCATATTAAATCTGCCATATTTTGAAAATTTGAAAACAAATTCGTAATCAGCAATTACTGGATTAAAATAAATTTCAAAAATCAATCACTTCGGTTTTCGAGAATAGTTACTTTTTAGATTTAATTTCTAATTTTTTAAATACTTCCGTTGTAGTTACATTATTTTTTAATACACATTTAAAAAATATTAATGAAAAATTGAACAAATTTCATAAATAATATTATTTTTTTATCAATCAGTACACTGAAAAAAAAAATTTATTTGATTCAAATTTTTCTTATTTGAATAAAATAAATGGTATTTGCTTTAAATACTATAAATTTGTTTCAAATAAGAAATATTTGATTTAAGTAAATATTTATTTGATAATAACCAAATACACCGGTATTTGAATCAAATAAATTTTTTTTCAGTGTATAGAACAGAGAAAGACGCATTTCAAAAGTACTCTGCGATGAATTTAAAAAAAATTATAATTTCCATAAATGTTACAAAAAAAAAAAATTTATTTTATTCAATTAATCGGTTACTTGATTGTTATAAAATAAACATTTATTTGTATTAAATAATTATTATTTGAGTCAATTAAATGATTTATTTAATTCAAATATAAATATTATTTGCTTCAAAGAAATATTTATTTAATAATAGTCAAATAATCGATTATTATTTGAATCAAATAAAAAATTTTTTCAGTGTATCAAATCAAAAAATATGTATTTTCTTATTTTCAAAAAGATTTGGAAAAAAACAGTTAAAAAAAAAATGTTGAATGAAAATCTCACATGGAATTCCCCATAATAGAAAATTACTAATTTATTTTTGTTCCAATAATTGCAATTAATTTTGCAAATAGAAAATAAGGTTTTAATAAGAAAATCTTTATACCATTTGCTGCTGAATATATATTGTTTTTCGTATTAGAGAAAATCTTCGATTCCTTAAGGTATCACATCGGCACTAATCGGAGTCAAAAGTTTGTAGCTCGCATTACTACTTCCCGCACTATACTTTCGCCCTCAACTCCCTATACTCTCAGCCCATACTGTACCTACTTCTACAAATACACTCGTACACGTATACCCCACACTAGCAGCGATTGGAAGGAGTAGGAGGTTTGACAACGTCGCTATAAGTCTCGCTTTGACTACTGTGGACTACTGTCTCTCTCTATCTAATGTTACCATCCTGCGATGTTGCCACATCAAAGTGGCGGGTGTGCTATATATTGCAAATGACGTCATGAAATAGAATTTTTAATTTATAATTACAAATAAACGGCACGGTAAATTATAAATTTCTTTGTATATTTTAGTTCCAAATTTATTCGTGAATTCAACATTAGTTTTTGAAAAAAATTTATAGAAAACTTCTGATGATATTTATGAAAATGTACTTCTCCCCCATACATTAGTCCCGTCTCCCATGCAAAATAAGCAACTTTGATTGCTAATATCTCTGGTTTCGTACGGCGAAAATTCTTCATATTTTGCAAATTTGTCAAGAATGATAATAAGAACATATGGTAAAATTTTCAAGAAAATCTATAGAAAACGGTTTTACCGATGTGATACCTTAAGGAAGTTATTTTATTGACTGAATGAAAAAAAAAAATTCCTCCAAATATTTCAACCTCTCTTATTCTTCATTTTTTGTATTCGTTCACGTTCCTCCTTTTTTGCCAGTATCATCGTTATTCTTTTTTTGCCGAGCGGTGTTTTAAACTCAAATTCTTTAAATTTTTTAATAATTCTCTCACCAGGTCCATTATAATTTAATAGTTGTTCCATAATTTCCAATTGATCGAGTGGTTTAAACAAAAGTTGACTTCGTCTTTTTAAATTCAAAACTTTTTCAATTGTTTCACGAATAAATTCAAGTGGCAATCCAATTGAAACTTTTGCCAAACATGAAATATCAATATTTCTATCGATTCCATGATATTTCATTAGGAGATTTTGATAAAACATAAATAAACTATTGTAGTCAGTCACTGGAATTATAATAAATTTATCGTGAATTTTGATGAAAGCTTTTCCTCCATTATAAGGCTGAGACGTGAGCGTAAGGAAGAGTATCTGGATGGTGAAAAAAAAAAAAAAATTTTTTTTATTCCGGTTAATGATATACACGTGTATTATACGTGTGCGCAGAGCGGTAACAAGGACAGACTCGTGGGCGTCAAGAATCTGGGGACGGCACTCGTATATACATATATAATGTGAAAATATATACATTATATACATGTATACACGAACTCCAAGAATAATGAACATCGGAGTTTCTTTCTTGCTTAATTTCTCTTAATCGTTTAGAAACATCAAAAAATACTTTTACGGGTACAAGAAATCTAATCATATATTCAAGTTTAAATATTGAATTCAAAAATACTTTTTAATGAATCATTTGTTTCGATTAAAACGAGTATATAATATATAAATTAGAAAATTTTATTTCGAAATTCATAATTTTTTAATTATCAAAAATTCTATTTATGTACATAAATAATTTTTTTTTCAATTTCTAAACAATCATTTTTATTTTCTATTAATATATATTAATTTTTTTGAGGTAAATAAATTAAATGTAATAAATAAATTACTATAGTAATAATAATAATTAAATAAATTAGTAAATAAATTACTTTTATTTATTTATAAATAATGATTGTTTAATTTGTAAATTTTGTCTTTTTTTGTAACAAAACGGTTTTTTTTTTTTGTATAAAGCTTCTTTGAAAGAAAAATTATTTTTCCATTTTATTTTGAAATGCAACAGATGTAGATATGTATCAATAGGAAAATAAGAACAATGAAAATAAGGTGGGGATTAGTTATATACATATGTAGCTCAGATCTGGTTGCAAATGTGCATTAAGGTACACACTGCACGTCTATATGAAACACAAAACCTAAGGGAAACGGTTGATGAAAAGTGAAACATAGCATCCGGGATGAACTGAAACTTATCTCTCTCTCTCTCTCTCTTACTCTCTTATATAATTATGTATATACTGGAACTTCTGGTTTTATGACATTGTAAAGAAACTTTAATTTCCTACTTTAATTCAAAATAAAATTAATAAAAAAGATCTCATTTTATAATCATGATATGAATTACATGTCCGTCCGCAGATTCTTCCGCCTCAAGTCCATTTCAAGCAAATTGAAAATAAAATTTATATATATGTAAATATATAAATCACGTTAATTAAATTAAATCTCTAAATTATATATTACATTTTTTATCACTAATTTTATGTATTTTAAAAACTTAATTTCAAAAATATTGTTTACTTAACTAAAATTTAATTTCATATATTATTAAATTAATAAGCTTTTTCTGTTTCTAATTAATTAATTAATTTAAATAACAATAAAATGAAACCTGATCTCCTGGTTTTATTCCTTTTACAAATTTTGTCAAAAGTTTCGCCAATCTCTTTGGTTTTGTATGCTTTTCTTCGGGAGGAATTTTTTTCCACCATGGTTTTTCACCACCATCAATAAAAATTATCGAAGGTGCATAAACACGTGAAACTTTTTCAATTATATTCATAAGACGTTTTTCATTTTTTTTACTTGTATATTTATCAATTAAAACACTTGGCGTCAAGTCAAATACAAGTGCTCCACATTCCGATGAAATTGCATTTGCTAAAAATGTTTTTCCATATCCAGATAAACCACAAATACAAACTGATTTCACTTGGGGTGACATTAGATTTATTTGTTTTGAGCCCAATGGTAAAATACAATATTCCATGATGAGTTGTTTAATTTCACCCAATCGATGGCTGTACTCGCGAAATTCTCTTTGAGCTTCATAATTTGCATATGATAAATCACCAATCCAATCTTGTAATTTCACTGAGGAATTGTATCTTATTATATTTGCCAAGGCAAGTTCTTTGAACAGTTCCTCGACTGGTACATTCGATAAGGGATCTTTTTTTCTTTTTTTCATTTTTTTCCGTTTTTTTTCTATATAGTTCAAATGTAGTAATAATTAAAAGAAAGAAATTGTTACTGAAACTAAATTTAGTTTCAATTTTTTTAAATAAATTTTTATATTTTAAAGAATTTTATTGGATATAATTATTTTTTAAAGATGAATTTTTATTTTTTGAACTAGCATTTAACAGAATTTTTATTGAATTTTTATTTGACAGAATTTCTCTTTATCAAATTTTTTATTGAAAAAAAAAATTTTAATTTATTATAATTCTTATTCAACATAATTTTAAGTAATTCGAATTTTTAAATATCAGCATTTCCAATTGACCGAATCTTCACTTGTCTGAATTTTTGTTTGTGCAAATTCTTATTTAATAGAATTTTTAAAACAATAAATGGATCATCATTTGTCCGAAATTTTAAATAACCGAATAAAAATTTACTGAATGATTTTGACTTGATTTTGTTTGCTTGGACAATTGCAATTTCGGAGAAATGGAAATTTATCGTTTTAAAAATTTTATTTATCAAATAATAATTCGTACAAATCAAAAATTCGGACAAAAATGAAGATTTCGTGAATTGGAAATGCTGATTTTTAAAAATTCTAATCACTTAAAATTCTATTGAATGAGAATTATCAGTGTCAATTTTTTTAAAATAATATTTCATGGATTAGATGTAAAATTTTTGCTTTTAACCAAAGTTAACTAACCGCGTTTTGTTCAAACCCGTTTGTCAGAATTCAAGATGTTTTGGTTTTAAATTTTGACAGACATATTTTTAAATATTATAAAAATTCATTTATTCACAGAAAAATTATCAAACTATAAAAATAAAGAAAAAAAAAAAAAGTATGACTAACCTTTTTTAATCTCAGGCATAATTGATAATTTCTCTTTATTCCCAGCGTTATCTTTTCTTACGGCTTGTACCAATTTATTTAATTCAACTCGCATGATTTCATCAACAATTTCTCGCATTTCCAATTGTAATTTGTAGCATAATTCGTCGTTTATCAGATCAAAATGTATCGTTTGATGTTGATTTTCGGTTTCTTCACGTAGACTCCAATTTTTGATAAAATCATCGATAGCCTCACGCATATATGGGAGAATTTGTGATTTTGTTATTTTTGAACCCTTCTTCTCTTTTTCACTTACTTCTGTCTCAGTTCCTTTCTTTTTTTCTCTCGTTGTTTTTTCTTTTTCCATTTGAGCTTTATTTTTCTTTTTTTCCATTATTTTTTTTGCATATTCCTCGGGTGTTTGAGTTTGACCAGTCGCCATTAGAATTGAACCACCAGCTTCCGCATTTGGATAAACATCAAAATATCCCAATTCTCCGTACCACAACAAAAACCATTCTCGAATCTCGTCTGTTATATCCTCCATTAGGCCTGGTCCACGAATTTTCCAAAGCTGAAAATTATGAAACTGAAGTTACCAATGTTGATTCAACGAAAAAAAAATAGAATTTAAGAATTCTAATTCCCATATATCAATGAAATTTAATTATTTTCAACCCTCTCAAACCTGAAATAAAAAAAAAAAAAACAATATTTATCATTGTTTTGTCCCGGATTTTCCAAAAATTTCAAGGTAATTTTGATATTTCCTCAACTTGGAAGCAATTTTTCTCGTTTGATAATTATTTATTTCAATGCAAAAAGCATTTAAAAAAAAAGAAAAATTGCTTCCGAGGCGGGGAAAACAATATTTATTATTGTTTTGTCACGGATTTTTCGAAAATCCCGAAATTTCAAGAAAATTACTATTTCATCGCCTTGGAAGCAATTTTTCTCGTTTAATAATTATTTATTTCAATGCTAGAAGCCTTTTGAAAAATAGAAAAATTACTTCCAAGTCGGGGAAAACAGTGATTTTGATTTTTTTTCTCACAAATTTTTTTCGAAAATCTCGAAATTTCACAAAAAAATTTCTATTTCCTCGCCTCGGAAGCAATTTTTCTTTTTTTAAAAATGACTTCTAGCATTGAAATAAGTAATTATCAAACAAGAAAAATTACTTCCGAGGCGAGGAAATAGCAAATTTACTTGAAATTTCGAGATTTTTGGAAAATCTGTGAGAAAAAAATCAAAATCACTGCTTTCCCCAACTTGGAAGAAATTTTCCTGTGTTTTAAAACGATTCCTAGCATTTTGAAATAAATAATTATCAAAGGCGAAAAATTGCTTCCAAAGCGAGGAAATAGCATATTACTTGAAATTTCGGGATTTTCGAAAAAAATCCGTGACAAAAAATTCAAAATCATTGCTTTCTCCAACTTGGAAGGAATTTTTCTATTTTTCAAAAGGCATTGAAATAAATAATTATTAAACGAGAAAAATTTCTTTCGATGCAAGGAAATAGTAATTTATCTTGAAATTTCGGGATTTTCGAAAAATCCGTGACAAAACAATAATAAATATTGTTTTTCCCGCCTCGGAAGCAATTTTTCCCTTTTTTTTAAATGCTTCTTGCATTGTAACAAATAATTATCAAACGAGAAAAATTGCTTTCCGAGTCGAGGAAATTTTTTTTTTAAATTTTCAGAAAATCCGGGACAAAACAATGATAAATATTGTTTTTTTTTTTTTTTTTTTTTTTTTTTTTTTTCAGGTTTCAGAGGGTTAAAAATAATCAAATTTTATTGACTTAAATTCGACTTTTTTCGTTGAATCAACGTTGGTAACTGCAGTTTCATAAAATTTAATAAATGTTATGTGACAATTAAAGACGTCAAAATTTGGAAATTCTTGAACGTGTGTAAAATTTGCTTTATTCATTTCTTTTTTTTTGTGTCGGAAAACCGTTATATTTAATAAAATAATTAAAAATGTGAAATTTTTAAATTAGAGAATAATATTAAAAAATTAATTTCATTGTTAGTCATTACTTTGTTCTTTTCGTTGGCGACAGTTTTTTCAATTTTTTCAACAGCCAAGGGTTGTAAAGCGAGTCGTTGTTGAAAGTTTTTTTCGTCTTGATTGAAGACGTCGTCGTGAGATTTCCAACTGGGTATTGTCATTCCCAGCAGTGTCTCAAGTCGATTCATCTTTTTCTTAAGAGACTTACGGACAAGGTAACTTCTCCAGGCCTTCTGAATGGTTATCGTTGCACTCATTTTTCTGCTTTCGTTATCCATTTTAGGTTCTATCTCTCCCTTTCTTAGCTTATTCTCGTAATTGAACTGCCGCTCAGCTTGAAAAAAAAACAACATTTATCATGTTTTCATACCATAAATAGAAAGTTGAATCTTCTTTTTTTCAAATTTTTTTTTTTTTTTTTTGTTTTAGGGTAAAAATTTGTCATTAAACGATAATTTTCTGATAGTCGAGTTAAAATTGTAACAATATTTTCAATTATAAAATCCTATCAATAAACATATTGATATACGATGGAATTATCATATTTTACATGCATTATTAATCATTAATCTCGAGTGCAAGAATTTTAAACAATATATATATATATATGAATTTCCCATTGAGAATTGAGTTTAATTTACATATTATCAGTTTTGAATTACAACCGCCCGCCCTCAGTTAATTTATAAATAGTATATTTAATTACCACCTTCGTACACTTTCTAAAATTGAGGTTTCGAGAATATGAGATTTCATTTTGCGGATTTAGTTATAATTTTTTATAACATTTATTTTTTTATTTTTTTTTTGTTTTTTAATAAAATGGGTATATTTAAAAAAAAGAAAGTGTTATTCAAAGATTAGCATTTGAAGAGAATTTGAATATAAACTCTTCTTTTTTTGACTGCTACGTCCCAATTAAATGTCCTCTCACTTGTTAAATCTTAGCACTATCTTTTTTTTTTTTTAAAAAAAGTAATCAGCGAAAAGGTGAGAAGGAAAGGAAATGTTTCTTTTTTTTTTTTTTATAATGGATCGAATGCAAACTTCATTCATCGCCCCTGAATGAGTGGCAAAGTGGGGGGGGGGGGGGGGGGAAATGAGAAAAAAAGGAAAGCCAAAAGCAGGAATGTAAAATCCGGTTTTAAAACTTGAGTCTGATTCTTGATGTGATATCGGTTCCAGATTCGATTTTGCGCCTACGCAGATAACGGTGACGAAAGGGGACAGGGGACATGACTTTTTTTTCACTCCTTCTCTTTTCTCTCTCATCTCTTATAAAGTTACAACAGTATCACAGTGAATGGAGAGATAAGAATATGTACAATAAAATCTTCATGCCCACAAACTTTTCTCACAAAATTACGTCACTTTACCAGATGAAATTCAATATTTTTTGCTAAATATTGACAATAGTTGCAATTATTCAGTTATAGAGATTTCATTTTCAATATTTCAGTCTCATTGAGACAAGAATTTATTTTATATTCAGAAATATATATATATATATATATTTCATTTTCTTAAGTCTCACAAACAAGACAAGAAATATATTTTATATTCAGATTTCATTCAACGAATGATTTAATTCTTCCGTCTATCTAATGGATTGCTCTTTGTGAAAGTTTATATGTTCAAGTTCAATAAAGATGCAAATTCAAATCTAATTTGTAATAGGAGAAACTTGAAAATTTATTTTATTTAAAAATTATTTTAATTTTTTGCTTTTTTATTTGCTTAAAAAAATGTGCATAAAGTTCTTAACGTTCAAAATATATAAATTAAATGATTTTTTAAATTTATTTTTAAAAACAATGAAAAATAAAATTAAATATTTAGTAAATTTAATTTTGGAGACAGAAAGCAATATTTTAATAATAAAAAAAAAAAATTGATCCAAAAGTGATTTTTTAAATTAGAAAAATATTTTTTTTTTGTAATGACGGACATAAATTTTTATTTTATTTTCTCACCATGTTTCGCCAAGGAACGTGCAACTCTTGCTCGCTCATGTTTCTGTATCAGGAGAATTGCATCGAAGAATTCTTTTTGTTGCATTTTAAGACGCAATCTCGCAGCTTTTTCCTCTAAAAATTCTGCGTCTAATGCCAATTGCGCTTTTGAGAGTGGAACAATAATTTTTTCCGTTCTCCTTCGTAATCTTGGTCGTCGCAAATCCAATGCACTAGCTTTTCTCGATCCTGATTCACTCAACTCCTCAATTTCTTCCTTATACGTGACATTTTCTGTTATACAACAAAATTAATCATTAGCAATTTTTCATAAAAGAAAATTATTAAATTAAATCAATTTACTTTTTCTTATTTTTATTTATGTGTTTAAAGTTCTGAACACGTTCAAAATGGACGAAATCATTTTTTTGAGTCTATAAATTTTTTAAAAAATTACTATACAACAGGGTAAAATAAAAAAATATATTATAAACATTTAATAATTTACTTTTGGATACAAAAATTAATATTTTATAATAAAATTTGTAGCTAAAAAAGTTCACAACATTTATGATCAAATGATTTAAAAAAATTTTTTTAACTTTTCTCGATTAACAATTTTTAAAGGAAAATAATTTGTAGGCAAAAATTATTATTATTTTCCATAAAAAAATATATATATTTTTTTTAATTGTTGATCATAAACGTTTCATTTGAACATTCATAACTTCAGGCACATTATTATTTAATTTGTTCAGAATATTTAATATTAGAAATAATTTAATCAATTAAATTAAATAAATTTTGCAAAAATTACAAAAATAAAATATCGCATTAGAGCAGTGAATGTAAAATTGAAATAAATTAGTAATGTAAAAATTGTTTTAATTTGTCGAATTTTGAATATATTGATAAATTTTTTTAATGTTTAATTTAATTTTTAGAAAAGTTGAAAAGAAACATATAGAAAAGAAGAAAAAAGAAAATATCTCCACAGAGAACGAGAAAATAATAAGAAATTAGAGATAACTATAGAGGTGTCTCTCTATCTCTCTCTCTCTCTCTGTATATATATAAAATGTAATAGAAATAAAGTATCCAATCAATTTATTCAATTTTTAATTCATTGTATATGAAATTTAATCGAAGGTGAACGAATCGAATCAGATCTCAACCGCAATGAGTGTGCGATTGCATTAGATTCTCGATCACGAGCGATATAATTAAGGGGATATCAAAATCATCGTCCCACGATGTTATCAACTAACGTGCATTCGCGTTGGCGATCAAGTCCTCAATGTATTTTTTGCGCTGTTCCAGCAGAGCCTTTCTATCCGACGTAAAACACGCGGGAGTCGTTAGCGCTAAGTCGTCGGGCGTGAGCTTCATTTGAATCATGAAATTGTCCGGCCAACTGAGAAATAAAAAACATGAGGATTAATTACGTGAAAAGGCCTCCTGACTTTGCTAATTCGTCATTTTGAGGAACCAATCCATAGGAAATATCCAAATTTCACATACAGGTAATTTTTTAATAGAAAATTTTTAATGTACCTTTTTTCCAATTAAAAGCTTATAATTAAATTGAAATAAAAAAAAAAAAAAATAAGAATATCATAAAATAAAAAAATTAATTCAATTAAAATAAAATTTATAAAATGAAAAATTATATAAAAAAAAATTGACTAACGTTTAAATTACGTATGTTAAAATTCTTTATAATTTTCCAAATTAATAAATTCTTATGAAAAGATCAGTTCTGATCTCGAAACATTAAAAAAAAAAATTGTTTTATCTTTTTTGTATGTTCCTAAAAATGACGTAAATTTTAATTGATTTAAATTTTTATTTTTATAGAATGGTAAAAATTAATTAAAACTATAAAGAAATGAAATTAAAATTTTTTTTTTTCCAAATTTGTGTCTGAGACACAAATTTTTAAAAAATCCACCAAATAAATAAAATTATTATTCAATAATTTTTAGTATATATATTACCACTTACTGATATTCTGAATAGTCAAGATTAACAATTTCTCGTTTATACTCAAGCATTCTAATAATTGCACAATTTAATATTTGTTTAATTAAATTTCGCTTTTGAACTTGTATCACTTGATCGTGACATATAGTGAGTCGTTTGACAATATTTCGATATCTGAAATTAAATTAAACACTCAATAAATTAAAATTAATTAACTTAATTAAAAATCATCAATTTTAATTACTTTTTTCAAAATTTTGTATATTTTCCCTTTTCAAAATATTTATTTTCAAAAATATTCCCAAAAAAAAAGCTGAAAATTTGTCTTAATTTTTATAACTTTTATATCATTGTAGTAAAAAAAAAAAAAAAAAATACATACTTGAGGTAAATAGGCAAAATGCGATTTAAAGCTTCTACTTTTTTTTCTGTACTTCCATTTGCTTGCACTTTTTCGTCCAATTCTAATAACTGCTCCACGTCTTTTTGAGTAATTAGCCATAATTTCGAATAATACGATTCAGACATGAAAATGAAGTATTAAAATATCAAAGTAATTTTAAAAATAATTTTTGAGTTGAAAATTATAAAGTTTCCATTAATTTTTGCCTAATTATCATTTTCTTGAGGTTATTGCTGCAAAAAAAAAAGTCTGAAGTTGTCTTAATTTACATAACAAAGTAAAGGAAAGAAATATTTTTTATAGACAAAATAATAAATAATATTACTTAATAATAAAAAAATTTTACGTCTTAAAAAATATTTTTTTTTTCAAAAAATAAAAAAATAAATAATTTTTTAAGAGGAAATCTTGTTATATATTTAAAATTAATATTTTATATTATTTATAATCTAGAAATTAATTAATTGTTTGTTTAAAGGATGCCGAGGTTAAGACAAATTCTGTTAGTTATGGCGATGTTGATGTTGATGATGATGGGCTACTCTTTTGGAGCAGATGATGAAAATTCTACAATAACAAGACCAATGACGACTACAATAGAAAATGAAAATTCGATAAATATAACAACAACAGAAGCAACAAAAAATACAACATCGACAACAACTACTGAATCAATGTTAATCATAAATATAACATCATCGGAAACAACTAGTACTATTGAGTATACAGAAATGCCAGAAATATTAACAAAAGAAATGACAAAAATCACAACTTTGTTACCAAGTACAATATTCGTTACTCAAAATACTACTACAACTACTCCTGCTAGTAGTAGTACTACTACAATTGAACCTCAACAATCTTTTAAAGCAAGAAATGATTCCTTGAATGTAGCGTGGGAATGTCCTAATATAACGGGAGTCGGAATCGAGTGTTCTTGCGATTTTCCTCATACACTCAGATGCACAGGGGACAGAACTGGTCTGCAGGTATTGGACACTTCTTATAAATAAAAAAAAAAAAAAAAGAAAATAATTAACAATTAATGAGAATTATTTCTTATAATTTAGTTTTTATATTATTTTCTGATATTTAGATTTTTTTTTTTTTTTTGATGATTTTTGGTTCCGTTTTAATGGAATACTATAATAACTAGCAAAATTAAACGCGCGCCAAATTGAGTATTTAATTGTTTGTTATAAAGAAATTAAAGATTAATATTATCAATAATAATTTAATTTATTAGAATGTTATTACATTTTAAATGATAATAATGAAAATTATATGTTTACAGTCCTCGGATTATACGACTTTTTCCGACTTTTTTCAAAAATACGACTTTTATCGACTTATTTTAATAAACTGCGACATTTTTTTTACATTTGAAAAAAATGTAAATAAAATACATTTTTTTTAGTATAAAATATAGATCTTCTTCAGATCTTCTTCAATTCAATTATTTAACAAATTTTGAACTAAAATGATTCTTCACTAAATTAATTATTTTTAATATAATTTTAATGAAATTTAACAATTGTTTATAATTTAAAAAAAAAATATCACAATAAAATTGAATAATTTTTTGAAAATTTCAATTCAAAATAAACTAAAATTCAATTATTACCCGAAATTTTAATTCAAAATCAATTAAAAATCCAATAATTATCTAAAATTTTCAATTTAAAATTTAATTATTTACCAAGTTTTCAATTTAAAATGAAATAAAATTCAATTATTTTCTAAAATTTCTATTCAAAATTAATTATCCAAATTTTCAATCAAAAATGAACATTATTATCCAAAATTTCAATTAAAATTCAATTATTTCGTAAAATTTTCAATTTAAAATGAACTGAAATTCAACTATTTTCCAAATTTAAAATCAAATAAAATTTCATTATTCTCAAAAATTTGAATTCAAAATTAATTGAATTTTCAATAATTTGAATTTAAAAGCATCTAAAATTTAATTATTTCTAAAATTTTCCATCAAAAATTTTTTTTTTGAAATTTAATAATTTCAATTATACCTCTAAGGAAATTCAATTATTTTTAACTATTTTAATAATATTCTTTGAAATTTCAACTATCTGAAACCATTTTTTAATTAAAAACGATTTTCAAATTATTGTATTTTGTCCGCATTTTCTAATAAATTTTTAGTGAAATCATCTAAAATTTTAATTAAAAATCACTTAAAGTTTCAATTAATTTTAAAAATCACAATTTTAAATCTTTGAAAATTCAATTAAATTTAAAAATGTTTTCCAAAAATTGTTTAATAAATTATTTTTAGTTCTGTAAAATTTAATAATTGTTTGAAAATTAACAATATCTTTGAAATTTAATTATTTCTAAAAATTTCAACTTTAGCCCTTCGAAAAGGATTATTATTTAAAAAAAATTTTTATTTAAAAATCTGTAAAATATTTTTGTTAAAATAAAAAACAAATCCACTTTTTTTTGGAATATAAATCGACTGAAACGACTTTTTGTGTCTTTAAGTTGATTCGAGGCCTGTGTTTTTATAATTAATATTTAATAGGTATTCGTTGATCTCTGGTACCTTAAAAATAAATTTTGAAAAATAAATTTTTTTCAAATTACTATCTTGTACGAAATTTCCTGGCGCATCATCACTTATTCCGAAATTTGGAAACACAATTATACAACTTTGGCAAAAATGAGAAAAAAGAATTGTCAAAATTCGACACGTCATAAGATTACTATTTAAAAAAACACGTGAAATCAGAAAAGGACAACTTCAAGTTAGGACAGAAGGACAGACCAAGCATTTTATTATTATATAATTGTTATTAATAAATATTCTATTAAAATAGAAAAAAAAATAAATGAAGTAAAATTATTTCTTTTTATAGACAATTAGCCAACACTTGAGACACAATCATCTAGGCATTTCTCTATTGGACGTAACAGTCACAGGTATATCTACACTTCCAGCAAATTTTTTGGAGGACATTTCACTTCACGGTCTTGTTGTTTCCACCGGTGAATTGCGAAGAGTTCACGAAAATGCCTTCACATCGCTAAATAGACCACTTCAAGCTTTAGGATTGCCTAATAATCTTTTGGAATCAGTCCCAACTGCGGCTTTATCACGTCTAATTGGCTTAGACAGGCTGGATCTGTCTCGAAATAAATTAAAAATGTTGGAAGCTGATTCATTTGTCGTAAGGATTTCTCCATATATATTCAATAAATTATATATAAAGCCAGTAATATTGAAAATTAACTTTTCAAATTCTTCAATTAATTTCAGGGTTTGACAAACTTGACGTATTTGGATCTTTGCGATAATATGTTGTCACAATTGTCACCACAAGCATTTTCATCATTGCCGGCTCTTCGAAATTTAAAAATGCGAGGCAATCATCTGAGCGTATCAGCTCTTTCGGCTCTCAGAGGACTTAAAAAACTTGAAGAACTCGATCTTTCTCGAAATATTCTCGTAGGAACTGTGAATAAAAATCTTCTTCCAATTATGCCGCGGCTCAGGACTCTCGTGCTTTCGGAAAATGAATTAACCAACATTCAGCAAGGAGCACTTTCTGGATTACGAAATTTAACATACTTGAGCCTCAGTCACAATCAGGTATGATTAAAAAAAAAATTGTATTCCTTCAATTTTAATTCGAGTTAATATGTTAAATAATTTTTCAAAAATTGCGATCTATTTTCAGATTGACGTTTTGGAAGATCATGCATTCAAACATTTGTCTACATTAATGAGATTGGATTTATCGAATAATGGAATAATTGCCGTCTCCAGTTTGTCTTTGGCTCATTTAGAAAATTTAACGATGTTAGATTTGACGCATAATTTTTTACGATCTCTTACATCGGATTTGATTTTGCCACTTAAAAATTTACAGGACCTTCGTCTCGATGACAATGACATTACTTTAGTTGCAAGCGATGTACCAACATATAAATTAAAATTGAAACGACTATCGCTTTCCGATAATCCTTTAAATTGTGATTGCACTCTTTTGGATTTTGCAAATTGGCTGACAAATTCAAGTTTAGAAGATGAAGATAAACTTTCAGCCGTGTGCGCGACTCCACCAGCTTTGGAGAATGGCATTCTTGTCCAGGTTAGTTTCTTGATAATTTTTATTATAATATAATACAGGCCTCGGATAGTCATAAAGGCACAAAAAAAAGTCGTTTTAGTCGATTTATATTCCAAAAAAAGTCGATTTTTTTTTATTTTAACAAAAACATTTTACAGATTATTAAATAATTTTTTTTTAAATAATAATACTTTTGGAAGGGTTAAAGTTAAAATTTTTAGAAATAATTGAATTTCAAAAGATTTTGTTAATTTTCAGACAATAATTAAATTTTAGGGTCAACCGGGGTAAATCCGAACGCTTTTAGTAAGTTTCAACAATAACATAAGTTTTTTCTTTAAAAAAAAAATACTTCCGGTATTCTGGTGCATGAAGTTGTTACTTTACTTCCATAGAACAATTTTATGGGGTAGAAAAAATTTTTGATAAATTACAATCGCAGGAAACTTAGCGTTCGTATTTACCTCGATACTTTGCAACTTTCCTAAAATATGGGGGTAAATACGAACGCCACTGTATTTCAGAAAAATCTTAGGGAAAATAAATTTAAAGTATTGCAATTGTTAAACTTATATAAAAACTCAAAAAAAATACGATAATAAACCTATTATGTAATAATGCATCATATATAAATACAAAAATCAAACAGGTTAAAAATTAAAATGCATTACACAATTAAAACCTTCAATAACTTTATCAAATCATAACGGATTTTTGCAAAACTTCACGGAGAAAAATGGAAAAACGAATAAAGTAACTTTTACTACTTTAAAAGTAAAATTGGACCTGTCCGAAGTTTCTGCGCATCTCTGGCAACTTTTACTCGAAAAATAGTAAAATTGACTATTTCTGTAGTAAATTTTACTGTTTCCGTAGTAATTTTTACTATTTCTGAAGTAAATTTTACTATTTTTGGAGTAAAAGTTGCCAGAGATGCGCAGAAACTTCGGACAGGTCCAATTTTACTTTTAAAGTAGTAAAAGTTACTTTTTCTTTTTTTCCGTGTTGGTACAGAAAGTATTTTGGAGTGATTGAATGTAAATACAAAAATAAAAGTCAAATTTTTTAAATTCAAAATGGCGGACTTTCCTAAAACTTATTTTTAAAAATGATCAAATTTGCTAACCCTGAAACCCCCCGAGTAACAATTTTCGAGCGAATCCAATGAATTTTTTAATTCTCGTCCGCCATTTTGAATTTTGAAAAACTGACTTCAAATTGGTAATTAGCGACCCCAAAAACCGTAGAATACCAAATTTTATTAAGATCCTGAAAAACTTTTTTCAACAAACCATTTGGCAAAAAAATTGAAACACTCCTTCGAGAGAATAGAGATTAGGTTTCTGCTTATTAATTACTAACGAGGATACATATAGAAAGAAAAACTTTTTTCTATGTACTTTTATAATGTTAAAATAATAGTATAATCAAAAAAAAACAATTTTGTGTGGCTCTGATGTAAAAAAAAATTATTAAAAATACCGTTCGGATTTACCCCAGTTTTCCAATTTTCTTGGGTAAATACGAACGGTCTGATATTATTAATAAAATTTTACAGAAGGCAAAAATCAAATATAGTTTCTGTTCTAGTATTCATAACAAACAATTATAAATAATAAAATGAATTTTTAGCTTCTTTTTCTTCAAATACGAGACAAAATACTGAAAGAGTGTCATCTTTGATTTTCAATCTTTTTTGCAATACTTGTTATCTTTGTTTATGCTGTTGCTAATTAACAAACAAAAAATGGGATAATACTTAGAATCTCTTCAAGAGGATCTGAGGTAAAAATTCTCATATCGAACTTATTTTTAAAAATTTTAATTAAGCTGAAATAATTAGCGTTCGGATTTACCCCCCGTTCGGATTTACCCCGACTGACCCTACATAATTAAAAATAATTTATCAAATAATTTTAGATAACATTTTTTAAATATAATTAAATTTTCAAAGATTTACAATTGAGATTTTTAAAATGTGATTTTTAATTAACATTTTTTTTTCACTAAAAAATTTATTAGAAACTGCAGACAAAAATACAATAATTTGAAAACCATTTTTAATTGAAAAATGGTTTCAGAGAATATTTTCAATATTTTTCAAAGAATATTATAAAAATAGTTAATAATAATTGAATTTCTTTAGAGTTATAAATGAAATAGTTAAATTTCAAAAAATTTTAGAAATAATTAAATTTTAGAAGCTTTTAAATTCAAATTTTTGAAAATAATTGAATTATAATTGAAATTTTTGATAATTCAATTTTAGTTGATTTTTGATTGAAAATTTTAATAATAAATCATTTTGAGTTGAAATTTTTGAGAATAATTGAATTTTAATTTAAATTTTGATTGAAAATTTTGATAATAATTATTTTTGTATTGAAATTTTGGATAATTGAGTAGCTGTCTGCAATAACTCGCCGAGCGCTTGACCGATCGCTCTAACGCCAGTCAAACGTTCAAAAACGTGAAAAAAATGAAAAATCAAAATTTTGATTTTTGAAAAGTGCAATCTTGTAGGACATAAGATGGCGCATCTTTTTTCCTTTGAGTTTTTTTTGTAGATCAAAAAATAGAGTTAATATATGCAAAACACTTAAAAATTTTATTTCACAAATTTCATTCAATTTTTAAACATAAATCATAGTATCTTTGACAAATTTCCATGAATCTTATTGAAAATTAATATACATACGTATTTAGGTCCATAGAAGACGACAACATAATCAGAAATATTAAAATCATCAATTGTTTATTTATAATTAATTGTAAATGAAGACTTGTCAATAATAATGTTTACTTACCTTTGTCGACATAAAGTGTGTGGGGAACTTCAGAGTTGAAGAAACTTCCAGTAAGGAAGTTTTTTGTAAAATTGAAAAACAATTTATCAACAACTTTAGAAAATATAGAACGTTTAAGAAAACATGCGCGACGCGCTAGCGAGTCTCCGCGCGGAGAATTGCACACAAGAGTTAAGAAGGACGTTATGTTATGTTGTGATATATTATGTTTTGAAAATGGAGCCAACATACTATCACTGTTGATATGTAACAATACACTAATTTCTTAAAAAAATGAAGAAACAGAAAATAAAGATATACCTTAATATTAATTATTAAAAAACTTATTTGCAAACTGCACAAACTGTACATACAAGCACCAAAATATTTTAAAACTATTGATTGTTTAGTAAATATTAAAAAAACAGTTGTTCAAATTTAATTTGCATTTTCATAAAATTAACACATATTTTATTTGAAAAACATTTCTAAGAATGTAGTGACAATATTTGTTTCTGTATTTTCGGTCCTCTACAACTCTTGTTTGCAATTCTCCGCGCGGAGACTCGCTAGCGCGTCGCGCATGTTTTCTTAAACGTTCTATATTTTCTAAAGTTGTTGATAAATTGTTTTTCAATTTTACAAAAAACTTCCTTACTGGAAGTTTCTTCAACTCTGAAGTTCCCCACACACTTTATGTCGACAAAGGTAAGTAAACATTATTATTGACAAGTCTTCATTTACAATTAATTATAAATAAACAATTGATGATTTTAATATTTCTGATTATGTTGTCGTCTTCTATGGACCTAAATACGTATGTATATTAATTTTCAATAAGATTCATGGAAATTTGTCAAAGATACTATGATTTATGTTTAAAAATTGAATGAAATTTGTGAAATAAAATTTTTAAGTGTTTTGCATATATTAACTCTATTTTTTGATCTACAAAAAAAACTCAAAGGAAAAAAGATGCGCCATCTTATGTCCTACAAGATTGCACTTTTCAAAAATCAAAATTTTGATTTTTTATTTTTTTCACGTTTTTGAACGTTTGACTGGCGTTAGAGCGATCGGCCAAGCGCTCGGCGAGTTATTGCAGGCAGCTACTCAATTATTAAATTTTAATTGATTTTGAATTGAAATTTTGGGTAATAATTGAATTTTATTTGATTTTAAATTAAAAATTTGGAAAATAATTGAATTTTAAAAAATTTTGAACTGAAATTTTGGAAAATAATTGAATTTCAATTGAAATGTTGGATAATAATTTAATTTTAATTGATTTTTGATTGAAAATTTTGAAAATAATTCAATTTTATTTGATTTTTAATTAAAAATTTTTGTTAATTTTATTTGATATTTTTTTTAAATTATAAATAATTGTTAAATTTTATAAAAATTTTAATTGAAAAATAATTTGAAATAATTGAATTTGTGATGAATTTCATTAAAATTATTAAAAATATTTAATTTAGTGAAGAATTTTAGTTAAATAATTGAAATAAAGAAGATCTGTATTTTATACTAAAAAAAAAAATATTTTATTTAAAAAACTTTTTTAAAAATGTAAAAAAAAGTCGAAATAGTCGCATTTTATTAAAATAATTCAAAAAAAGTCGAAAATAGTCGAAAAAGTCGTATAATCCGAGGCCTGTAATATATAAATATAGTATAAACAATGTATTATTATACAATTATTAGAAAATATAATAATACACTTTTCTTTCAGGTATCACCTGGAAGTCTACTTTGCGGTGATCCAACTCCATCGACGAGGCTTCCAGTTTCAAACGTTCAAATAATCCTCAAAGAATTTCATTACGACGAGTTAAATGGAATAAATCTTCTTTGGAACATAGATCTTGGTACAAGTTATTACACGTGCGATACTCTGATGATTTACGAGACTGTTGGCGCCAAGGAGGAGCGCATTGAATCGAGTCCACTTCATTGTGATTCACGTTTAATGAGAGATCGATTTACACTTCCGGTTGCAATTCCTACGTCAATTCATTTACAATTGAAACACAAATATCGCTATTGTGTGGCAATTTTAATTCCTTCGGGTTATGATGATATTTCACTTGGTCTTGGTTGTAGTGATGTTATTGTTCTCGAGGAAACCAGAAGTCGACGAAAAGATCAACATCAATTGAGCCAAAATGAAGTTTCCCTGGCTGGCTCAACTCTTTTGAAAGCAGCCATCACTGCAGTTCATGTTAATGTTTCCAAAGAGGGCTTTCTTCAGGTACATTTATTTAAGATTTATTTTTCCATTTTTCTATGAAAAGAAGAAATCATAAGTTTCAGTTTACTTGCTTTAAATAATTATAATCAGGCAAATTAAAATTTTTTTAAATGTATGCCTAAAGAAATTTGTAATTTTAATTAAAGAAAATGAAATTGCATTTCAGGTGGACGTCAGTTTATCGCTTCCACCGGAATTTCAGCCAGGCACCAAGTGTGAATTGTCGGTTGTTGTTTTTGCAACGGAAAGTGCGTCAGTTCATCGAAAAAAAATGAATTGTTCATTGACATTCATAACTCTCTCGGGATTATTGCCGGGACACTATAAAGTGTGTGCAAGTCTCGATGAAATTGCCGGTGATACATTATCAATTTCCAATCACGATCGATATCGTTGTGTACAAGTACAAACATTTAAGCAAAATTCAGAAATTTGGTTTCTCATTATCGTCATTGTTGTCAGTATTTTTCTATTGATAATCATTTTGGTGAGTCGAAGTCTCATGAAAAAACTTCGAAATCCAAAGATTCAAACTCAGTGTTTTATGCCAACTCAGGAATTTGAAATCACTCAAAAGGCTCATTATATTAAACTTCTGGCCACCACAAAAGTTTAATTGTTGAAAAAAATTTTTCTATTCACCTCGCAATCATTTCATAAATGAATTTTTCATTTTATTTAACATCTTGATATAATTAATTTAATTAATTAATACGAATAATAATTTAATTAATTAGATTGAGATTTTTATTTTCAATTTATAATAAATTTGCCGTGAATGTAAAATTTGATTGATCTTGAAATTTTTCGTAAATCAAAGTTAAAATTCAAGATAATGGAAAATTGTGTTTTTTTTATACATGTAAATTAAGAATGAACATGTGCCATAAGATTGTTGCGAAAAGTATTTGTTTTTTTAAATGACGTTTTGTAAATCATTAAACAAAATTTTCTAATTAAATTCTAAACCTAAGGTTTAAGAAAGAACATAAAAACATCGTGATGAAAAAAATGAAATGAAAAAAAAGACGTAAGAACGTTTTAATAAAATAAATAAAAAAATCTTCTTAAATAATAAAATACGTCTTACTGAAACGAATGAGAGAAATGCAGATAAATTATATTTTTATAGACATCTACTTACGAGTAAAGATTTATATATATATATATATATTATATTTTTTAATATAGTTGCAGTGCAATATTATTCAATTCATAAACGTCAATTTTGTACATATAAAAAGAGAAATTTTATAAATTTATTAAACTCTATATTATTTTTTTTTTACATAGATTTCTTGTAGATAGTGTTGAAATATTTCATCGATCGTATTGAAATATTAAAAATAGAGTAGAAAATTTTCTATTATATGAGATTAAAGTCTTATTAAAATATTTTTTTTTGTAAAATAGCAACGAAATTTGTTTACACTTTTTAAATATCTGTAAACCACTGACTCATTAATGTAGATTTTACTGTTATTAACTGTTCGTCATTTTTGTGCGTGAATTACTTTGTAAATAGATTTTTAATTATTCTCACATTATTCTAATGTCATTGTTGTTTACTTATAGTATATTAAGTAACTCTAATTAAAAAGTTTTATTATCATAATATCGATTAGTTTTTTTTTTAATTACTCTCCTTCACTCCTGGTCTGAAATAGGGATGGAAAGGGGAAACGAAAAGTCGACTTTCGACTTTACAATCGACTTTAAGTCTTTCGACTTTTTAAAGTCGACCGAAGTCGACTTTGTAAAAAAAGTCGACTTTTTATCGACTTTTTTTGAAATCATATTTATTTTAAGAATATTCATTTATAACTTATTAATAATTATCTCTGAATCATTTTTTTAAGAAAAATCTAATTTGATGAACTTAAATTTAATTATATTACAATAAGTAATACTTACACGGAGAGAAATTTATGCTACTGGGTAACATAATGATGTTAAGGGCAACCATATTTAGTGCTAAATATACAGACAGCGATATATATTGTAGTATTTACTATCAGATGATTATAGAAATTTGATTGTACAATTTACAATCTTTGATGTTAAAAATTTTATACGATCTCTTTACGTTCTCGAGTGGCAAAAATACACGAACCTAACCTCGCTTTTTTTGTAAACTTAAATAATTTCATTTTATTTTAATAAGACATTTCGATAAGAATTTAAACTTTAAACTTTTTACATAAAAAAGAGTATGTCTATTTTTTCACTCCGTCTATAAAAAGGACTTGCTTAAACATAAATATATTTATCAAACGGTATATTTTTTTCACAGAGTCAATTGAATTTGTATTATTTTACTAATTTTTAAGTTTAAAAAAAGTAAGAAAAAATATGAAAAAGTTTTTTTTCCAAAAAAAAATTTCAATAAACACATGTACATTTATACAAACGAAAAAAAAACATACTTGATTTTTGTAATCTTGAAATTTTTTAAAAAATTTTAAGCGAGGTTCTGGTTTTGGTATAATGAGTGATATTGTATAATTGTCCAGTAAGTAAAACGATTCTTCATCAATTTCACCGTCTAAACAACGCAAAATTGTTTTGAGGTTATAAACACGTTCACACTTCAGTCTTCGCTAATTCAATCAAAATAATAAACCTACCTCCAAAAGATGGAATCAAAGATTCCATATTCAACGACATTAATAAATTTTTAACAAACTCGTCCATTTTTTTATTCACAACTTTTTTCACTATATATAAACACGTGCGTGAAAACACAAGGACCGCAATTGAATAGGCGAAGTATACACTACAATCAGCGCATGCGCTCACATTTAATTTTTACAATATTTGATAGTAGTGACTACAATCCAAAAGCTAACATATTTTACGTCTTTGGGTAACATCTTGGATAGTAAAATGTTGATAGTAGATTCTTGTCAGTAACACAATGATAGTACCTTGTACAATCTTTCTTTTTACTATCAAATTCTTACTATCCATTTCTCTCAGTGTAACTATGAAAGGAAAAATCCAGAATAAACATTTTTAATGTAATTGATTATATTTCTACATTAATGGTAAAAACATTCTATTTTAAAATATTAAAATTATTCTTTATCATCTAATTATAATTATAATTCAATCGAAATTATTGTTATTAAATATTATTTAATTATTCTTATTAAAACACATTTCCTTTTTACATTCTGTACACTGCACTTTACTGCCGTCACCAATTTTTGAAAAATAAATCCAAACAGCACTAGGACCCATGTGCTTAATATTTAATTAAAAATAATGTCGTGCAACACAATGTACGAAAAATAATATATAACGTCCCGAAAACCGTTAGTCCACAGTTTCGTCATGCGTGTTTATCACGTGTCAGTTGTTTTTCATGTTGACAGAAAGTCGAGAAGTCGACCGACGAAGATCGACTTTCATCGACTTCGACCGAATCAAAGTCGACCGCGAAAAGTCGACTTTTTAGTATCGAAAGTCGACTTTCGACTAAAGTCGAAGTCGACTTTTCCATCCCTAGTCTGAAACACCAGAAAATAAAATTAAAATCCAAACAAATTTACAAATTTGAAAAATTTTATTTATATAAAACAATTACTGGCAAATCATACAAATTTAAAACATTTATGAAATTAATATTCTTAATGTTGATAAAAAAAATTTGGTATTATTGTCGCCTTGTACATAAATATTCGTATCTTCTTATCGTAGAAGAAGGGGAAGATTCAAAAATTTACACCCGAGTCTTCATCTTTTCTTATCATAGAAGAAAGAAAGGAAGAGCAATGGTCTGAATTTATTACATTTATTATTTCAATCATAATAATAATAATATAACATTAAATAATTTTTATTCCATGCTCTTGAAAACTGGAATATTGAATTTTTAAATTGGTCAAGTTCACAATGTTTATGATCAACTATTGAAACATTAAAATAAAAAAAATTTGTGCCACAATTTTTTCTTTTAAATAATACCAACTCTCAGGTCCGTTAACCTGGCTTGTCCACATTGTCCGATCTGGATAAGACCTATTTGAAAATTAAGGGCTAATTTAAGGCTAATTTAATGCCCTAATGCCGAATTTAATGCTCGGCATTTTCTTTAAAAAACTTGTGGACAAGCTAACTTAACATTAAGGTGGCTTGTCCACACAATGAAGGAGCACTCGTAGGAAGGCCTACTATAGGTCAAAATTTAGGGCTTTTTTAAGGCTCTTGAATGCTCTATTGAAGAATTTAATGCCGGCATTATTTCACGAATTATTTGCAAAAATTCAAGTTTTACATTACAACAGTTTGTCCAAAAACGAAGGATTACTCGTAGGAAGGTCTACTATAGGTCAAAATTTAGGGCTTTTTTAAGGCTCCGCAATGCTCTAGTGCACAGAAAAAACTTGGACTCATTTTTGTTGCAACTCATTTTCTTTTGGGTATCGAAATGAGTATGGGACAAACTTCATGTTATTCAAAATGATATTGGCTGGAATTTCAGATTTCTAAGTTGGCATCATAAGCAGAGTAATTTTGTATTTCAATTATTGTTTCTAATATTTCAACAACACCAGAAAGATTATTTTGACCAGTACGAATATTTAGAAGTTTTTAAATAAAAATTATTTATTATTATTTACGTAGATAATAATTCATTTCATAAGTTTTTAAATTTACCGCTATTATTTAAGTTGGCAATACCGTTCCTGTTGTCAAAACACATGTTTTCATTTTTCTAACCTAAAAACATATTTCCTTTATTATTTTATTACGCGATTACAAGCAATTTTTAATCAAATATATTAAGTCTAGCGTGTTATTTACTTCTTTGTAATTATTATATTTCATGTTTTTGTGCAAAATTATTCGTTATTTCACAATATTTTTCCATTTTTCTTTTTCTCAAAATGAAACTTGCCTGTTTCATTTTGATACTTTTACCTTAGAACTCGAAATGAAACAACCAGTTTCATTTTTGTTGCGAATCAAATTGAGTATAGAATCTATACTCAATTTGAATTCAGGTTTTTTCTGTGTGTCGAATTTAATGCCAGCATTATTTCACGAAACAATTGCAAAAATTCAACTTTTACTTGATAAGCTTGCCTATTTCTGCTGTTACTCAGCCACTAGTCAGACCCTAAATAGCGTCGCTCGTCTGAAAAGTCTAGCCAAAAAGGTCGTTAATCCTAGAAGTACCACTTCCACGAAAAAAAGTTTTTATATATGCTCACATTTAGGGCTCAATTAGGGCTAATTTAGTACCACATGCAAAAATTGAGGGCCCTTTACCTATTTAAAGTAACCCTTCGTACTGCTAGCTTGATGTCAAGCTGGATCTGAATTAGTAGTTTTCTACTAATGAAAGAGTGCGTATTCGTTTACTAATTGAATTAGTAACAGTTATGACTAATTTGTAGTAAAAAAAACTACTAATTGCTAGTAGAAAACTACTAATTTATGGAGTCCCTATTGAAAAAAAACACGTATAATTATACGTATAATAATACGTATAATTATACGTATAATTGTACGTATAATTATACGTATAATTATACGTATTATTATACGTATAATTATACGTATTATTATACGTACAATTATACGTATAATAAGACATACGAATTTGAAACAAGAATTATACGTATAATTATACGTATAATAATACGTATAATTATACGTATAATAATACGTATAATTAATTATACGTATAATAATACGTATAATTATACGTATTATTATACGTATAATTATAATTCTATTAAAAATAGAATAATAGAATAGAATAGATTAATTAGTAGCAAAATTGCGCTGAAAATTTTTAGAAATTTTAAAATGCAAATTAAATTTCACGAAAAAAAATATCGTCGAATGTCAATTCAAGCAGTCACCCATCCAAGTACTAACCGCGTCCAACGTTGCTTAACTTCCGTGATCTGATGAGAACTTGTTCCTTCGCCTTGGTGTTTCCGCTGTCTTGTCTTGATTAATAACTTTGTCGTATAAGTATCACTAAAAGTGAGGTTAGGTGCGATACAATACTTATACGACAAAGTTATTAATCAAGACAAGACAGCGGAAACACCAAGGCGAAGGAACAAGTTCTCATCAGATCACGGAAGTTAAGCAACGTTGGACGCGGTTAGTACTTGGATGGGTGACTGCTTGAATTGACATTCGACGATATTTTTTTTCGTGAAATTTAATTTGCATTTTAAAATTTCTAAAAATTTTCAGCGCAATTTTGCTACTAATTAATCTATTCTATTCTATTATTCTATTTTTAATAGAATTATAATTATACGTATAATAATACGTATAATTATACGTATTATTATACGTATTATTATACGTATAATTAATTATACGTATTATTATACGTATAATTATACGTATTATTATACGTATAATTATACGTATAATTCTTGTTTCAAATTCGTATGTCTTATTATACGTATAATTATACGTATAATAATACATATAATTATACGTATAATAATACGTATAATTATGCGTATAATTATACGTATAATTATGCGTATAATTATACGTATTATTATACGTACAATTATACGTGTTTTTTTTCAATAGGGGTAAGTCGTATTTTTTACTATTTCAAATTAGTAAGCCGATTTACGCTATGAATTAGTAGTTTTTTTACTAAAAATTAGTAAAAACTGTTACTAATTCAATTGGTAAACGAATACGCACTCTTTCATTAGTAGAAAACTACTAATTCAGATTTAGAGAGTAGGGTTCTCAACTAAGACTATTTAAATTTTTCAAAAACCACCCCTAAGTTCAAAAAAAAAATCTCCAATTATTAAAACTTGATTTAACCTAACAATAATCATATATAATAGGACATAGGTGCTAAATTAGTGTTCTTCAATAGCACTAAATTGACTTTTTAAAAATGCACTCCCAAGCACCCCAACCACGTAACTGATAGAAAACCAAACACAAAACCTACCCTCAAATAATTCAAACTTAATATTTTCAAAAACAAGTACTTATGAATTTAGGGCTAATTTAAGGCTCTTAAATAGAACTAAATTAAATGTTCGAAAATGATCCACTAACTTCAAAAACTACCCCTGGGTAGTTCTAACTCAATTTTTTCAAAAAACAAGTACTTAGAAATTAAGGTTGATATAAGGCTCTTAAATAGAACTAAATAAATGTTCAAAAGTGATCCACTAATTTTAAAAACTATACATGAGTATTTCAAACTCAATTTTTTCATGAAAAAGTACTTAGGAATTTAGGGATAATTTATGGCTCTTTACGAGCACCGAATTGGATATTCAAAAATGATCCACCAACTTCAAAAACCACTCCTGAGAAAATCAAAATCAATTTTTTCAAAATCAAGTAATTAGAAATTTAGGGCTAATTTAGGGTTCTTAAATAGCACTAAAATGATCCACTAATTTCAAAAACTACCCCTGAGTACTTCAAACTCAGTTTTTACAAAAAACAAGTACTTTGGAATATAGGGCTAATTTAAGGCTCATTATTATAGCACTAAATTGCATTTTCAAAAACGATCCACCAACTTCAAAAACTTCGCCTCAGTAGTTCAAAAATTTCTTTTACATTTTTATATCGAAAATAACGATTTTTAATCAACAAATTAATTTTTTTAAACTATGAAAGCTATTACTTTTACTTTTTTTTATTTTTACATACCTGAAAATAGTAAGAATATTTTGCAAAAAAAAATTTCGAGTAGTCATCCAAAAAGGGTAATCAGGTTATCAGTAAAACATTTTACAAAGTATTTTAGTAGTATTTCCATGTATGTAAATATAAAAAAAGTAAAACAACGGGTCTAAAGTTAAAAAAAATAATTTGTTTATAAAAAAATCGTTAATTTCTATAAAAAAATTCAAAAATAAATTTTTGAACTAGTCGGGGGTAGTTTTTAGGATTGGTAGATCATTTTTAAACAGCCAATACAGTGCTATTTACGAGCAATAAATAAGCAAGTAATTCTTAAGTGCTTATTTTAAAAAAAAATCGTTTAGACTTGCTAAGATAGTGTTAAATTTGGCATAAAAGCATTTAAGAGTTTTAAATAAGCCCTAAATTTTAACACCTAGAAGACCTTCCTAAGAGTATTCCTTCAATGTGTGGACAAACTAATATAGCGATAAATTTGAATTTTTGCAATTATTTCGCGAAATTATGCCGGCACTAAATTTGGCAATAGTGCATTGCGGAGCCTTAAAAAAGCCCTAAATTTTGACCTATAGCAGATCTTCCTATGAGTGCTCCTTCATTGTGTGGACAAACTAATATCAAGTAAAAATTGAATTTTTCAATTATTTCGCGAAATAATGCCGGCATTAAATTCGACAATAGAGCATTCAAGAGCCTTAAAAAAGCCCTAAATTTTGATCCATACTAGACCTTTCTACGAGTGTTCCTTCATGATATGGACAAACTGATATCAAGTAAAAATTGAATTTTTGCAAATAATTCGCGAAATAATGCCGGCATTAAATTCGGCAATAGAGCATTGCGGAGCCTTAAAAAAGCCCTAAATTTTGACCTATAGTAGACCTTCCTACGAGTAATCCTTCGTTTTTGGACAAACTGTTGTAACGTAAAAATTGAATTTTTGCAAATAATTCGTGAAATAATGCCGGCATTAAATTCTTCAATAGAGCATTCAAGATCCTTAAAAAAGCCCTAAATTTTGACCTATAGTAGGCCTTCCTACGAGTGCTCCTTCATTGTGTGGACAAGCCACCTTAATGTTAAGCTAGTTTGTCCACAAGTTTTTTAAAGAAAATGCCGAGCATTAAATTCGGCATTAGGGCATTAAATTAGCCTTAAATTAGCCCTTAATTTTCAAATAGGTTTTATCCAGATCGGACAATGTGGACAAGCCAGGTTAACGGACCTCCAACTCTCTTCCTCTTTTATTTATTATTTTATCGAAATTAGCTCTACAAGACGTTATATTAACATTTTCTGGAATCATTTTATCTTCCAGCTGATTTAAATCACCAATACGAACATTATAATCTCCACCAATAAACAGTGGTAAATTCGAGTATTTATTGTTGATTAATATCATTATTTTATTAAATTCTGAGCAAAAGAGACTAATTTCCGAGTGAGGTTTCAGATAGACAACCGAGAGAATAAATTTTATTTTATTCTTATTAGAGCTAACCTCGACAAAAATATATTGTTCGGTAGTTTTAATTACATTACATTTATATTTACTCGAGTTTAACACGATGAGTAATCCACCGCTTGCTCTTCCTCGTTCGGCTGTTTTCACTGCTGGGCTGTTGATTACCTACTTCAAAATTGTAGGGGGGCAAGATTGTAGAGGGGATGTTTGTCTTGGCTTTCGATGTTTTCTGCTTTTTCTTAGTTTTATTTTTGAAACCCTGAGGTCTTCTTCTTTTGGTACCCCTAGCTGTGGAGGTCGTTGATTCTTCACTCTCCAAAGAGTATCCAGCTTCCTTCATTTCTGAGTAATCCAATTCACGAAAAAAACAAACTAACTATTTTAGCACCAAACTGCTTTATCCTTTATTAGTATGCGATTTCGTTTACCTATTAAAGTATGAAATAATGCTTTTTTAGTTTAAAGTAAGTCCATACTAAATAAGTATAATGGTTATACTCTTATAGTAATAGTGACGTACTTTAAAAGCATAAAATTGATGCCCGCGAAGTACGACATATAGTCTACCTAAAATAGCAAGAGTTTCTTCCTTTTTGGTGGATAAATTCTTGCAACCTGCGTTTTGGCCTATATCGATATATCGATGGTTGGAAAGGGAGGGAGGCGTGGCCAAAACGCAGGTTGCAAGAATTTATCCACCAAAAAGGAAGAAGCTCTTGCTATTTTAGGTAGACTATATGTCGTACTTCGCGGGCATCAATTTTATGCTTTTAAAGTACGTCACTATTACTATAAGAGTATAACCATTATACTTATTTAGTATGGACTTACTTTAAACTAAAAAAGCATTATTTCATACTTTAATAGGTAAACGAAATTGTATACTAATAAAGGATAAAGCAGTTTGGTGCTAAAATAGTTATTTTGTTTTTTCCGTGAAGTCTTCCATTAATTTTTTAACTTCTTCGACATACAAAGTTTCATTGTCAACAATAATTTTTGTACCCTTGATAATGGCTAACTTTCCATTCTGCGATATCTGTTCTTTGTATTCAGATAGGATCTGATAATTCATTCTTCGTCTCTCGAGACGATAATGGAAATATATATAATTAGCACAGACAAATTTTTCTTTTAAAATTACAAAATTTTTACTTCCGCTGACAATGTGTTTACAGGTCGATACACAAATTGCAACTGATTTAATTATTATCATTTAGATTTTCAAACCAGTGTTCCATAACCTTCGACTTAAGATATACCCTTTGTACTTCAATGTAATCATACATTTCTGGACAAATGTAAAGAGTTATTTTGTTCTTACAAACAAAAGGTATTAAATTTTTAATATTCAAGAAGAAGTATTATAGGTAAAAGATCTGTAATATGGTTCTGTGGTCAAAGTACACGGCTCGTATATCAAGGGTCCTGCGTTCGATCCCTCACGCGTGTGCGATTATTCAAAATTATTCTGAAGTGTTTTGTACTGTATATGTTATATAATCTTAAATAGAATAAAAATAAAAAATTGTAAAATCTTTAATTTATATTAAATAAAAATAATCTCACAGAATTGAACAATTCAAAGGATAACTGATATCAGAGGGAAATCTGGTCAGTACAATAAATTAAGTAATCTGAACTCCGAGTAAACCCGTAAATATTTGTTTATCTTCATTTATTGTTAATTCATAATTTTTTTATTGAAATTCTTTATAATATTATCAGATAATATTGGACGATCGTCGAGTACGCGATTTTTGTCATTAAAATTTTGAAAACTATTTGCCATATCAAGCGGATTAAATTGAGAAGTCTCATAATAAATAAACACTTTTCATCTGTGATAAAGAATTTATTTATACTTTAATTATTTAAAATCTAATATTGTTTAACTGGTTTGCCTTAGTAAGTTAAAAAGCGTGTAAGATGTTTTTACAACCTGAAAAAAGAAAAATTGTAAAATTCTAGTGGGTTTTTTTTTCTTTTAAAAAACGACGAATAATAATATCTCACTTATTTTTAATTTATAGACAATAAATATTAGGTACTTTTAAAAATGTTTCTATGGATAATGTAACTATTGAAGCGCCTGTAAATTGTATTGGTCGGTTTGTCCTCATCATCATCAAAATTAATTTTTCTTTTGTTTTTATTGTCAATGTAGTCCAATCTGTTTTATATATTTCATCAGAAATGGATATACTCTGCAATGAGAGCAATAATTTTGTTTTATTTAAAACATACATCCAGAAAAATGTTTTTTTTTGTTAATTTAAAAAAAACATTTTATTTGACTATTGTTTTGTTTTATTCAAAATAAATTTTTCTTTAAAACAAAAAAGGAATTTTTTATTCAAAGAAAATTTCATTGATTTAAAATAAATTTTTTTTAAATACAAAAAATTTGTTCTTTTAATCAAAGAAACAAGTCAAAAAAATGATTTCTTTAAATCAAGAACAAATTTTTTTTACATTGCTGCGCAAAGAACTGGTAGCATTATGAGACAAGGAGCCGTCAACAGATGCATAATAATTTTAATTTAAATTTTACCTTTCTGGTCAATTCTTCACCCATAAAGCAATAGATAAATATTTGAGATGTAAAACAAGTCATTATTATTATTATCAACCAAAAGTATCCACTATTTGCTTTAGCTTTGGTTAGACAAAAGCAAGTGGTACAAATATTTAATATAGAAACGAAGAACTGAAAAAATATCGGGAGACTAAAAATTTCACTGAATTTGTTTTCCATTCTGTAAATTAAAACATTAAAAACCCAACAAATAGAAACTCAAGTAATTTTTCAATAATTTGTCAACAACAATTTATTAATTTTAAGGCATATCCAATCATCATTTTTATTCAGTTAAATTTATTATCAATTAAATTACATTTTCAACTTACGAAAATATAAGAAGATGATGATTTACACAATCTTTTACAAGGTTATACTCTTGTTGATAAATATCTGTTTTTTTAATACTATTTTGTCTAATATTCTGCAATTTCAATAAACGATTAATCAGAATCTCAATGTGAGTGCCAATTTGTTGCATAAAAATTGTAAACAGCGAATCCAATGATGCGTATGATAAAGTGATAACATAACCAATTATGATATCATTTATGTAGGTCATCCAAAATATTGTTTTAGAATTAATAGAATAAGGAATCCATCTATTCAATGGTAAAGAAATTGTTTTTCTATTAATTAAGGGTAAAAATAAATATATTGTTACTGCAAATAAACTAGAAGTCACGGAAATACGTTCAATGAATCTGAAAAATTAGGCTTATATAATATAAAAACAAATAATCATTTCTTGTAATTATACTTAAAAAAAACTTGTAAATTAATATTTAACTAGTATTTTTTCGTTCATGAGCAATTAAGTACTAACCTTTTTTTATCTTGAAACCTTTCATAAATTGCATTCTCTTCAATATTACGAGGAAGATTTTGTTTTTGTCGAAATAATTTCATTAAAAATTTCACGTCTTGTTTACGATAGTTCAAATATATTATTTTAAATACTAAAAGGAACGTATTTGTAAAGCAAAATAAATTTTCTGTAAAAATTTCTGCCTTGTTTTTATTCTGATAAAGGTGGATTAAAAAAGTTAAAGAAAAATAAAAATTATATAATAACACAAAAATAGTGCAAAAATTATAAATTCGAATTGCCCATAATGATTTTAAAGACATCGGTCGCCAAAGTCCAATATAAGACATTGTCTTAAAAGTAAACTCGGCAATTTTAATATTTCCTAAATCTTGCATTTTATTTAAACAAAATTTTTTATTAAAATTTTCCTCCACTGTTAATTAAACTCCTTTAAAATTTATTAATATTGCATAAAAGTTAAACTGTCAAATCAGTCAATCAATCATTAAACTGTTAATCAGTCAAATTAAAAAAAAATTAAACTATGACTTGTTGCAACAAATGCTAATACTAGATGCAATAAGGTAAGGTATCAAATTAGAATTCAAATTGTTTGTAAATTGCTCGATTAAAAAGATGCATAATAAACTCTAAGTTGAATTAGTACTAAAAAATAAGGAAGAATAGTTTGATATAGATTTTGTTCTGTCTTTCCTTCTTAACGTCGTGCTTTATACTATCTATAAATGGAGCTGTATATACTCTTCGTGCGAAAAGACTTTTATAAAGGGAATTTTTAATATTTCTCGACTTATAGACGATAATGAAACATAATTGCAGACAAAGAATAATATCTGTGTAGCTTATGCATTTAAAATGAAACTTGCATTCAACTGTGAAAAGTGGTAATTGTTTTTAAAGATTTGTACAGAGAAATATATTGATTGATTTTTGCATCCAGCATAGTGTAAAGTCAATCATTCGTTTAACGTCTTCCATCAAGTTCACTTCGTGTTCTGATTTGATTTACAATATTAGTAAAACGAAGATAAATATGTAGATACTTAAAATTTCTAATTAATGCTCAGCCTTATGTACATCAAATTATATGTAGGGAATGTAGATGAATTTAAACAATCCACATTAACATAATTCAAGCGCTAAATTTGTTATCTTTATTTGGTAAGAAAAATATACGTATTGTTTGATAACACATTTAGTATTGTAACATGATCGTTTTATTTTCAGACTTTATTTATTATTTTTTTTATTTACGCTTGCCTGGTGAAGACAAGAGGAGTTACAAACTTGAGTAAAATACATAATTGTCGCTTTATACAAAATAAATTACAAAAGAAAAAAAAACAAAGAGAATATAAAAATATCTATACGATGTTCAGCAAATCCTAAAATCTCTCGCATTCAAAATAGTGATAAACATATTAATAAATTTTTTAATTTCTACTATATTATTTGAGGATATGATGTTTAGCCAATGGTCCGTTGCATCACAATTAGGGTTTCTAGGGAACAATCTTTCATGAACATGTTTCCCTCATTACAAAAAATACAATTATTTTCCATATCAAAATCATATTTAGAGCGATTAACTACAATTCTTGTAACATATTTACTAGAAAGACGAAGTTGTGCTAAAATTCTTTTGTAAAATAGTTTCAGACTTAGAAAAAGATACGGCTGTGTTCCAGTTTGTAAGAAAAGATGAGGAAAAATTAAAAGGCTGTTAGAGGAGAGTCGTCGGTTATTATTCGACTTCCTCAAGTACTCTCTAAATCTGAATTAGTCATTTTTAACTAATTCACAGTCATTTTTGACTAATTCAAATAGGGCGGATTCGTTTACTGTGAATTAGTCAAAAGTTACTAATTCAATCTGTAACTAATCTACCACTAAATGAATTAGTAGTTTCAGTTTCTAGATAGGTATACATAGGTAGATAAAGTAGGTAATGTAGACGTATTTATTTTGAAAATTGACAAAAATTATTGCTTAAAAAATAGAAAACGATTATATTTTGTTTTTATATAGTTTAAATAACGTGAATCAATAAAAAAAAATTATTTATTTCATTTTCGAAATTATTCTGCGATAATTACTGGTATGGGAGATGTCACTAGGATTTGAACCCATTACCTTGCCTTCTACCTTGGGAGCTGCGCCTTGACGCGCTCAACCAAAGGAGGCTATGAAAATTAGTTACAAAATGTCTCTTATAAACAAATTGTCATAAACTCGTTGTCAAATCGCTAATAAATAAGGTAAAGTCGATTTGTTTTCTATACAAATTTAATTATTATATAAATTTGTAATTAGAGTCTTATAAATGTGCCAATATTGATTTAGATTTGTTAATTAAATTAATTAACATTAACATAACAACAATAGTTTGGAGTGTTTTTTGGCCATCTATACAAACATTTGAAGAACTGAGTTTGAACACATTCAATTTGATCAAAATATCAATATCATCATTATTAATATTATATTACTAAATTAATTATATGTCAATTTTGGTAAACATAACCTACAAAACCTAACTGTTATGACTGGACATAAAGAAAAATAAATATTTTTTTCATAATTACTTAATAGAAAATAATTACTTGTGCATTTGTTAAACTGATTTTTCTTTGGTTGAAACAGAATAATGTTGTATAATAAATTAAAAAATTTTCAATTAAGCTATTTTTGCTTATTTTGATGTATGCACATATCATGACTAACAAATTAGAAGAAAATCTCTACAATTCATTTAGTCATTAAAAGTGACTATTTTTTTTAGTAGAAAAAGCACTACTAATTAATTCAGTAATGAAAAGTGATTATTTTTTTTAGTAGAAAGTGATGAAACAACTAATTCATTAGTAAAATATAGTGTTACTAATTCAATTAGTAAAATTTTGACTAATTCAGATTTAGAGAGATAAGCTTCGTAATTTCTGAGAATAATCCCACCGACCATAGCCACTGAAGATAGAGAAAAATTATCCCATTTGTCAGTTAAATCAGACAGTATAAAAAATATTCGTATTTGATTGAACCAATTCAGTTTTGCACTTTGGTCTTTTCGTGCTAATGATATTAATCTTTCTAGGCAAAGTCTAGGAAAACGCGACGTATCCATCCGCGATATTCTAGTCAACCATGATAAAACATTCTTTAAAACTACAAAAGAGAGGTGTAAAGAGCCAGTCTCAAGTCTCAGTGCATAACTCGGGGTATTTTTAGGAAGGAATAGTAATTGCTTTAGAAAAGAAAGTTGTGTCTTCTCAAGAAGGTCCAGAAAATCCAGTGCCCATACTTGAATTTCTTTGCAGCCGGTGCAAATGAACAAGACCCAGAGAATGGCACGCCTAAATAAACATAACTGTCTACCACTTCAATTCTTTCTTCACCATATTTAAAAAAAGAAAAATTTTTTGCTGTTCGCGTCTTAGAAAAAATAACAAGACTTTATTTATTTAAATTATATTAATTATAAATGAATTATATTAATTTAAATTAATTATTTAAATTTTTAAACTTTTTGACAAAAATTAAACATTTTAATTATTAAATTTCGTTTTATTGCACTCCCAGATAGCAAAATGTCAGCAATATGCTAGGCATATACCTTGCAACGTACACATATGTCGCACGTCAAGTATGACACACATTTGCAACGCATATGCGTAATTTTGTGCATGCATTTCAGTGTATTTGTGTCAATTGCATACCCAAGCAGCACGGTATATCCCCTGAATATCCCTTGAATACCACCGTGGAATATTCCCATGATCTTCCAGAAAAATCAAAATGTCCGCATCATGGGATTATTCCACAGTGACATTCAGGGTATATTCCAGTGACATTGAGGGTGATATTAAAGGAATATTCCAGTGATATTGAGGGAATATTCCACGGTTATATTGGATTTTTTTAAGTGTTGAAATAATAGAAATATGTTATAAATTGTTATTTGAATAAGCAGGAAGATTAAAAACACATTTTTAAAAAAAATTCAATGTAACCGTGGAATATTTCGTCAATATCACTTGAATATCCCCTTAATGTCACTGGAATATACCCTGAATGTCACTATGGAATATTTCCATGATGCGGACATTTTGATTTTCTTAGAAGACCATGAGAATATTCCACTGTGGTATTCATCGGATATTCAGGGAATATACCGTGCTGCTTGGGTATGTGATAGTCAAGTGCTTGAGATATTGCTAGCACGAGCGCCACTCACAGCGTTCACTTTTTAAAAGAATTTTATTTTTCAAAAAAAAAACTCAATTAAAACAACTTCCTATCATGTTTGTTAAATTTTTCATATATTTACACGTAAAAATGTATAAATTTAAATCCCTTTAGATAAAAGTTTCTTCTTTTTTTACTGGAAACATCCATGATTTTTTCTAATAATATCAGTTTTCCTTGAAAACAATATAATTATCAACTCTAATCGCGCTCGCTATATTTTTTCTGTAATCTACACGTAAAAATACGCATGTATACCAATAATATAAACTGTCTTGGTCAAATAGTGTGTGCGCTAAGGGGATTAAACACTTTTTTACAAAATTTTTTATTTTTCCTTGTCAACGATATTATAATCAATTCCAATCAGGTTTTTTCTATATTTTTCCTGTAATCTACGCGAATTTCGGTACTTTGCGTGCAGTAAAATTAATTCATATTTCACTGAAAATTAGTAAAGTTCTTTAATGATTGAAATCCGTTTTACCGATTACTGATAATGAAGATTTGACTGTTTAAATCAGTAATAATTTGACTAAATTTCAGTGAAAATGTTACTAAAGTGATTCAAGTACTAAATTCCCACTATATTTCATGAATAAAATCTCACTGATTAAAATTTAGAGAGTAACATTTTTGGCACTGTCGCCCCAGCTGATAGTAAATTATTTCCACCTGAGATCAATAAGTAGATTAAATTGAAAAGTATCATAATGAAAAATATTTTTTATTTTTGCATAAGCATTTATTTTTATTTTAATTATTAAAAATTAATTGTTATATATATATATTGATAAAAAATCAATTGGTTTGCCTTAATAAGTTAAAAGAAGAGTAAGATGCTTTTACTACCTGAAAATACAAAAGATTTTAAACCTGTTAACCATTTTAAATTTTAAATAATAATTTTTATTTTATTCACAATTTGTTGGACTTGTTTTGTCCTCAACAGCATGTGGTTGTTAGATCCACGATGTTAATTTTTTCGGTAAATTTATTCTTAAAATATTAAGTTTTAATTAATTGAATTTTATAGACTTCTCCAAAAAAAAAAATTCATTCATTCAATACTTTAGGAGTAAAGTTCCCGATAAAATTAACATTAAGTACCTAACAATTACATGCTATTAATAAAAGTAAATAATTCATCTTTTATTTAAAAATGATTAAATTACTTTCAAAAATGTTTCTAAAGATAATGTAATTATTGAAGCGCCAGTAAATTGTATGGGGCGGTTTGATCTCATCATTATCAACATTAATTTTTCTTTCGTTTGTTTTGTTAATGAAGTCCAATCCATGTTATATATTTCATCAGAAATGGATATACTCTGTAATGAGAGCAATAATTTTATTTTATTTATAGCATACAGATGTGTTTGAATTTTAAAATCATTATACATTTTACCTTTCGTGTCAGTTCTTCACCCAGAAAGCAATAGATAAATATTTGTGATGTAAAACAAGTCATTAGCATTATTAACAACCAAAAATATCCACTACTTATTTTGGCTTTTGTTAAATGAAAACAAAGAGTACATATATTTAATATAGAAACAAAGAACTGGCAGAGAATCAAAAGACTAAATATGTCATTTAATGTGTTTTCCATTCTGCAAGTTGAAACATGAAAAGTCTTACATCAAAAATGAAGTAATTTTTTAAAAAACAATATGCCAATAACAATTTTTTAATATGAAATAATATTTATGATTACTTAATATTTATTATAAACTTACGAAAAAATACGAAGATGATGGTTTATACAATCTTTTATTATGTTACTTTCTTGTTCATAAATATCTATTTTTTCAACATTGTTTTGTTTAATATTTTGCAATTTCAATAAACGATCAATAAAAATATCAAGATGTGTGCCAATTTGTTGCAGAAAAATGGTTAAAATCGATTCCAACGATGCGTATGTTAAAGCAAAAAAATAACCAGTTAAAATATCATTCATATAGGTCATCCAAAATATTGTTTTTGAGTTAATAGAATAAGGATTCCATCTGTTCAATGGTAATGAAATTGTTTTTTTACTTAATAATGGCAAAAATACATATAACGTAGCTGTAAATAAAGAAGAAATCACGAAAATACGTTCAATGAATCTGAAAAATTAGACTTATAAGATAAGAACAAATACTTATTACTTATAATTAATTTTAAGATTTTTTAATTATGATGGATTTCACGTCAAAAGTCCAGGCAAAATAAAAATTCCACTGTTCCGTGTCGCGTTGGTAGCAAACACTTTTGTGTTCAGCGACACTGTTGCGCAATTCTTTTGCACAAATAAAGGCCTAAGCAGAATAGCTTAGAGAAAGACGTTCGCGAACGTGAAACATGAGTTAGAAAAGGACAGAGATATATTTGTATCCTTTTCTATCTCATGCATCTCGTTCACGAACGACTTTCGCGATCTATTGTGCGTTTGCCTTAAGACTATATTTATAATATATATGTGAAATAAATCGAGTAGTTTATTTGCAATTTTTTTTGAATTGATTTCACTGCCCTGCATCGATTTTGCGAATAACATGGGACATAGTGTTTCCGAACGGATTTTTTGTGCTGAACACGAATTCGGGGTCGAAAACTTCCCGTCACGTTTTCGAGAAAATAAAGGTTGAAACTCCTAAAAACAAGGTTTTTGGCCATTTTTGAAAAATTATACAGCGAAAACCTGACGTGGTACAAACTTTGTTGATATCAGAAATTAAAGGTTGGTTCATGCCCTTTCAAACGAGCCCTATTCGAAATTGATCGCACTCACCCTTAGAGCAGGGGGTGTGTTTTTGTCTAGGGGTGCACGAAAAAAATGTAAACATAAGACAAAAATTCAAAATGAATAACAATTCAATAAATCATTTTGAATTTTTGAAATCTGACTTCAGATTCGTTATCAGCGACCCCAAAAACCCCCGAGTGACCATTTTCAAGTGAATTGGATCAAATTTTTATTTTGACATCCGCCATATTGGATCCGCCATTTTGAATTTTTAAAATCTGACTTCAGATTCGTAATCAGCGACCCCGAAAACCCCATAACTATCGTGATTTATTGAATTGTTATCCATTTTGAATTCTTATGTTATGTTTACATTTTGTTCGTGCACCCCTAGACAAAAAAGGGTGAGTGCGATCAATTTCGAATAGGGCTCGTTTGAAAGGGCAACCTTTAATTTCTGATATCAGCAAAATTTGTACCACGTCAGGTTTTCGCTGTATAATTTTTCAAAAATGGCCAAAAACCCTGTTTTTAGGAGTTTCAACCCTTATTTTCTCGAAAACGTGACGTGATGGGAAGTTTTCGACCCCGGATTCGTGTTCAGCACAAAAAATCCGTTCGGAAACACTATGTCCCATGTTATTCGCAGAAAAAAATTTGAAATTTGCAGGGCAGTGTTTTTAAAGGTAAGTATTTTTTATAGTATATATTTTTTGTTTTTTTTTCTTTTTATTTAATTATATGAACTCTAATGAAATCGAAACTGTGTGGATAGAAGTAAGTGCATTAATCCATTTAAAAAGAAAAATCATATTATCAAAAGAACGGGTTTGTGTCCTGTTTCTGAGAGTTTGATAGATAAATTTCCAGAGTTATTATAAATAAAGGCTCGAAAATTTGTAAAACGTGTCAGTTTGAATTTACAAAGTATTCTGTAAAAGTTAAAGTTCAATCTGAAAATGAAGGAATTTTTTCTCAATCCAGAGATGAAGAAATTCATTTTCAGCCTATGAATAAAGAAATTGTTGCAGATGAAACAGTAGAAATGGACTAAAATTCGCTATTTAATAATATACACTAGTGTCTATAACCTTGCGTCAAAAACGAGACATGAAATTTTGCCACATAAGTACTCCTCACTTTCATTGATAACTATTTTATTTCTTTATTAAAAAACAAAATTAAAAGCTAGCAATTCTTTCTTTTACTGTCAACACGTCACTTTTAGGTTATGTGTCAACATGAAGTTAGTTACGAAATGAAACGATACGTCGGTTATTTGAAAGTTAAGTATTTTGTAGGAAAAAATCTCAACTTTCCAATAAAAATAAAATAAGGAAAACGAGCTCGAAGATGAAAAAAAATCAAAATTTAGTTTTAACTTTCAAAAATTTTGGTCAAAAAAAATTTTTTTTTTGAAGTGATTACGCCAATTGAAAGATTATGAAAAAATCTAAAGGAATCATGCCTAGAAATTATTTTTTTATTTTTTCGTTGAAGCCCAAGAAGCACGTAATATATCCTCAATATCAAGGTAATATTACACGTGAGATTCGTAATATAACGCTGTAATATTACAGTAATCTTACAGTGATCTTAAAATGTCCGCCTCAAGGTAATATTACCGGGAATATTACTGTAATATTAACGGTAATATTACAGACTGATTTGAGTTATTCATAAAGCATAAAAAACGTAAATATATTATAAGTCAATTTAGCTTGTTGGTAAAACTCTGGACTCTTGTGCTTTGAGTTCGGGGTTCGATTCCCTGGATGGGTAGATTTTTTTCGTAAAGAAATGTTCCCATAATATTACTGTAATATTCTCTTGTAATATTACCTTAATATTACGGTATAATATTACTGCAATATTACTGTAATATTAGCGCGTAATATTACAGTAACATTACCGGTAATATTACCTTGAGGCGGACATTTTAAGATCACTGTAAGATTACTGTAATATTACAACGTTATATTACGAATCTTACATGTAATATTACCTTGATATTGAGGTTATATTACGTGCTTCTAGGAAGTATAGTAAATTAACAAAGTATAGCGCGTCATCAAAAAACTCAAAACTTTTACCCCCTTCCTTACTGTTAATTTTTCATAAAATTCAAAAATACTTAGCTGATAAATTACCAACATATAGGACAACCTTATCAAAAAAATTGACGATAGATTGGATAAAATTTTTATTTTGCCTGGACTTTTGACTTGAAATCCATCATATGCATTATTATCAATAACAATTTTTTCAATCACGTGTAATTAACTATGCTAACCGTTCTTTATCTTCAAACTTTTTATAAATTACAGCTTCTTCAATATTACAAGGAAGGTTTTGTTTTTGTAAAAATAATTTCATTAAAAATTTCACATCTTTTTTACGATAATTGAAATATGCTATTTTAAATGCTACCAGAAACGTATTTGAAAAACAAAATATACTATCTGTAAAAATTTCTGATTTGTTTTTATTCTGATAAAGATTGATTAAAAAAGTTATCGAAAAATAAAATTGATTTAATAACACAATAATAGTGCAAAAATTATAAATTCGAATTGCCCATAATGATTTTAAAGACATCGGTCGCCAAAGTCCAATATAAGACATTATGTTAAAAGTGTACTCGGCAATTTTAGTATTTCTTGAATCTTGCATTTTATTTGAACAAAATTTTTACTTAAAATTTTTTTCCACTATTAATTAAACAACTTTAATGTTTATTAATGTTGTCTAAAATTTGAACTAAAGATTTTAAAAATTTTAGTATGAAATTTAACAAATGCTTAAGGTATAGTATCAATTAGAATTAAAATTGATATTTCTCGATTACTTAATTTCACATTTCTATATTGTCACAATTAGAAGGAAATAAGAAAAAATGATTTTTCATTCCACATTTTTCTAATGTAAAATTTGTTAATATGACTTATAAGCTGTAAGTTGGATTAGAATTCAAAAAGAAAGGAAAAATTGTTCGATTGAATTATACTATGTCTTTTGTTATTAACATCGTGCATTCTACTGACTCTATAGCTCCTCTTCGTGCGAAAAGACTTCTATAAAGGGAATTTTTAATATTAGTGCGTTTCGACTTATGGACTATAATGAAACATAATTGCAGACAAAGGATAATATCTGTGTAGCTTATGCATTTAAAATAAAACTTGCGTTTAACTGCGAAAAGCGGTAATTGTTTTTAAAGATTTGAACAGAGAAATATATTGATTGATTTTTGCATCCAGCATAGTGTAAAGTCAATCATTCTTTTAACATCCTTCACCGAGTTCACTTCGTTCTAATAAAACTCATTTACAAAGGGACTCATAAATATTTTTAACATGAGATCTGTCGGAATTTTCATGGTGTCGAATTAAAAATTAATGTATTTTTATTTAGCAGAATTTTATAATGAGCCTAATTTTCATATCAAATAATTTCTGTTTAATATAAATTCTGATTTAATTTATGTCTAAAAAAATTTTCATAAAAAATAATTTTCATTTATCAGAAGAGTTCTTTTATCGAATTTATATTTATCCACGAATATTTACTTAACAATATTTTCATTATTAATGGAAAGTAACAGAATTAACAAAATTCTTATTTAACAAAACATTTATTAAAAATAATTTCCATTTAATCTAATTAATATTTAACAAAAATTTTACTTAGCTGAATTTTTAAACAAGAGAATTCATATTTCATCGAATTTTCACTTGACTATAAATTGAACCGACGGATCGTAGAAGGGCATATAGGCCATGCTAAATGTTAAATGGCAATTCTATTTAATAAAAATTAGGTCGAATAAAAATTTTATTTAATAAAAGTTTTGTTAAATAAGAATTTTATTTAAAAAATTAGGTATCTAAACATTCTGTAAATATTTAGATAAATAGAAATTTGATAAAAAAACAACTCTGTTATAAATAAAAATTATTTTTTATGAAAATGTTGTTAGAAATTGGATTTGAAATTTTTTTTTATATTGCATTTAAAAATCTTTATACGATGTTTATTTTTGATTCTAGGTACATATTTTTCAGTAAATTTTGAGAAGATCTCCATTTTTGGGTACTTTTTTTTAAAATAAAATTTTTTTCCAACTTGAAAAAAATGCTTATGTGTAGATACAAAATAAAAATTTATGTCTGTGGCCAAAATAGCAAAGAAAAACTATGTGCACCTTGGGAAGCTTTACTCAAAAATTAAAAAAAAAATTTATTATAAAATCAATTGCATGTAATGTATTATTTATAAATAATATAACTCTGACCTTAGTCTGCAACCAATGTATCATTACACCGTCCGACACGATTTTCCACACACGAAAAAATCAGTGATTTTCAGAAAATAGGACCAAAAAAAGATACCGGTGTCTGGCCGTTTTGCTAGATCAGGTCATTTTTTGCTTTAAGGGGTAAAAACAACCCTTAAATGAAAGGTGATAGGAAATCTTGTACAAAAAAATAATTTTTTATGAAACCTGGTATCTCGGGGTTTTCCGGGTCGCTGATTACAAATCTGATGTCAGATTTTCAAAATTCAAAATGTCGGATCCAATATGGCGGTCGAAATTTATAAATATTAATTATTTTTTAAAAAACTTGGTGTCTAGGGGTTTTTGAGGTCGCTGATAATAATAACATAATAATAATAACATAATACCATTTATAAATTTCTACCACCATATTGGATCCGCCATTTTGAATTTTGAAAAGCCGACATCAAATTCGTAATCAGCGACCCCAAAAACCTTCAAGTACAAGTTTCAAGTGAATTCGACGAACTTTTATAAATTTCAAACGCCATATTGAATCTGCCATTTTGAATTTTAAAAATCTGACTTCAGATTCGTACTCAGCGACCCCAAAAACCCATAGACACCAAGTTTTATAAAAAATAATTAATATTTATAAATTTCGACCGCCATATTGGATCCGCCATTTTGAATTATCAAAATCTGACATCATATTCGTTATCAGCGACTCCAAAAACCTTCATGTAACAAGTTTCAAGTGAATTCGATGAACTTTTATAAATTTCGACCGCTATATTGAATCCGCCATTTTGAATTTTGAAAATCTGACATCATATTCGTAATCAGCGACCCCAAAAACCCCTAAGTAACAACTTTCAAATGAATTGGTGAATTTTTATAAATTACGCCCGCCATATTGGATCCGCCATTTTGAATTTTGAAAATCTGACATCAGATTCGTAATCAGCGACCCGGAAAACCCCGAGATACCAGGTTTCATAAAAAATTATTAATTTGTACAAGATTTCCTATCACCTTTCATTTAAGGGTTGTTTTTACCCCTTAAAGCAAAAAATGACCTGATCTAGCAAAACGGCCTGACACCGGTATCTTTTTTTTAGTCCTAGTTTCTGAAAATCATTGATTTTTTCGTGTGTGAAAAAAAATTTGAATTTTGTCGGACGGTGTTATGTATTTTCGACGACATGATCTTTCAGAAACACACACGCGCGATTTAAAAAATTTCGAACACTTCCAAACCAAGCGTTACTAAATCAACAAAAAAATACTTTTTCTAAGAATTTAAGCGATCGCGATTTAAAAAATTTCATACACTCCCGAATAAAATATTTACTGAAATGACAAAAAAAATGTAACACTAACAAAAAATTTTTTATTTGTGAATTAATAGATTTGAACACTCCCGAAGCTATTCACTTATTAAATGTGAAAAAATAGCGAATAAAAGACAATAATTTTTATGTTTAACACTACTTTTAAAGTTATAATAATTACTCTCACGTTGATCACGTTTTAACAGGTCAATACACGAATTGCAACTGATTATGATCTGAACTTTGGTATTTTCAATTCATATTGTTATGGTACGCTTTGTACTTGAATGTAAATAATATACAATTTGGAAAATTCAGGTGAGGCATTTCATATGAGAATACGGGGTCATGTCTCAGATTTTTTTCAAAATTCGGTAAATTGTAGTGATAGTGGTGCTAAATAAATGTACAAATTTTGAATTTGAAATTTTTAATATTTTTCGAGATATTTACAATAATAAATTTGAGCAATATTTTTTTGCTTTACTTTTAACTTTTTTCCTATTAAAAATAGAGAAAAATGTTGTAAATGTTTTTTACGCGGAAGATCTTAAACTTCTGGAAAAAAATTATTTTTTTTAAAAAAATATTAATTTTTAAACAATTTGTTTAAAAAATAAAATTTGTTTATAACTTTTAAACATGTTCTCCCTCATTTAGAAGCGCGAAAAAAATCATGAATATTGTTTAAGTCATCATAAATCGATGGTTAAATTTTTGAGATGGCATTATTTTTTGTTTTCGAGATATGAATTATTATTAATTATTAATTTAACACCCGTTTATTAGAAATAATTCATATAGGGCTCGTTGGATGCGGATTTTGATGAGCATTATAATGTTATTTTTAAAATTATTCTAATTTTATTTGTTCGTAAAATATTTCAATTTTTATTAACTTTTGTTAGTTAATTAATTCATATCACGAAAACAAAAAAATAATGCCATCTCAAAAATTTAACCATCGATTTATTATGACTTAAACAATATTCATAATTTTTTTCGCTCTTCTAAATGAGGGAGAACATGTTTAAAAGTTATAAACAAATTTTTTTTTTAAACAAATAGTTTAAAAATTAATATTTTTTTTAAAAAAATAATTTTTTTCCAAAAGTTTAAGATCTTTCGCGTAAAAAACATTTACAACATTTTTCTCTATTTTTAATAGGAAAAAAATATTGCTCAAATTTGTTATTCGAAAGATCTCGAAAAATATTAAAAATTTCAAATTCAAAATTTGTACACTTATTTAGCACCACTATCACTACAATTTACCGAATTTTGAAAAAAATCTGAGACATGACCCCGTATTCTCATATGAAATGCCTCAGGTATAAAGGTAATAAAATTTCAAAATCGTTTTGAAACATATTTTACAAACTCTACTTCGAAATTACAATTTTTTATAATATTATTTCTCTAATTGAATTATTTTTGAGATTTTCAATGTTAGTGCAAGCTTTAAGCACGCCTAAGTCACCTCAAATCAATGCAAAAATAGATATTTTAATAAATTGTATTATTATTTTAAATTAAATTTTTAAAAAATTTTCTTTCATTTATGATAGGTCACGTGATTGACACAGCCACTTTACTCGTAAAATACTAAAAGGATTGAGTTGATATTTTGTGGAGAAGTCTAAAATATGATGAGGAAGGTATGCGATATGTGAAATTATTGATATTTTGCCATTCCTCAACATATTTTAAACTTTTTATTTTACAAAATATCAATATATTTTAAGAGTAAAGTTCTCGACAAAATAAACATTGTAGTGAAGCCATCACCTAACAATCACATGCTATTAGATGGCCTTTAGTCATGATTTTATTTTCTAAAATTTTTAAAATTTTTTAACAAAAACATTAATTTGAGATGATGAGAATTTTTTTTACAGAATTAAAACAAAACAAATGAAATTTGACTGTGGCATAGATTTTAAGAGAGTTACTTTAACAATGGACCTTATATGGATTATCTTCAGTCCTTTAATAAAATGGCATAAGCTGTTTTTGGATGGGAGGCTATGAAACATTCTATATAACACAGCTACAAATAAGTAAATTAAAATTATCAAATAAATTGACTATGTATTCAAATATGTAAATAAAAATTAGACTAAACTAAATATTCAAGGAAACATTTAGATTTTAACATTAATATTCTTTTTTTTTATTGATCTTAAATGACATATCACTATAATACACAAGCTGTAAAGTACAGCAGATATTTCTTTTTTTTTATTAATATATATATACTCACAATTTTTTTTTTTTCGTGAGTTTTTGGAATACTTCTTTTTTTTCAATTAAAACAATTCTACATAGACGATAAGAACACTTGTCCAATGATTTGTTTTTCTTATTTATGCGAAATAAATCAAACTATAATGCAAAGTTCAAAAATCATGACAATGTCTGATATTTATAATACAAGACAATAAATGAAGATTTAGCCGAGATATCTAAAATAATGTACAATTCTATTGGCGAGAGAGAGAAAGAGAAAAAAAATATTGTCTCTTTCGATAATTCATTTTATAAGCTTTTCTATATATTGAAGATTCGGAACAATTATTTGTATAATCGAATATTGTTAAACGAATCGGATCGTGAATTGTACGACTTATATATTTTTTTTTTTTATTAATTATTACGAAAGGTGCGATACTTAGTTTTTTTTTGTTTCGTACGTTTCGTAAGTTTATTATTATTTTTTTTTGCCGATCATGCCAAAAAAATATATTATATATGCGTATATAATTAATTAAATAATTACGGTGCTTAAAAGAGAATATCTTCGTCACCCTCTTCTAGCATATTGGCTGCCTCTGAATGATTTCCTGCGGCTATCATCTCCTTTCTTCGAGCTTCGGTCTGCAAATTACATAAAATTATTCTTTTTATTCTTTAATTTTGAAAAATTATATTTATTTCAATTTAATGAAATTTATTTGAATTTAAAAATGAAAAAAATTTACGAATATACCTTTGCTTTCGCTATTTTCTTCTTATCCTGAATTTTCTTTAATCGATAGAATTCTTCTCTTTCGAGTTCATCAAGTTCGGAAATAATATAGGCAAGCGTTCGTTCGATTCTTGGAATGATAACATGTTCAATGGCGTTGACACGACGATTTGTAATTTTAATTACTTCATCGAGTGTGACAAAACTTGTTTGAAGTGAAGCCAATTCAACCAATAGCTTCACTGCACGTTGATAGTTTTTCTTCAATTTTGCGAGTTGTTGTCCACCTCGAGCTAAACCAGCTAATTCATAAGTGTCAGTTCCATCTTGATATGATTCAAATACTGGTAAATTTACACCAGCTACATTATCTTTCTTGGAACGAATTTTAATTTGTGCTTTTGTCACATTTTGTAAAACAACCTGATTAAAATCGCCCGTTGCGAATTTCGCTTCGGCCAATGAGAAAGCTGCTTCTTTCATTACTTCACCCATTAATGTTTTTGTCTAAAAATCAGTAAATAAATATTTATTTAATTTTTTTTTTTTTTAATATTTAAAAAGAAATCTCACAGAAATCAGGGTTGTCTACTAAAAATCTAAATTAAAATTCCAGGACTTTTCCAGGACAAATTTCTTATTTTTCCAGGACATTAAATTGGATGACCTTAAGGAATAAAATATTTTTTATTTTAACTATTGTTGTCAGAATGAGCCAAAAGTTCTGAACGTTCAAATGAACAAAATATTTTTTTCATTGTATAATAAATATTAAAAATTATAATGTTAATGTAAAATAAAACAGTAAATTAAACAAATATTAAATTAATAACTTCGTTTTAGATATTTAAAACAATATTTTGTAATAAAATTCATACTTAAAGAAGTTACAAAAAAAATTTTGTTCATTTGAACGTTCAAAACTTTTCGCTCATTTGTCAGAAATTTAATAAAAAAAAAAAACAACAATTTTAATAAATATTACAGAAACATTAATAAACATTACATTACGTAACTCAAGTAAATTTTCATTTTACTTATTTAATTAATTTTTTTAACTTGATGACTTCATTATCAAGAAGTTCTGCTTCTTCTTTTTTGACAGTTTGTAAAAGTTGTCGCGCTATTTGAACGAAATTATAAATTTTTGAAAATTTAAAAGCAAATTATAAAAAATTCAAGGACAAAAATTAAAATTCCAAAACTTCCAGGACTAGTAGACACCCTGAGAAATCTTCAGAATAATTCAATACAACAATTTTGATTCAAAAAAGGTAGGTAACCAAAAAGGTAACCAAATTAAAAATACTTAAAAAATTTCTTTTTTTTTTACTTGAGAAAAAATAGAAACTTATACATGCAAGTTGAGAATTAAATAAATAATACTATAAATTTTTAAAAATTTATTTTTCTACTTACTTCAATGATTTTTCCTAAAATCATTCTAAATCGCATTTGCAGTGCATCTGCTTTCTTTTTAAGTAAACCATGACCCTTTTGTGCCCCTTGTAAACGTGATTTCATTAACATTTGGGCTCTAAAATAAAAATTCAATTTAAAATAACGAATAGTTCATAAAGGCTAATAATTAAATAATTGAGACTTTAACAATAGCCGTGAAAATTTCAAATAAATTTCAATGTCTGTACAAATGTTTATATTAAAATTTTTTTATTTTTATTACAAAATTTTTTTAAAAATATAATAAATTCTCATTTTTAAAATATAAAATCATCATATTATATAAAAAAAAACAATTATTATTGACATTTTGAAGTAAGGTTACACCCATTTTTTATAAGAAATTATTTTTATGAAAAATTCACAACAGATATGAAAAATAATTATATTAGAATTATAATGAAATATTAAATATTAGTTTTTTAAATTATTTTCAAGAAAACTTACCCCCGAGAAGGGAAAATAGGGAGTCTATCTTTTCCTGACATATTTTTTTTTTTTACTGTTTGTGACAAACGCAGACAGAAAATGTGATTGATCAGCTGACTTTGAACACTGGAAAATGAAATTAAATTGTTGAACGCGGAACGGAATTGAACCGCTTGTAGCGCGAAATTTAAAAATATAAAAGAAGCAAAATTGTTTTTTGTACTAATAAATAAATTAAAATAATTATTAAATTATTGTTATCATTAAATTTTAATATGCATCATTTGAAAAAAGTCATTAAAAATTGTAATCATTTTAAAATAAAATGTTTTATATTAAAAAAAATTTTACTTTTGAAAAAAAGACAATCGCTTTTCTGAAGAAAAATTATTATTCTCATCTGTCAATTAAATTTTCGAGACTTTGAAATTTCTAAATTCATGTTAAAAAATTTGTTAAATAATTTAAAAATTTCCAAACACAAAAAATTATCTTCATGGCACTTTACGATTGGTATAAACAATTAAATTCTTCTAATGACACTTTTCAAGAAGTTTTCAAAAAATTACTCAAAACCGCATTAACAAAGGAAGATCAATTTTTATTGACACAAGAGAAAAACAAGATAAAAATTGAAAAAGACTTAATAAAATCATGTAAAAATAATAATCTGCAATCGGGAATAATTAGAAAAGCTTGTGATGATGTTTTGAGAAGAATGAATATTACTGACTCGAATTAAGTGAGAAATAAATAAAAGGTTTGTTAATTTCTTTTCTGTTATTTATAAATTAGATATTAAAAATTAATTCATTTTTTATCATATTTTTTACTGTCATCTAATCATATAATTTAACTTGTTTTTTTTATTTAAAAAAAAAAAATTTAATTTTTAATTTCAGTTGATCTATTAATAGTTTTCAAGAAAAAAGAAAAAAAAATGATAAGCGACAAAGAAGTTTTTAGGAATTTTCTCCTTGACACAGCAGTTGAAGATGCACTTGAAATTTTACTCGGGAATTATCCTAAAAAAACCGATAAATCCAATTACAATATTCCAATTCGCTATTGGAAATATAATGGTATTTGGACAAATGAAGAGGAATATTTAGAAACTTCCGGAAAGCATTTTTTCATGAAAATGGCAATAACGGCTTGGGATTTTCTTAATGTATCAAACGTTTTTCGAAAATCGTGAAAACAAATGTGAGTTTTCAACAAATGTATGTGAACATTCAAAATACTTTCATTATTTGTTAGTTTTCAATTCACAAAACTTCATGACAAGAAAATATTTTTTTATTTTTTTTTTATCACATTTTAATAACTATATTTTTATATCATTTTTATCATTCAATATCCACGATTGCCGCGGAGAAAAAATAAAAATTTAAACAAATCGAGGTTAAAAATAGTTTTTTTTTTCTCGAAAAAAAATGTATTTAAAAAAGATTTTGTATAGATGTAAAATATTAAAAAAAAAAAAAATTTATAACAATCTCGACTGACCTTTTTTCAATACTTGTCTAACGTTTAAATTTATTCGTGCTTCTTGAATGTATGATTTTGCCTTAAGCCAGTCTTCATCATTATTTGTGATGTGATCACGAAAATTGTGATCGTCAAATTTTCTATCACATTCCCAGGGTTGAATATAGGCTGATAAAATTCTTGGAACACCGTGATAACATAATCGTGATTGTTTTGACATTACAACAATATCACCACTGCGCAAAAACATTGCTTCTGCTGTATCGTTCACAGAATGTCCACCAATTAAAAAAATTGCCGACTGTCCAAAACTGATGGAAAATAGAGGAGCTTCGATATTAATTTCAGAATGATCTGTATGACCAGCTAGAGTGGAATTCATTCTATAATAATTAATAATTGCCGCCTCAGCTTGAAATTCAACGAAATGTAAAACAGTCGCTAGAAATTCCGTTAAATTACAAAGTTCTTTAGACATTTCAGTCTTTGAATCTTCTGAATAATTTTTCGTGTCCCAATTATGATGATAGCCTTGTGTTGCCCATCTTAATTTCGTTAAAAGGTCATTTTTCTTCTCTGGATTTCTAATTTTTAAAGACAAAAATTGATTATTATTTTTATGGATTTATAATTTTTTGTTTATATTTATATATTTTTTTTTTTTCACCTAAAACAAGTTTCCCACCATGATTCGTTGCCTTCAAGTAAAGAGTGAGCATCCAAATTTAATTTATTGGGTTTTCTTGAAAAATCCTTGAGACATTTGATAATCCAATAACGTTGTCCCAAAACGGTAAAAGGATTTTCGATATAAATTAAACCTGAAAACAGTAAAATAAATAATAAAATAAAAAACTTTGTGATTTTTTTTATGGAATTTTATATTTTGATTAATTGTTTACTGCAGTGATTTTTTTTTTTATAATTTTATAGAAAAAAGTTAAAACTTTGTAGAACAATTAATTAGCTTATTTACGCTGTTAAATTTATGTTAACAATTTTTAAATTAATTTTTGTTTTATTTATAAATGATAATGTCAATTTTGTTCCATTAAAAAAAAATTTTTTTTATTAAGGGGATTTTCTGATTTAGAATTAACAAAAAAGTTACGTTTTAAAAGTTTTATTGTAAGAAAACTATTAAAGAAATTGCAAAAATTCTTTTTAGTCGTTGTTGCACGTTGAGAAAATGAAAAAAAAAAAATTAATTGAGCGTATTTAGTTCAAATTTGTAGCTGTAGGTGGCGCCGTTATTTTGAGACAATTTACCCCCTTATAAAAAAACAGGGGGTAGAAATATGAAATTTTAAAGGTTTATTCTCTAGTTTTTTTAAATAAGGAATCAAATGATCTTTGGTTTTTTAAAATCGGTTCGGTAGATTTTGAGAAAAGCTGTGCACTAGTTTGAAAAATGTGTTTTCAAGAAAAACGCTTTTAAAGTTTTCATAACATAATACATTGAGCCAGGACTATCAAACACTTTTTGATTACAACTTTTGTTTCTTTTAACATATTTTTAAAAAAACGTTTTGGGACAGTAATTTTATGATACTAAGGAACATTTTTAAGCAAAAAGAAAAAATCGATTTTTTTGGAATTCTAAACCAGAAAGTTCCCTTAACAATAAGATTGGGGTATAATAATTGTATAAACCAAATTAATAATTCTATAAAATATTAGAAAAAATATTAATTAACAAACTGACCTGGTACATTTATCAATTCATAAATATTCCAGTCATTAATTGGTTTCAATCCTAATTTATTTACATCATTTACATTTTGAATGTTATTTACATCAGTGGAGATTTTTCTAACCTAGAAATATAAACATGCAATATGTGTTAAAATTAATAAAGTCCAAATAAAGTAAAGTAAATTAATTTTTAAAATTACCTTAGAAAAATCCGGGTTTCGAAAATCAATCACATTTTTAAAATTAGGTGGTGGATTCCTTGATTTATAATATTTAAAAGTTTCTTTAAACATTTTCCCCGTGAATCCTGGCAGTCGCCATTTTAAAAATTGACTTGAGCGCCAAATATGAAAAAAGGAAGCAAGTGAAATGTATCGACCAATCAGAATATGGGACGCATGATTTGCACCCAAAATCCATTACATTAAATTGTCAAAGCATCGAGATTTATTACATTGACTCTCCAATACATGGATTCTTCAAAACGTCGACTGACCAAAACATCGACTTGTAAAATTATCGACTCCTCAAAACATCGAATTTCCAACTGGTCGAATTTCAAAATGATCGATTTTTAACAACGTCGATTCTTCAATGCATACATTTACCATCACATATCCTTATTAAAACATCGAATTGTTAATTCATTGAATTTCCAAAACATGGAATTTTCATAGCTTTGAATTACCAAAGCATCGACTTGTTATAACGTCGATTTGTCAAAAAATGAATTTTTTAATTCATCGATTTACAAAAACACTGATATTAGAAAACGTCGACTAGCAAAAGCATCGACTTTTGTTTACATTGAATTTTTAATACAGATTCTCCAAATTATCGACTAACCAAATCATCCATTTGTCAAAATATAGATTTGCTAAAACATTACATTTGCAATACATCAATTTAGCAAAACACTTATTTTCTAAAACTTTGACTCGCCAAAGCACTGACTTTTTAATACATTACCTCGTCAAAAGAACGAATTTTCAAATCATCGATTTTCTAATGCACTAACCTGCAAAAGCATCAAATTTCCAATACCTCGACTTCCGAGTACATCGATTTTTTAAAACATTAACCTGTCATAACATCAACTTTCCAATACATCTACTTCACTTTGAAGGAAAAATGTCCCCAACTATGGTACAAGCATTCCGGAAAATTAGAATAGTCGGAGGTGGCGTTCGTAACGGGAAAAACCTTAAACTATTGATTTCCCTAATGAAAGTCGTCTGCTATTTATTTTGAAAAGTATATTATAAAATCACATAATTTCATATTTTTGAAAAATTATGTAATTGAATAAATAGTAAATGTTAAATATGAAATATTATTTGTATTTAAAAAGTCATTTACAAATTAATTAATTTTATTAATTTTAATGAAGTTCTTTAAAAATTCACTAACTTTAAACTTCTTTTTAATACACATTCTTTAACAATCAATTATTGTTTTTACAGTACGACGAAATTTCGAAAGGTAGTTTAATAATACCTTTCCAATGGTATATTATTTTTTTTGGACAAACTAATTTTCCTACAGGTGAATTTAAGTAACGTCACACCTCGAAAATGTGTTTTTTTAGATTCAGCAAAATTGCACGAAGGAAAAAAATATCCAAAAATATGTTTTTCTTACTTAAAAAACACCTATTAATAAAAAAAATATTTCGTACGATTGGCAATTTCACTGTAAACAGGTGTGATTTATGACAATTTGAAGAGTTTTTAAAATGTTTTAAATTATTGAATTTTATTTAAATATGATTAAAAACATTTTTATTACATTTGCTTTTATAAAGAATTTTAATAATTTTAAAAATAATTGATATTCGGAAAAGTCATATATTCGAAAGATTCTTATATTGAATTAATTCAATTTTAATAGATTTTTAATGGAAACTTTTTTACAATTAAATAGATTACTGTAAAAACAAAAAAAACAATAGTTGATTGTTAAAGAATGTGTATTAAAAAAAAGTTTAAAGTTAGTGAATTTTTAAAGAACTTCATTAAAATTAATAAAATTAATTAATTTGTAAATGACTTTTTAAATACAAATATTATTTCATATATTTAACATTTACTATTTATTCAATTACTTAATTTTTCAAAAATATGAAATTATGTGATTTTATAATATACTTTTCAAAAATAGCAGACGACTTTAATTAGGGAAATCAATAGTTTAAGGTTTTTCCCGTTACGAACGCCACCTCCGACTATTCTAATTTTCCGGAATGCTTGTACCAGATTTGGGAACATTTTTCCTTCAATCCACGCATGGAGTGAAGACTCCTTATTCTTACTTCGTGATGCATCGAATTGTCAAAGCATAGAATTTTTAATACATAGATATGAAAAAGCATAGACACTTTTTTGCATTGAATATCCATTACATCGAACTTTTTTTTTCACTAGGGTTTACTCTCTATGTTGTTAGTAGGTAAGGTAGATTAAGATTGTGCGGGAAATTTTAAATTAATATAATATTTAATTATATTTATTAATAAATGTTTTTTATAACATTTAGTTATTAAATATATTTCATAAAAAATAAGGAGAAATTATTAAAAGAGAATAATTTTAAAAAAGAAAGGCAATTTGTCAATGGAATACAATTCTAAATATATTTATTTCAGTTTTAGTACATTAAACTGGTAAAGTAGAGACATCTATGAGAAACATATAAAACAATAATTTGTATATATTATTAAATCAATAAAAATATCATTTTCTTGTTAATATTGAGAGATTTTATATTACCAAAAAAAACAGAAAACAATGAAATTTACAATATTTAATAACTAAATGTTATAAAAAACATTTATTAATAAACATAATTAAATATTATATTAATTTAAAATTTCCCGCACAATCTTAATCTACCTTACCTACTAACAACATAGAGAGTAAACCCTAGTGAAAAAAAAAGTTCGATGTAATGGATATTCAATGCAAAAAAGTGTCTATGCTTTTTCATATCTATGTATTGAAATTTGATGCTTTTGCAGGTTAGTGCATTAGAAAATCGATGATTTGAAAATTCGTTCTTTTGACGAGGTAATCTATTAAAAAGTCAGTGCTTTGGCGAGTCAAAGTTTTAGAAAATAAGTGTTTTGCTAAATTGATGTATTGCAAATGTAATGTTTTAGCAAATCTATATTTTGACAAATGGATGATTTGGTTAGTCGATAATTTGGAGAATCTCTGTATTAAAAATTCAATGTAAACAAAAGTCGATGCTTTTGCGAGTCGACGTTTTCTAATATCAGTGTTTTTGTAAATCGATGCATTAAAAAATTCATTTTTTGACAAATCGACGTTATAACAAGTCGATGCTTTGGTAATTCAAAGCTATGAAAATTCCATGTTTTGGAAATTCAATGAATTAACAATTCGATGTTTTAATAAGGATATGTGATGGTAAATGTATGCATTGAAGAATCGACGTTGTTAAAAATCGATCATTTTGAAATTCGACCAGTTGGAAATTCGATGTTTTGAGGAGTCGATAATTTTACAAGTCGATGTTTTGGTCAGTCGACGTTTTGAAGAATCCATGTATTGGAGAGTCAATGTAATAAATCTCGATGCTTTGACAATTTAATGTAATGGATTTTGGGTGCAAATCATGCGTCCCCAGAATATAAATTGCGTCGTTTCGTCAATAATATTCAGCGGGAAATTTAAAATTATTTGTTAAAGTAGAAAAAAATTTTAATTATGTGGCAAAATAAAAATAATAGTACGACAGCATTATACAAGATCAATTATTATCAATTTAAAATATGAAAATAAGATAGAAAATACAAATATTTATATAAAATTAACTAAACTAATATTAGAGAAACAAAGAAAATATCATTATTAATTAAATTCAAGTTTTTTATAATAATTTTTGTTTGTTAAAAAATTTCTTTTTCTTTTAAAACATATTACTTTTTGTTTTAAAACTCATAAAATTTTTGAAATGTGTTTTCTTTTAAAAAATTTATATAATTTCTTTTAAAATTAGAAAAATATCTTTTACATATATAGTAAATATATATTAAAATTAATAGATAATTATATAAGCGAGCTTTACGTCAATTATTGTATGATGGTGTATATTAACGTCAATTATTGTTTTACAAATTATATTTCAAACGTTCGATAATCGAGCAATTTGCATCTTGAACTATACACGCGCATGCCACATGCATTTTTTAGGCCGTTCCCTATATATGCAACTAATCTTTTATGAGTAATTTTAAAGACTGATTGTCATATATAATGACGCTGCTTTGAGAATTTGTATGATTTCATATAGAAAAAGAGAGGCACGTCACCGATCGCCTTCAAGGATTTTTGAAAGCTCAATAGAAAATTAATAGCTCAATAGATCTCCAATGTTCACTCTTTGATGATAATATATACATATATAATACACAATACTCATTATCATTCGCACTTTTTAAATAAAATTAATTCTCCCTATTCTTTCATCTTAAAATTTGATTGCACTGCAAAAAATAAATCTTAATTTCATTTCACTTTGGACTAAAACAGTTTACATATAAAACTAAATTTTAAATGTATAATTTATATAGTCTTCATAGCATGATTTTAAACCCAAAAATTGACTCAAACTTATTTTGAGCCAACATAATTGGCTGATATTTAGTCATTTTGGTTTTAAGATGTAAGCGGTGTCAGACTTTGCTTTTTTTTCTCTAAAAAAAATGTTTGGTTACACCCAGAGAAATGATATATTTGTCTCACAGCCTAATTAATTTTTATTTGATTCAAATAAATTTTTATTTAATTTAAAAAATTTTTATTTGATTTAAATAAAAAATTTTATTTACGCCAAATAAATAGGCTAGTAGGCTGTTAGACAAAATTACGTTTATTTAACTCAAATATATTATATTTATGGTTCAAATAAAAAATTTCTCTGGGTGTAGAATAATTAAATTTCTGGTTAGTCTAACCAAAATCTAACATATTAAAAATGTCTTACAATCTTTTATTAGTCAATTTCTTTTAGCATTTTTTAAATTTAGCGCCATTATTTATAGTTTTTGCGCTACATGGTTGGTACATGTACATACTTAGCAATTTACATGATATCTAACCTAAAAATTTTGTAATTTATAACTTAAAGAATGAGAATATGAAATAAAAAAATATATAATAATTAAATAATAGTAAATAATAATAATAATAATAAAAAAATAAAAAATTTTGAAAATTTAAAATTAAAAAAAATTGTGTAACTCTGTTGTTTTTACTCCAAACAAAAAATGTTAAAGGGAAAAAATTTTTTATTTTACTTATATTTTTCAAAAAAAAAAAAAAAAATTGAAAAAAATTTTTTTTTGAAAAATAAAATTTTTTGAAAATTAAAAAAATGAATAATTTTGTTGTTTTTTAACGAAATTATCTGCCCAACGAACTCAGGCAAAATTTTGGTACACTTAATGTGTTTACTAAATTTGAGGTCGATTAATTAAAATTTTCTCAAATTATCGTAGAGGAAACTTTTTTGTCTACATACATACATACAGACATTTGTTTAAAACCTATTTTTTTGGCATCAGGAAGGCTTGAAACATGGAGATTCATAAGAATTAGAGGTTGGTCAAAATCGGGCAAATGTAATATTTTCTCATTATGATGAAAATATAATAAATAAAATAAAATCTTGCATAGAGTTAAAATTTAGAAATCATGGAAAATTTATACACACTAATTTAAAAGTATTGATATAAAAAATTGTATCAATTTGATACTTTTAAATTAGTTTGATGTAAATTTTTTTAAAAATTTCATAAAATCATGGATATTATAGAAAAGTCCTAGAATTTTCAAAAGTTCCTAAATTTTTTCAAATGTAAACATTTTTTACTACAAGACAATGTAAAAATTAGATTCAATATTTCAATGTGAAATTTTATTATTTTTAAGTTGAAAAATTATCTTTTTGTAAAATAAGCTTACCTTTTAAATAAATAAAAATGTTTTATCATAAAACACACTGTAAATATATATATATATATATATATACTTCTTAGTAGAAAAATTATATTAATATAAAAAAATTTTTTAAATTAGAAAAAAAATTAATTTAAAAAATAAAGTTCTAAGTAGATAAAATTGTTTTGATAAGATACTTATTTATAAGTATATCCTAGTAATATGTCTATATTTATAAATGGCATAAAGTAAAGAAGTAAAAAATAATTTTTTATTTAGTAAATATAGATTTTTTAAAATACAAATTTACTTTTAAGTATAGAAATTATTTTTTAATCGAAGAGATACCTACCGCCTAATCTTTTAATTAGAAAAAGTTTCATTTCCCCAAGATAAATTTATTTTTAAGTAGAAATTTAATTTTTTTAATTCAAGGTTGATTTTTCAGTAGATACAGTTTTACTGGTAAGGCATCAGTTTCTCATCAAGTAGAAAAAGTTGTTTTCCGTAAGACTAACCTTTTTCAAGTAGTTAAAGTTGCCTATAGATATATAAGACACCATATAAATATTTCTTCTTCTTTCCTTATAGTGTCATATAAATATTTAAATGGAAAAATTAATTTTGCCAATCAAGTTAATAAAAATAAAACTGACAAGTTAAAAATTATACTTAAATTACAAACTTAAAGGAACCAGAGACAGAAGTTTTATAATAAAAAAAAAAAAAAAAAAGAAATGAAATGAAAAATAAAAATCTAAAGAAGAATAACGTTTTTCAAACTTGTTTTTTGGCGTTCGCATATATTTTGATTAATAGTCGAATTGAATTCGATACGCTTGAAAACTTATTTTTACACAAGTGCGCAGACGCAGAAGATCATCCGCGCGAATCGCAGTATTATATGTATATATATATAAGATACTGATCTCTCACACCGCGGCGCGTCAGGTTTACTTTCAGGATGCATTCATTCAAAAAATTTAAGAGAAACCAAAAAAAAAGTAAACGATAAATAAAAAAATAAACGCGTTTATTACAATAATACTTATATTCTATATATTGAAAAATAAATTAAACTCGTCAATTATATTCGATTGTCCAAATTATTGCTTATATAGATTGATGCATAAATTTGAATGACAGTTTATATACAGTGAGAATAATGTCGCGTTTGTTATAAAGTCGCACCCAACGAGTGAGATTCAACCATAACATATGCCAGAGAGAACCAATAAGAATTTAGTGTCACGTCATCAGCGACCAATCAAAATGCTTGGCAATGACGACAGTTTCTAAAAATAACTCGTATATATCTAGGCCGGTTGTAACCGCGAATTATGCACAGTCGTGCGCCGGCAGCCGACCACGAAGGATTTTAAATGTGTTCTCGCGGGTTTCAATTATATTTATTATTGCAATTAATAAGGTAGGCGCAATATTTACCTACAGCATGTTTCTTCTCAATAGTTTTATTATTGAAATTATAAAATTTGTGTGTTTCCAATGGAATTTTACGATGAATTAAAAGTGAATTATAGTTATTTTTTTTATTTTCTTCTTTTTTTTTTTTTTTTTTTTTTTTTGAATCGTCAAAAGGTGAACAAGAAAATTGGATGTTACAAGTGCGCGTATCACATTTTATTGCACCTGAGTACACGTTCAACTTGTCACATCACGTGGTAAAGCACATGGAGTCTTGTCTAAATATTATGTTTATTGACATTTTATATTATTATATTCTCTATATTTTTTAATGATCGTTTTACTTATTATTATATAGAACTTCATCAAAAAAAAAAAACTAAAATAGCAATTTTAAAAAATTTCAACTAATTATTATTATTATTTTTATAATTTTTTTTTAAATTTATATTTAAAAAAGAAATTTGCATTTATTTTATTTATTAATTATCCAAAATCATTTTAAAAGCATTTTTGTGAATTTATAACCGTCAGTAATCCATAAATTTATTTCATTTTCCAAAAAAAAAAAGAAATAAGATATTTAACAAATTATTATCTATTCCGAGTAATAAATTTTTTTTTCTTTTTTGAAATGATAAAAAAATGAGTGATCATTTAAAATCGAGAAATTAAAATTTTTTTTCTTATGTGAGATAAAATTTAAAAGAATTCATAAATTTTTTGTTTACTCACAATTAATTTTCTCCCATCTTATTTGCTGATTTCCAAATAAAAAAAATCTTGATTTGTTGCTGAAAAAAAATATATATATATATAAATTAATTATATATTTCAATGACAAGAGAAATAATTGAATAAAAGAAAAAATATAATAATAATTTTTATAAAAATTACACGATTAATAATCAATTATATCTTATTATATATATGATATATTTGTTATTATATCACTGTCTGACACGATTTTTGACCCACATAAAAAAAAAAAAAACATTTTTGAAAACTAGGACTCCAAAAAAAAAATACCCGTGTCTGGCCGTTTTGCTAGATCAAGTCGTTTGTAGTTTTTAGGGGTGAAAACAACCCCTAAATGAAAAGTGACAAGATTATCTTTTAAAAATTATTAATATTTTATAAACCTTGGTATCTGTGGGTTTTCGGGGTCGTTGATTATTAATCTTATGTCAGATTTTCAAAATTCAAAATGGCGGATCCAATATGGCGGTCAAAAATTTAAAAAGTTCTTAGATTTTTATAAAACTTGGTATTTTGAATTTTGAAAATCTGACATCAAATTTGTCATCAGTGACCCCAAAAACTCTAGATACCAAGTTTTATAAAAAAAATTAATAACTTTTAAAAATTTTGACCGCCATATTGGATCCGCCATTTTGAATTTTGAAAATCTGACATCAAATGACCCCGCAAACTACCAGATACCAAGTTTTATAAAATATTAATAATTTGTAAAAGATATCTTGTCACTTTTCATTTAGGGGTTGTTTTCACCTCTAAAAATCACAAACGACTTGATCTAGAAAAACGGCCAGACATGGGTATTTTTTTTTGGTCCTAGTTTCTGAAAATGTTTAATTTTTTGTGGGTTAAAAAAAAAGTTGAATTTTGTCAGACTGTGTATTTTCTAATTATTAAATTAAACTAATTTTTTTTAAATTACTACTGCAATAAATAATAAACAAATACATTTATTAAATTATTAATTACTTTTTTGATCCAATATTTTTTAAACCTAAAGAAGTAGTAAACAAATGTTTAGTTCAGTTGATCGTTCAGAACTTACAGAACATAAAAAATTTTATTATTTTTTTTTTAATAGCAAAACTGTTTCGAATCTTATCTGTTAAAACATTTTTTTGAAATGAAAAACATTTTTCATAAATTATTTTTATGAAAACCTTTTCATTTACAATAATTCCTCTAGAAGAATAAAAATCAGGAAGTACATAATTTGGACACTGAAAGAAAATTATTTGATTCAAAATATTCGTTACTACACGCAAATAAATCTTTACCTATAGAACAGCGTTATATGTATTTCACTAAAACAGCGAAATTTTTCGCTATTCTAGAGAAATATATCGCTGTTTCAGAGAAACTTATCGCTGATGTTTCAGATGAAGATTTTTTTGCGTGTACCTATTTATTAATATAATAAATATAATATTCTTTAAATCAGTCAAATTTTTAATTGATACAAATAAATTTTTTTTCCGTAAAATAATTTCTCAAAATTGTTTAAAAATTTTGACATAGTCATTGATTCTTATATATATATAGTTTGGAATTATTATTATTATTTTACAAACATAAAAAAGCATAATTTCTGGCGGTAGTGTAAATTTATATTTTCTTCGAGAATTATGATACATTTGACGTATTTTAATTTGAAAGGGACAGTTAAGTATAATAAGGGAAGTTATTTTGCATATATGGCCTATAATAAATATGAATTTATGACTCCCATAAATTAAATTTCATGTGACACATAGTCTCTAGTACATATATATATACTATTTTGCGTTTTAAATAATATAATAATTTTGATTGGTACCATGGCAAATAATCTATATGTATATTGAAATGTGAGCTACTAATTTAAATTAGTAAGAATTTTTACTAATTTTTAGTCACTTTTCACTAAAACTTTAGTAAACAAATTTAAAACCACTAAATCAAATAGTATTATTTTACTAAAAATTAGTAAAAATTCTTACTAATGTGAATTAGTAGCTCACTTTTCACTAATTCAAATTCAGAGAGAAATAAATTTGTTTTTCAGTATTTTAAATATCTACTAGTCTATTTTTAAAATAAATAAATACTTAATTTATGGTTGTTTTTTTGTGGCCCACAAAAACCCACAAAACAACTAGATAAAATGATATATTTGTCTTACAGCCTAATAAATATTTATTTGATTTAAATAAATTTTTATTTGTTTTAAATAAATTATATACGTTTATTTAACTCAAATATATTATATTTGGTTCAAATAATACATTTCTCTGGATGCAGTTCAACACTGAGAAAAATATGCTATTGAATCAACAGCATTTCTGCCAAAGGTATATAAAAACTATTGATTCTAAAGCATATGCTATAAGATATGTAAAATATTTTACAGATTCAATAGCATTTGCCTTTGAATCAATGATTTTGATACCTTTGGCAGAAATGCTATTGATTCAATAGCATATTTCTCTCAGTGTAAGCATAATTATCGGTACAGTAGTAATCAATATGGTAATTTCAATTAAAAATATGTTAGTTTCAATTACATATATGTTGTGATCTCATTTTTTCTTTTCTTATTTTTTTTTTTTTTTTTTTTTTTTTTTTGATAAAACGAATTGCAAGTCGGTAAGTTTCTATTACATATATAGTCATAGGCTTTTAAAGTTAATTGCTAATTACTGTTTCGGCAAAGTAGTACAAGCATGGACGCACATTTTGAGTGTTCTGTTGTGTGTGATTGTTCTGTAGACACAACTCATCAGACAGAGTCATCAATCAAAGTTTTTTTTTCTTTTTTCTTTTTTTTTTTTAATAAATGCCAGGTAGTTTTAGAAAAGCACGTTCAACAGTCAACAGACTTTTATTCAGCGTGTCCTTCGAATACATTTATCCGAATCTTCGTAAATCACATCGCGATGTTCTTTTTTACTAATATTATATAGATTCTATTCGACAACGAAAATAACTTTTACCAATATATATATATATATATATATATATATATATATATATAATACGTATACTTTTAACAAAATTCTCCGATGTGATTAATTTAATGTAAGAATTTTTTACGCGGATAATAAAAGATGTTTGCTGTGGCTGCAAAATTTAAGCTAATTCATTTTTTTCTATGTATATTTTTTAGTTAATTTACCCTTATTTGAAATTTTAATTATCGCACAGTAACAACTCAAAAAAAATATATAATAATAATAATTCAAATTAAACGTTCTATGTTCAAATGAACGAAATCATTTTTTTGGTCTATCTGAATTAGTAGTTTTCTACTAATGTAAGAGTTCGTATTCGTTTACCAATTGAATTAGTAACAGTTTTGACTAATTTGTAGTAAAAAAAACTATCCTAATTTCTAGTAGAAAACTACTAATTCATGGAGTAAATCGGCTTACTAATTTGAAATAGTAAAAAAAATACGATTTACTCCATGAATTAGTAGTTTTCTACTAGAAATTAGTAGTTTTTTTTACTAGAAATTAGTCAAAACTGTTACTAATTCAATTGGTAAATGAATACGCACTGTTTCATTATAGTAGAAAAAATACTAATTCAGATTTAGAGAATGTATTGCTCTATACACGAAAGGAAACTTGAAACTCTATACTTAAAGAGATGTCAATATATACATTTATGTATATATGGTGAAGTCAACGTGCTAAAGAAATTATCCATTTGCAAACTTAACCATTAGTTTGTTGACTTAAAGGAGCACACATTTGCGATGCTTGCAAATCGGGATTCGGAGAATTTAAATTAGTATAGTCAACTATAAATTTTTTTGCACTTTAGATCAAGAGTCACATAACGCACTTACAATTATTATATACATCTTTCAATTCAAAAACAAAGTTTCAACAATTCATATGTAGTACGAATTTTTTATATATTTTATAATTTACAAACAATTCAACTTATATTTATACACTGAGAAAAATATGTTATTGAATCAACAGTATTTCTGCCAAAAGTATAAAAATTATTTATTCAAAAGCATATGCTATAGAATCTATAAAATATTTTAAAAATTTTATAGCATATGCTTTTGAATTAATAATTTTTATATACATTTGGCAGAAATGCTATTGATTCAATAGCATATTTTTCTCAGTGTATATGAGCATATTCTTGATTAAATTTTGAAATAGCGCGAGCAAATTTTTCACTTCTATAATTTTTCAATTATAGTTTTTATAATAAATATTTTTAATAAAATAAAAAAATTTTCTCGATATATAAATAATTGAAAAAAGTTTATAATAATTTCTCAGCATATATATAAATATATATATACATCACACAATTTGATGTTGAAAGGTTATCATATATAATTGTATATATATATAAAGATATTGACAAATTCTTCTTGACTTTGTATTATATCATTTGGAATAATCATATAAAAATAAGTTAATGTGAAACGGACGTTATTAACCTTTAATCCTCGGCATTTTTTTTTTTAATAAAATGGAAAAAAAATAAA